AAAAAGGAATGCGCATGCGCGATGCTTGAGCTGATGAACTGAGGGCTCATGCGCTCATGTCATCTACATGACAGCATCGCTCTGAGCAATTCCCACTTTCGTTTTGTACGCAGCGCGCTGCCAAGCCTCGTGGTGAATTCAAGGCTGCCCAGCTCCGTTCGACTATGAAATTCAGCATCGATCATTCCGTTCATATTCATCCTTCACCGCCTTTCAAATTTCACCGCCTTTCAAATTTCACTGCTGCGCCCGTTGCAAGGTCATCTGACACCCTGATAGTTCCCCTGCGATGCCAACCCTGCCCCATTCTTCCCGTCTTCTGGACTGCGGATGATCGATGAAACACAGCAACGGCGCGCGCGCAAGCGTGGAGTCCTGTGTGGAACCTCCCTTCATGCGCGCATGCCGAGGTCATCGCCGTTCTGCGCGATGCCAAGCCAAAGTCAATTGGCATTTCGTCCACACTTGCTCCTGGACCTTCCTGGACTCGCTGTTAATGAGGAGGATGTGGAGGCGTCAGGAACGTCAGTACCAGTGCGTAGTGCCGACAATGACGAGAGCACTCCAATAACCCAATCTGGTTAGTACGACTACGGACGCAGGTAAATAACTTGCCGCGGCATCATTTATTGTTATTTTTGTCTGATAAGCCGGTAAGGCTGTGAGACTTTTGAGAGGCTATGATGATATCAAGTGGGGCAACGTTCGTCCCCCCTTATAACGCGCCCATCTCGCACCGCTAGGCAATTGTACCTACCAATTCCCAACAACCACCTCTGAACTGCTCTTCGCTGCACCTAAGACAATGGACGCTTCCAAGCCCGCCATGACCACCACCCTCCAGCCCCAGGCCGTCCAAATGAGTGAGTACAGAAGAAAGTCTTGGGCAGCCACGGTTGCCGCTAGGCGGTGACGTCGTGATGAGGAGTGGACACTGACAATAACTCTCGTCCCGCTTGTACTAGGCATGGCGAACCTACCGACTCGCAGCCAAACGCAGGAGTGCCAGCACAAGGCGAATCGCTTGAGGGGAGGAGGAGCTGCCAAGGTATGTCCGTCTTGGCCTGCAACCCGTCATATCTGCTGAGCTGTCGCCATCTTGTAGGATTGCTTCCTGAGCGCGGTCGGGTGCTTCATTTGTTTCGGTACGTTACTCTCGTCGAACGCGTCTAGCCGCCTGCTCACAAACGTATGCGCTGGCAGAGGGTTGCAAGGTTAGTTTGCCGACCGAATGGCTGATCCACTGATGCTCTCTGACACGCACTTTCTCCAGGACTGTTGCGAGTGCTTTGCGGACATCGTTTGTACGTCCTTTGCTTCTGTTTCCCATCAACCCAGCTGACGTTCTCTGTCAGGCTGCCCTTGCGAGATGTGCTGCTAAACGCCTTATATTATAACCATGTTCTTGTCCCCTCGAGCCCACCGAGTCCTTCCGACTGTGAATATCATGTACTGTAGATTGTGCTGACCTATCCCGTGTATGTATTGACAGGAGGATGGAACGGTAGCAATCTTGCGGGTGTGGCCAGCGCACAGCACACGAGTATAATGCTTGAACTTTGTTATTTTCCGTTATGCGTATGATATCCAATAACAACGCTGTTGCCATTGTTTCGTGAAGCCAGCGGTGCGAGTCTTGGAAAGCATGAGCTTCAAATGAACGACCTGCAGTACCATCACAGGAATCATTCAAGCCGAGCAGGCCGTCATTAATAATGATTATGACACTGTTGGGCGGTGCACTAGTGCTTATGTGTGTGATAGCAAATGCGAGTAAAACGAGGGCAGCTCCGATCCAAACATGCGACTAATGGGAGGAAGGATAGTAATGTGTGCATGTCCGATCCAATGTATAATGGCTTCAGCTAGAGTGTCCCATGTCGTGATCTCGTCTATCTATGCATCCCTCTGTTTCGATTCGGTCTATCTTGCACATTAGTCAGGCTACCGCAGTCGTGCGCTGCTCACGCGGACGTGATGGTGAACGTGGGCGACGCGTTGCCAGAGTCGCCGAACACTGTAAGACGCGCATATAGTGAGCGGGAGGGAAACAGCGCAAATAGTAGAATGACGGGGCACTCACGGACGACGATGTAATCGTTACGCGTTGTAACGTTGGGCACAGTGATATCGACCTGGCCGTCCCCGATGAGAAATTGGGTCGCGAGCGGTGACTCTGCGAGACATCACGTTTAGCATCAAACGTGGTCCACAACAAACACGAAGCCGACACTTACGGATGTCCAAGTTTTCGCTCTTGTCCTCGCTGTAGCCGAGCAAGACCAGGCCAGTTGCGTTCGCGCCGGTCTGAGGAACCTTGCTCACGTCCCAAGTGATCGTCTGCGTCGAGCCGACCGTCCACACCGTCAAAAGCGTGGGCGAAGTGATGTCGGGGCTGATCACGACGTCCGCATGACCCGGCGGGACGAGAGAAATGGGCGACGCGCGGCCAGTCGCGAGCAGGGATGCGAGAAGAGCACCAGCGATCCTGGAGAACATCTTGTGCGTTTCGTAGGATAGGTGGAGATGGATAAGAGGCGAGTAAGGACTGACGGTAGCTGAAGGAGCGGCGGGCTGCACGGGTGGTGGATGGTGCAGAGTAGTATCAGAGGATGTGCGGAGATGTCTATCGCGGCGGACGGGGAGGGTTATGAACTGGCGGCGGTGCCGGCTATATGCTACGCATCCCTTGTTGTCATGACCTTCGCTGAACGATTAGCTTGGCGGGTGGACTGAGAAAGGAGGACTTCTGCGACCAAAAACATGTTTCAGCGGGCGTGCATGATTATCCATATTGAACGTGGTCACTGGGTACCCCGGCTCAAAGGCCACGGGATTTGCTCCTGCATTTGACAGATCCTGTCACAAGTTACCACACATGTTTCATGGACCTGAATATATCGCACGCTTGCCTCGCCACCACAGAGTCTTCGCCTCGGTGTCATCGAACCCTGCTCGCTGTCTCGGATGGCGAGCTTCTTTGCAGCAAGGCGACATGGTCATCGTCCAATCAAGTATTTACGCGTGCATGCGCCGACGACGCGCAGCAACAACGGCCGTCGAAGAGAGTCAACCGACAATCGAGATATACAAATGGCAGCATGAATAGTGCGGCGCGACTCCAAAGTGGCTGAGGTAGCTAGCTGAATGGAGGTCCAGTGAGAAGTGATTTGGCGCTATTTGGCGTCTTTGCCCGACGCGACCTGCGTGATCCGCTGGACGCGTCTTGATCACGACCGGCGCATTTCAATATTGTATATGGGACGATGCGACGCGAGCACACGTCTGCGATGGATGCAGCTGTCCATATTGAATGAGCATTTATGGACAGTACGAACGTATAAAGGTAATACACATGTGATTTCTGACATGTTGAGGCGACATTGACGACATGAAGAGCATTGTGGACGAACAAAACTTTATTAAACTTCCAGGATCCGAAGAAGATATTGCATGACGAGATGAGCGAAATTCTCCACACATACAGCTTCAGTCCTCATTGTCCGACGACAACATGCCGAGAGGGCGCAATCTCAGTTTCAGAGGGGACGGCTTCAAGAGCGCTTTGCTGCTGGGTAGACGCGCAATGCGTCGCTTGACGTGTTCACGCACGGGGCTCAAAGGCTCATTTGAGTCGTCGCTGCTCGGAGGATCCGTGTCGTCCTTCCGGGCGCGCCGCAGTGCTGGAGAGACAACGCCGAAGGGAGTGATGCAGTCCGTGTGAGGGTCATCGTCAGATAATTGATCAGAGAATCGCTGTTCGGGACTGGCTTGCATGATGGAATCGTCTGTGAATTGTCGTCAGTCGGAGATCAACGGAGACTGTATAAAAATACGAACCGCTGCCAGCCATCGGTGCATCCCGTAACGCGCGCACGATCTTGGACGGCGTCGAGTACAGCTCTGCTCTTAGATCAGTACGGCGATGCTTGCTTGGAGGTGTCTCTATTTCAGCTCTCATCGCATTCACAGCAGAAGAGTGCGTCCTCCGCAGAACTCGCTCGGCCATGAAAGTGCGGCTACTGGCAGCAGACGCTGGCGCTGAGAGCGTGCGCACCATCTTCGATCGCAAGCTCGCAATTCGCTCGCGGCGCAGCACCTGCTCGTACGTGGGGACCTCGACCGCGTCAAGGAACACGCCCTTCCGCTTGCTAGGTGTGAAGAGACCCGCAACAGGAAGTTCGGCACTTTCGCCGTCGATCGTCTCTTCAGACAATCTGCCAAACACTTCCTCTATAGACAATCGCCTCAGCTTGGGATGAGGCGCCTTTGGCAACAGCACGGAATGCTCAGAGGAGTCAGACACGCCTTGGAAGAAGCGTGCTGGCTCATCCAGTGCGGCGGGAACATCGAACTTCTCCTGCGCCAACGTTGATGACAACGGGTCCACTTTGCTTCTCTTGGCCACAACGTCGGACTCCTCATCATCGGACATCCGCCGCTTGCCCAGAAACAGGGTCGTAGTGGCTGCAGGCGAGCGCATCGCAATGCGCTCCACGACGCTAGCGACCGAAGGCAGATTCTCCTTGTTACCCGTGCTGCGGCGACGTTCCAATGAAAGTTGATTATCGTCCGAGGCAGATCGAGACGTACGCTTAGGCGTGGCAGGAGAAGCCAGTAGAGGCGTTGCCGGCAAATCGGAGGAGGCATTCTGTGCTGAAGCGAGCTGCGGACTCAAGGGGGTAAACGGAAGCTCCCTCGCTGACGACTTAGGGGTGACTGGCGGAGAAGCAAGATTGACACGGGGATGGAGGGGAGATGTGGGTGTAGCAGCGCGAATGGTGACAGCTGGCGCAAAAGCGGAGCGTCCGTCATCATCAGGCATGAGGACTGCAGCAGAGATCTCGAGTTCCTCTTTCTCCCGTTCGTCTGCGGAGAGACTGAAGAGGTAATCATTAGAAGGACCGGCGCCATCTTCAGACTCTCCATCTTCATTTGCAGCTGAGTTGTCCACATTCGCTGCAGGCGCCAAAGTCTCAGCTTTGTTCCTTGCCAGCTTCTGTAGACAAGTCTGGATCCTCTCCGGCCAGCCCCACAACGGTTCAGGCGTGTCAGCATAAGTAGCTCGCCAAAACTCCTCGAATGCGTGGACCGCTGCCTCCGGCTTGTCCTCTCTGCCGCAGAACGCAGATTCTATGATCGGAGCCAGCGTCTCGATCGTGGCAGCGGACGTGGGTTGCGACTGAATGCCGATCAGGATAGTCTGGTAGACAGGCAGAATCTGTAACGCACATTATTAGGTATCAGGAAGCGATTAAATGGACATTACATACATCCATGGCATATTCTTCCGGAGTGAATGCCTTGTACTCATCCGCAATCCAAAGAGATAGGCCTTCTTGAAGAGATTCGTACACACCCACGGCGAGCTCGACGGGGCATGCGTCAAGCACCCTTGTCAACGTTCTCATCAGCCACTTCGACCTGACCTTCTTACGCGGCTCAGGCGGATAGGTCGATATCAAGGTATTGTTGACCAGCTGCATCACTCCTTCAGGGACCTGGCGGGCCTCGTTAATCTCGAGTTGCGAGAGTAGCAGATCAGACGCGTGGATGGAGTATTCGAATGTCGGGGAGTGGTTCGATGAGACGATCGAGGCAATTTGATCAACGACGGTAACGGAATCGATACCATGATCCAACGCCTTATCCATAGCGACCCGCAGGAGCATATTCCAATCTTCAACATCCCTATGTGAGATCTCCCAGGCATTGAGTTCCCTGTTACGAGCAAATTCGTGAGCAGTCATGAAATGACCTGGGACGCATCGCCACTCACATGAACGGCACGCTTAGAAGGATGACTGCAGCATCCCACTCTGCACACGCGTCACTCCAGCCCTCAACGAAGCCACTCCAGACAGCCTGCCGAACCTCCGCATTCCACACGTTCTCCCGCCTCTTCGTATACATGCACAACCCACCACACCAGAATTTCTCCAGTTCGCCGGCATCGCACGCGAAAACAACTTCAGCGCACAGTGCTGTCCACTGTTGCCGTATCTGGTCCGCTAGGTTCACGTCGCCGACTAGCTTGGTCTCGTGGTTGACGAGGAACTTTAGCAACGTCTCCGCAGGCGCACGTAGGGAGAATTCAGGCAGCACGTTCTTCATGGAGGTCCAGAGTTCGCGGGTGAGGTAGAGCTTGAGACCAAGATTCCATCGAGCTGCAGGAGGAGCCTTACGCATCTTGGTACCGTCCGGCTTGACTGGGCTGCTCAGCTCGACCGACTGCTCAGGTTCTAAGCTCAGATCCACTTCTGGATCCTCCAGCAGATCAATGAGGATCTTATTAGCACGCTCCGCGAATTGCATGAGTGCCTCCTTGTCCCCAGAATCTACAGCCGGTGAATTATAATTGATTGCCATACACGATTGAACATACCTCGTAGAAGGGTTGCAGGTGCTTTGATTAGGTCCCGCCAAACCTCCGAGATCTCGCCCTGCAACCCATCAGTAAATCACACGTGCTCGCACATCATACAGAACGTACCGGGATGTCGCTGCCCCATGAGAGCCGCAGCGCAGAGAGACCCTCTTTCCACACGTCAAGTAAACTGTCAAAGACCCACTCCAGAGCAATCTCTTCTCTTGTCAGCGGCCGGACATCCTCTACTCCCGTACACTGATCCAACAGTGGCCTGACTGCTTGAGTAAGTGCTTTGTACTCCACCGTCAGGAGGCCCGGAATCGCACAGAACAAACCACGTGCAAGCAGCCTTTGAGCGTCCCATGGGTTGGCCTCTTCGAGACCCACCAGACGCCAAGCGGTCTCTAGTGCGTCCTTGCATGTCTGCCCTCCCTTCTTACTCATTCCGCGGAGCAGACCAAGGGCACGCCTCAGGCTGAGTTCGTCCGTCGACTCTCCAGCAAGGAGCGCCCCGATTGTAGCAACGCCTGCGCCCATGTCGACGACGGACTGTACGACTTTCCAATCGGGCTTCTCTTCATGATCCTCTTCTGCTCGTTTGCTCTGCTCCTCCCCGTCGGACGTCTCTGAGCTCGATGACGCATCGGACTCATCCTCCAAAGGCTTCAGTTGGATTAGCGGAGCATGGAAGTACGCCCAGGTCATGCATCTCCACGCAAGACATCCGAGCGCCCTCACCGAACTCTTCTGATGCCGCATACCCAGCGCGAACAGTGCAGTTATCGCACGCATGAGCCTCTCATCTGAGTACACGGCGGGACCGAGGAGAACAACGAAGTTCGCAATGACACTCCACGCCCAGACGGGGCCTTGAGCAGGGTGTTTCGGGTCTGTTGCCACGAGTGTGGTGCGTAACGTACGGATGATAGTCGAATCCTTCAGTGGACTCATAAAGCCATTTGACGTCCCTGGGCTTATGAAACGCGACGCCACGATGTTCGATATCCGCGTATGTACCTCTGAGAGAGGAATACTCGCAGCTGCGAGTGCGAACCCTCCTAAGGCGTGGCATGCTTGAGTCCGGAGGACTAATGTCGGAGCAAGGAGGTTGCTGAGCATCGCTGGTAACAACTCAGTAAATGCGGGCACGAACACGGATGGATGGAGCTGCGACAACTCGTGAATCGCCTAAATATACGTTCAATTCAGCAGGCCAATCCGCATCTTAGTGTGGGCCATACCTTCAAGCCATCATTGATGGAGCCTTTCTTGCCCTCCTTTCCCAGCTCGCCCTCGATAGCACGGCGGAGGGCATAGGCAATTCGATCCTTCGCGGGGTTGAGAACGTTGCTCGAGAGACGCTGCGTTTGAATAAGCCAGACAGCCAGAGCACACGTCTTTCGTGCATTTGGTGTGGGTAGCGATTTCGCAAGCGGTATCGCCAGCACCTGCGTCATTATGAAGCGGAGCTGCTCATCTGACGCGGAAGCTTGGTCAACGATGTGGCTAGCAGTACATTTCAAAACATATACCTGAGAAAATATGGAAGATAGATGGCGAAGTGAACATCACATTGAGCAGCTTGAGGACAGCGTGGCAGACTGTGCACAGGTCTCGAGCAAACTTGACTTGTTCTGCGGTCATCCCTCTCTTTTTCTTCGGGCTTTCCTTCGGCGATAGAAGGCCTGTAACGATCTCTTCTTCTGACGAGAGCTCTTCCAATTTCACCGTGGATGGGTCGTCAAAGATGCGCTGAAGGTCTCTGACCAACGCGTCAACGAACGTGTCGCGGTACTGCCTGAGTGGCTGAAAGAGAGGCCATGATCCATCTGCATCTGTGACGCCAGAGACACATGACTTGAGACGTGCTGCAAGTACCGAGTACGCCTCGATGAGATCTGGCAGTGGCGCGTCTGCTGCAAGCATCCGAGAGACTGGACCTTCAAGGTAATGCAGATCTACTAGAGGGTCAGCAGGCTCTGGCGTGACCTCCTTTTTGAAGTCATCAAAGAGTGGGAGTAAGAGGTAGTCTGTTCTCTTAAGGATCGATTTTGAGGGCGCCACACGCGACGCGCTCGACTGTATAGATAGGACAGGAGGCGGGCTCAGCCCGAAGGTGTGATACTGGTGCTCATCCGACCATGCGACTCGTGAGTTCGACAAAAGACGCAGTGGCCGATTCTCCTTGTCGCGATGTGACGTGCTAGGAGGGGTAGGCAGACTCGTAGTCGCGTTTTGCTCTCGCCAGGACAGCACCATGGTAGTTCGAGGCCAATGAGTCGGCACGTTGAGCACTAGATATCCCCACGCCTCGGTGAGGTGCGACGGAGGTGGGATGGGTGGGGAAGGACGGAAGGGGGGAAGGGGGCGAGGCGGAAAGACGCGTGGATCCAAACCGTGGACGCAGACGGTGAGCGGCTTGTTTGCGCAAGTTGACGTGGTCGCGTTGTTGACGCGTTGTTTGGTCCTTCACGGGCGCCAATCGCTCCCTCGCAGGTCCACAATCCTCTTTTGGCGCAGGTTGTTTCAGTAATCCTCATTTGTTCGAGCTGTTGAGCTTCAAAATGACCTAACTGGAACTTTTTAATGGGTTTGAATGCAAGGAGCAAGGACGGCCGGAGCGCCACAGCTCGCACCGCGCTCGTTAGGCGCCAAGGCAAACATTCGTGCAATACACGTGTCCTTCAGCGGCACCGCTCAGTCCTCGGCAGTCTCTCACACGAGGCTACCTAAATTGCGGCTTAGTGGCTCAGGATATGCTCAGGTACGTGGACGAACATGACGCAGAGCGACACACCGCGGTCCTCGTTTCGCACGGAATACCTTGTATATCGCAGACGACATAATATTTTGTGGCATTGTTTATGTGTCTGTTGACTTGGTTCAAGTCTGGCTGACTTACATTTCTGATCATATTGATATGTCCGCCCGCTCAAAAGGAAGAAGAATGGAAGGACTGTTGTATTCGATTCAAACGTATCAAAGTTCATTTCAAATGGTCTAGCGGAGAACAGGTGAAGACTTCTATTACATGTTGATTTCTATGCTGTAAGGACTTTTCGCCGCGACAAAATGACAAATCTCCCGATGCTGTGAGCCTATCATGCGATGGGCAGTACTTCCGTGGCTTCCTATTCGTCCCCGCGCACGACACCCCTCAGGTCAGCTACCAGTTCCTCGTCCTCAGCGACTTTGTCCCTGTATTTGCGTACATACTGCAGCAGCTGCGGCTTATCCTTACCGCGATAGTTGTGGAAGTCGATGTAGAGGTTATGGTCAAGGAGCCAACCGATCATGAATGCGAGGTCCTGCTCGTCACTAACACATTTCACTTTAGTCTTTGGTCCCGTCGAGTCGCAATTCATGGACCAGCGCTTCAGCTTTGTCAGGATGAGGACCGACGGGTGGAGGATAGGTAACTCTAAGGGCGACCACATATAGTCATAGTGCCATACAGAGGCAATGAACTCACGCATTTGACCGTCCTCCGTCGTGGCAGTATAAATGGGCTCAACAGCGACAGGTAGTCCCCAAGAGCCTGCCGGCAGCATCTCAATGGCCACGCTGGTCTTGCTGCTTCTGACAAGGTCACCATCTTTCGCGTCAGGACCTGGATCCTGAAACATCCTCAGCTCATCACACTGACGACTGAAATAACAGACCGACCTGAATGAAGTAGAACTTGATGCCAACCTCAGCGAACTGTCTATCGGCGGTGCTGATCTGCTCTCGAAGCCGGCGCACATCCATCCCGGCGCGGACCTCAAGCAGAACGTCAATGTCGTGCTTAAGCAAAGCATGATGAAGTAAGCAAGCATCGGCACGTCAGACCCATGCACTTGTACTTATATCGGTAGGCCTTGGACTGCCCAACAGGGACCAAGCAAAACCACCTATGAAGGCATGCGGACACCCCAAATTGCGCAGGTGGCTTGAGAGAACATGAGCGGCGCGGGATTGGTCCTCGCGAGACCTCGTGATGGCGATGAGTAAACGGGGCCTAGGTAGCGAGGTATGGTTTTCATTAATGTCTGCCGCATATGTCTCGAGTGATAACGCCCCAGGAGTAATGGTAGACTCATAAGTTGAATCACTCTGAGCGTTCGGCCATGAGTAAGTGTGAGAGCAGCATCATCACAGTGTGTGACTCGTAAGCAACATGATGTGACACACGTTCGTGACGCCCTTGAGATTGTGGCAGTTCTTGCATCCCTGCCTCACACCATCACTATATATGTACGACGCACACTCATTTGAGACGCAGCCTATACAAGTCTACAGAGCTGACCTTGTCAACGATATAAATGTTCGTGCCGGGGCCTTAGATCCCTCCCATCACTCTGAATCGGAGGGGCCGTCGCCTCTGCCTACACCGCTCTTCAACCAAGAACCAGAGGAGCTAGTCGACATGGCCCTCGCTAGGTTGCAGTGTGCAGATTTGAAACCGGTGGAGTGGAAAGGGCTCCTGTACAGACGTATGGGCGTCCCTGTTCTGATAAAAGTATGTTTTCTATAGTCTGATCTGTCATCTCCTGCTGCTGATCAAGCCCTGGGTATAGGATTTTGCTTTCATCCTGCCCGACAACAGTGTAGAATATGCCTCCAAGATCCTGACTGATATGGGTCTCCCACGAGCCCAGCAATCCCGCTTCCTCTCGTCCACGGAAGGCGATTTCCACACGAGAGGGGTGTTCCATCGAGTCACTCGGGAGACCTCTCCGTTTTTTCTCCAGCACATCGCACTTTACCCTGCATCATTCGCTGAGATATCGGTTCACTCCCCGCTGGTAACGTCTGCGCCTTCTATTCTCGGCGTCGACAGCCCCCGCACCCCAAACTATCTCGTCCCACAGCCCTCGGCGGTCTATGCATCGCTCATGCGTATGATGCTGAGGTATCCCCGCCAGTGCTCTACACGACGTTGTCTCAACCCAGACCTATCCCAACTGGTCGGTTATCACCTCCTTCGTCTAGAAAACGACTTTATTGACCCGGATGACGAGGAACAATGGCAGAAGTTGGATATGGACCGGAGGACAGAAGAGGCAGTCTGCGAGCTCAGGGGCTGGATATGGGAGCCTGGCGAGGAGTGGATAGTAGACGCGTTGGAGGCTGTGCTCAGAGACTCTGCGGAAGTCGAATTTCTACCTTGGCGCTCATAGCACTGGTACGTTTGTCTCTTCCAGCGTCCAGCTGCGCAGTCTCTGTGATGACCTCTTCACAGCTATAATGTCTCCCGATGTCCTATTGCAATTGGCCGATACCGCAAGGAAAAGCAGAACACATAACGTAAAATCCATGGGCTTGTTTGACCCGACATCAGGGAGAAAGAAGGGAAGAGGTGTATGACTTCTCCGGTTGGCAGTCCTTCTATAGAGATTGGTTGGGCTGTTTCTATCAAATCGCCTCTCCAGAATAGCAGCCCCGGACGCGACGCGCCACATAGACACCACGGACACCGCATGCGCAGTTCGTCGTGGTCATCTCGTCAGGGCGAGGGGAAATGCAAATGAGATGCAACCTGGAAACCGCGGAATCTTGACCTATACACCGGACAGAACCACTGGAAGGAAATGCTGCGGTTCCTCCTCCAACAGGAGGGTTACTACTGTCTCGACGCTGTGCACTGTCAATCGGACCGTCTTTCGGATGCTGACGGCTACCCGTAGTTGAATGAATGCATCGAGTGCATCGCACACATCAACCCTCTCTACAATAACGTCGAACTGATATGCAGTCGTAGCGTCTCTGCACTCTGGTCACTCTCATTTTCGGGACGGACTTGCTAATACATGCTCTCGGCGCCGACAGCCTCCTCTCCGCGAGCCCTACTCTACTCTTCTGTCGCTGGAGGCTATACTCCATGACGAGGTTCTGGTCATTGGAACGTTCGGTGGTACTGAAGTACGCTATGCGAGGATACGCCTTTGCGCCTACTATGACCGCTTGGGATCCACACTCGCGTTACCGCCCACTACACTGCCGCAGAAAACAGCGCACGACGATCATGGCTGCCTTCATCTCAGTTTCGACCAACATCAGGCTGTCCCCACGAACCAGGACGTGTTCGTTGCTTGGCGTTTGGCGGACCGTGACGCTCGTTGCGGGTCGAACTGTACCAACATTATAGAGGCCCCGTTGCATTTCGCGGTACTAGAGGGAAGAGATGGATGAGCAGTTCCTGGGTATAGTGTACGCCGCTCGCATACTCCCCATATATTTGTTGGATTCGGCGCTGCCGCGTCAACTCCACCTATAGTGAGTCGCGTCGCGTCACGTCACAAGCACGTGCCGTGATGGAACGTGTCTTCCGCGCATAGACTGAATTATCAATCGATCATCTTTCTTTCCACCGTCCGTGTTCAATCTGCCTACTTTCGAAGGAGCCGAGCTCTGCATCGTCCATAAAATCGATCCCACTATCAAGCAATGGGCTCCGACGCAGATAAAAGCAAAGCGAAATCAGTCCCAGAGTCGAAATCCGCCACGGACTTCACCCCCAATACAGAGATCTGGTACTCGGATGGCAGCGTAGTCCTCGTAGCGAAGAATATTGCGTATCGCGTCCATGCTACTATCATGGCCGCACATTGCGAGGTCTTCAAGGACATGTTCTCCATGCCTCAGCCCTCCGTGTCCGATCCTGATGCGGAGACGCACGAAGACGTGCCGGTGTTGCGCCTGCAGGACGATCCAGTCGATCTGAAACACCTGCTCAAGGCGATCTATGAACACTCGTGCGCAAAGTTGCTCTTCGGCATAGATTTGTCGCTAAGCGCCTTCCCTCCGATCTAGATACTTTAGCGCTGGCCAACAGACCAAGTTTCCTGTCGTCGCGTCGGTCCTCCGCATGAGTACAAAGTACGACGCACCGTTCCTTCGTCAGCGAGCCATTGACCTGCTCTCTACCGCCTACCCGTCCACACTCGCCGCATGGGACAATAGAGCCTCTCAGCGGCTCGTTCCACCCTTCGAGAACGAGCTCGCAATTGTGATCGAACTGGCCTACGAGACAGATGTCAGAGTGATCCTTCCTGCGGCATACTTTGCCGCCAGCAGGGAGCCTCTGTCTTTTGTCTTACCGGAGTTCCGGAGACTATCCGTCGTACCTGACGCACAGTGGGACTTGTGCAGGGACTTCGTGATCGGGCGGGAGCGCCTGCAGCAGGCCGAGATCACGAATATCCTCGCATTCTTGGAGCCGACATTTTTACGCCCCAACTGCCAGACCTCCAATGACGCGACGACCATCCTGAACACTTCGAGGAACGGTCTACGCAAGATTTTTGATTCCGAACCGTACCATCAGTGGTGCAGCGCCCATCCAGCGGAGGCGGGCAAGGCGCTTGTATTGTGTGTCAATTGCTGCACCGTGGTCGAGAATTCAATCAGGGAGGGCAGGAAGAACGTCTGGAGCCAGTTGCCTGGGCTGTTTGGTCTTGCCAACTGGGAAACCCTCAGAGCCAGAGATGGCATTACGCAGTGATTTTACAGAGGTTCTCTTGAAGCTGATGGATGAAGAGTATGCACTCGCTTTCATTAAAATATCCTTGATGAACACGTGCTAGGTCGCCTGTGATCGCATCCTTAAACTGCTGTTGCGTCCTGACCCGTCTCGCACTAGCTATATGCAAAATTGACGTTCATCATGAGGTCATGTAAAGTACGTGAACCGTTCAGTCATGGCTCTAGGTCGTCTAGTATTCTATGGGTTCATGAGCAAATCATGGTGGTGAAATTGGATCTTGCGGGAGAAATGCCGATGATGACACACTGAAAAGGACGGCTAAGTATCGCGGCATCAACATTTGCCCACCAGCTTGTGGCCCAGCGCGAAGTATCGCGAAATGATCAGGAGAACCACAGCGACCTCCACCGCGCTACCTACACAGATACAAGAAGCGTCAACACAAGCATCTCATCAATCGACGTCAACGTACCTGCATAGTAGCCCACTGCTTTGTACGAGCCTATCTAAGGTGGTACCTTGCGTAGGTGCCGCATGTTTTGCCCTTCAGTTCAATTCCCGGCCCATGCATTTCACCTTACAACTGTCCTATACCTAGCGTGCACGCAGCGCAATCCAGACTACTCTTGATCTGCATCACAGCTCGTTACGTTCTCTTTTAACTTCATGATTTTCACCTCTGATGGAGGGGATGGTGTGCAATTGTGGTGGGTTGCAATTCACGTACACTACGCTCACCAGCTTCTCTGAACAGACGCGTAGGCCGTATAACATCAAAATTATGTATCCTGATAGACGATGATCAGAACAACTTGGAACTCTGCTTCTGCCATTCCCGTATCGACCGGTATGTAAGAGGATGAAATGCCACATTGGTACTATCAAATGAGTCCCCCTTTATGATATTAGGGCGACGGAGACAAGTTTGTCTGAGTTCAGGATCCTTTTTTCCCACAACATGCATCTCGTTGGCATGGCTATCATCAAGCAACATCCTGCATGCTTCCGTGTGTCAGGTGTGTAAACGAATACGATGCAGTGCAAAGGCTGCGATGCTCGTTCCATACGGGATACTCCTGTATCCATTCCCGCGGGCTTTATGTCTGGGCATTCCAGTCCCTCTCGATTGACTCGATAGATTCATGCTGTAATGGCTACAGCTGCGCATTAAACCTGGCTATTGGCATCATCCTGATGACCGCGAACGCGCGAAGGGCAGATGTTGCCCGGCCTTGGTGCACTTCGGGACCCGGGCAGGCACTGACGCCGTTGCAAACGTCTCCATCGCAACTGCTGCGCTCGTGCGCTCCGGCGAAGAGACACATCAGGCGGGTCAGATTGCAGGTCGATTCTGCTCCCACTAGCCACGAACAGAAGCTAAAGAAGTATATAGAGTTCCAGAAAATGCGCGTGCTCACCTTGCGGGCAGCTGCCGCAGCCGCAGCCGCAAGCCTTTCCTGTTGGGCCTTTCGTTCTGCTCGCGCTTCTGGAGGAACTCTCTTGAGGAGAGTCTGTCTCTTTTCACCGTGCTGCTCGAAATTGACTATGCGCTTGGACTAGACAATTCAGCTGACTTGCTAATTTGGTTTGTAGGCAGCCAAGGCCAAACGCAAGGTCATTTTCCAGCGCGCTGAACAGTATGTGAAGGAGTGTGTTGCCAAGGAGAAGGAGGAGATCCGTCTGAAGCGGGCGGCGCGTGCTGCGGGTGACTTTTATGTCCCCGCCGAGGCAAAGGTCTACTTCGTCATCCGTATCCGGGGGTGTGTCTGAAACATGCTCAAGTCGCTTTCCGAGCGGGTAACTCGCGGCAGGGCTCATGCAATATCAACAAGATTGTGCCGAAGCGCCGCACAATCTTGCAGCTTCTCCGTCTGCTTCAGATCAACAATGGTGTCTCGTCAAAGTCACTAAGACGACTGAGCAGATACTTCGTCTCGTTGAGCCTTACATGGCATATGAGTCAGTTTGTTATGCTGATGCGCGCTCGTTCAACTAGTCATATCCAGTGAGCCAAACCTGAAGTCTGTCCGCGAGTTGATCTACAAGCGCGGCTATGGCAAAATCAACAAGCAGCGCATTCCTCTGACCAACAACGCTGCTATTGAGGAGGCGCTTCGCAAGTTCAGCATTCTTTCGGTAGAGGATCTTATCCACGAGATATCTAGAGCAGGTCCCAACTACAAGCAGGTATGTTTGAGGCTTTATGATGATTATCGCGTGGCGTACGAATTGTGCCTTCGTAGGCGTCAAACTTCCTCTGGCCCTTCAAGCTGTTAACCATACTGGCGGCTGGAGAACACGGAGGGTGGCGACTTCGGCAACCGCGAGGAGAACAAGCTCATTAGGCAAATGAACTGAGCGTTGCGATCTACGGTTGCTTGAGGAGGGCTTTGTTGGTCTGAGGGTACGCCCGCCCTGAGATTGCTTGAACGAGCATCACGCACATGCTGAGGTTACTCATAATCACGTCCTTTATTACCCTGTATGCCACTACCATTATGTTGACCTATTGCGCGACGAAACTTTTGCTGCATACATCTTGCGAGCCACGCTGGGCGTCACGAAAGCGCGCCCGCTGGGCGGCCGTACTTAGAAGTCTCAGTCCTACAAAATATTACTCCTACAAACGTGACAATGACAAGAAGATACTGGCAAGCCTCAGGCGTAAGTCGATATAGGTCGGGCGACGTCATTAGTGTTGACATTTGCTGAAACACCATCTGTATCGACTGTATCGACTTTGCGCCTCTTCGCTGGTATCATCGATTTGTCAGCGACCCTGCAAGTTTCAGGTCTCTCTTGCTTGTCCTCCAACCTGTTTCCAACGCCATATGGTGGAGCATTGGACGGTTCGGACCACTCAGTCAACGAGGGTCGATGCCGTGGATTCTTGTCCATCAGCTGTGTCGCAAAGGCCATGAGGCCTTCATCCTTGTCCCCATTCCTCCTCATCCTCTCAGCAAAGAGGTAGAAAACACGACTACAAGACCATCTGTCGGCCCTGATGGGGCTGTACATGGTTCGCGGACCGTTCTCCTCCCTAATTTCCGGCGCTATCCATCCGCGACTGCTACAGTACTTGTCGATCTCGTGGTCCGCATCCTTGACTCGGACGGCGATATCAAAGTCAATGATCTGCAGGCGGAAGCTGACGGCGTAGACAAGGTTCGCGAACTTGATGTCCAGGTGAGCTACTCCGTGCTCGTGAAGGAAGGCTAGCTCTTTGGCCAGATTGCGGCTGAGCTGAATGAACCTGCTACGAAGTACACCGCCGTCAGCGTGAAATTCGAGTTCCTCGTCGATGGAGCTTCTCTTCGGAAATATGAGGTACTTCCCCAAACTTGTTCTAATTGTTTTGAGTAAAGTGATGATGTGCTCGGATGGCGGCTTTATCGTGCGGAGAAATTCGAGGATCTTCAGCTCGTTCGATTTGTCGCTGATTCGTTTTGCGATGAATTCCGTCCTGCTGGAGTCTCCTACACGACGCACAGTGCGTATGTGTGGTGGTAGCTGCAAGGTGTTTGTCAGCATGAGCTCTGAAAGCATTCAGTTCTCCGTAGCTCGCGAACCTTGTACAACGGTTCCCACGTGCCTCCCGACTCAAAACGATCAGGTACCAGCTCGTATCCTTCTGCTTCGAACTCCTCCTGTGCACCGCTGCCGCCGCCAGTACCACCTTGGCCGGTGGTAGATCGCCCTTCATCACCATCAGTGCGAGCGCGCTTGGTGCTTTTCCTCGTATAGAACGCCGGCCATTCGTTTTGTCGAATGCTGGCGTTGATCTCTTCGATCTTGGATGCTACGCCGCTGAATTTGTCTGCATCTGCGTCCTTCAGGCAAAATGCGAAATTGTACAGTTGCTTTGCAAGCTGAAACCTTTCAACCTTGTTCGACATGTCAAACTTGAAGTCCTGTACGTAATGAACCTAAAAAGTGCAGCGACTCAGGCTTTGGGTTTAATGAGATAAAGATTCGCTCACGTACTTTTGATGAATCCTTGACTTGGTACAGGAAATAGCGTTCTGCGAAACCGCCTTCGGTGAAATAAATGGCCATCAACACAAACTTGCGTTCTTTGTCGGTCAAAGTTCGGTTTGCCAAACGAACGGCACTCGCTCCCTGAAGAAGCATGCGAGTTCTATCATTGTGGTGAGTCGTATCCGAACAGACCTCCACTATGAGGCGGGGTAAGTTATGCGTCCATACGGAGAAATCGCTCCTCGGTGTATACGAGTAGTGCATGTTATCGTCTTCGACGCTAACTACCAGCGTGAGAGGCCAGCTTTCGGTACCGCTGCCATAAATGAGCTTGGTTCTGGGAAGAATAACAGATACTTTGACACTTACAATTTGTAAGAGACCTTTGTGCGGAGCAGGACGTCAAGGTATACTGCAAATTGATAGAAGAGGATTCCGTTTCCATCAATTTCGCCGAATCTCGAACTGTTTCGGGTTCGCCATATTGGAACTTCGTTGGACGCAACGTGCAGCAGGTGACCCAATTTGAGCAATCCAGCAGTGGTGAGATTTGAGGGCTCTAAACTATCATCGAGACCGACATTATGATCTGGCAAGAGTGCCGCAACCCACTCCATTGTCAATTGGGGGTCAGACGAGATAAGTCACCGTCGAACAGAATCGGGGCTTCCATCAACTGATCTTTGTGGTCCTTGACGAATTGGGGACACCCTCGGGCCCGATCTTACATATTGAATTCGATTGCTCGTCGTCCTTGACGAAATTTCCCTTACTTCTCGCTTTAATGAAGGTTTCACGATATTGCTCGGCATTGTGGATTTGTTGACCGAGCTCGCTGCGATTGGCACCTGCATGATCATAGCAGGATGTTTGAGAACGATATTCCAGGGAGAGTAGCAGCAGACACCACCGAAGATGCGATGGTCAAGCCTGACGACGTGAGGTCATCTGAATGGTGGCTCACTTGGAGGATGTCCCACGAGCTGAGGACGACGTGCCACGAGCACAAGACGAACCAACGTATCATCCGGGATCAGTTGTTTAGGAATGTTGCTGACTTTATCAAGGGCGTAAACGGGCTTCAAACCCTCGATAGCCGTCTTGACATGAAGGGACATGGCATCATTTGTAATATCTTTCAGCGTCAGTTGGCCAGGCTAATGCTCGGTCAGAGTGGCACCGTTGCTCAGATGAGAGGACAACTCACAGTGTAGATGGAAATTTCAGAGGGGGAAATCTTGCGACGGTCCCACACATGCTCCTTCTCGTAGATCTTGTCACGAACTTTCGTGAAACTCCATGAGCGGTCAACGTTCCGGTCAAATTCAAGTGCGCCGACGTTTAATTCACTGGCGACACCGTCTTCGAACAGGATAACGTAGGATAGCTCGGTATCAGGCATAGTTGAGGACTGAGGCGACTGGTGGTGTATGGATGTCTCAGTAGATGGCTCAGCGATGTTGTAAAGCAGGAGGCAGGGAGCGATGTTTGTATCTGTATGCGTGTTGGGTGCATGGTGCCACCAAGGTGCCACATATACATCGAGGACGCTGATCATGAAGAATCGAGGAGAAGCCCTCATATTAACTCGAATATGAAGCCCGAGAGAAGCTGTATGCAGAAGATATCAGCGCGGTCAGCGCCCCGGAGCAAATTATCCATAGACGGACGTCCCTTTGACTGACACTCTTTATACATGCAGACGGCAAGGACGCGCAGATCCGCAACCAGGCAGCGAAGATTTGAGGAAGTATACCAAGGCTCCGAGGGCACCATTCTGCAGTTCCTAGAGCTTGTCGTGCATTTGCAAAGGTAGGATCTCTCTACGTCAAACTTTCGAGCAGTTCCTCACAGTTTCACAGCGATCTTGATACACTCCACACAGAGAGACAGACGTCCAGCACCAAGCTGTGACTGCGGCTTCGCGAGTGCTGCGACGATGTCGTTGAACGTCGAGTTGCAGTCATCGGCCTTTCAAAACAAGCTCGGTATATTCTCAACCTGAGGTGGAGACGATTGAAGCGAGGGAAGCAAAGGAGTTGTTGGCGATAGTTGAGGTAAGTTGGCTATGTGTGCTTGTACTGTGGATGCCGCTCATGATGTCAGTTCGCTCTCTTGGGTGAAGAGGCGTCGAGCGTTCCAAATGACAAACGGGTGAACGCGAGGATGCAATAAGCACCGAACGACTCTAAGAACTATCCTACGTACACCGCAGAACTTGGCTACCATTTTATAACAGGAGCCACAACGCAAACTTGCACGCGAAGAACCCTCCAAATTGTCCACTAGTACACGCAACCTTTGTCAAGCATTTCTACCCGCCCACGACCAGCAACATCTTGCTACGCGTCACACATGGATCGCGCATCCTGGAATCCATCTCGTTGTCCTCGGACGCGCCGCCTCTGCGGTTCGACTTTCCTTCTCCCCTATTGCCTTATCTTCGATTATGTGCATGAAGCTCAAGGAGTCCATCATATCCTTACTCCTTACGAGGTAAGCCATTCGGATGGATTAACAGCAAAGACTGATGCTCATTCGAACGCAGAGCGTATCAACATCGTCCGCCATATGCAGAAATATTCATTGGATTCTCTCCAAGCCATTCTCCGGAATGTGTTCGATTTCGACGTATACAAGCCGGAAACGATCGACAAGCTCGCTGAGGTTCTGGATCGTCACGGGTGCATGCCACCTTCGTTTCCGAATGCTGTGACTGAATCGAACGTACGTAGGCTAGCTGTGAAACGCCTGGGTCTCGACGCCGCAAGAGAGGCATCGCGCACGAACATACTAGATATCAAGTTTGAGCCCAAGGGAGATACGGCTTTGTCGAACCCGAAGATGGGCGAGGTTGACCCCCAGAATAAGGCCCACATCGCTGCCGCCCATGACGACCTTCTACTCGAATGCGCCGCCACTGGTCCCGCCGCCGGATGATCTGACGCTGCCACAGGTCATGCTCGACTATCGTGGAGGACACCCCACGAGGCCGGTGCGTCCGCGGGATATCCCGTGGTTCGTGGATGAGGAGACGGGGAGGGTGGTCTTCGAGGAAGAGGTATGAGGAGTTTTACGACTGTGTGATTTTACTGAAATTCGCCTTAGGCCAGGAAATCGTCATTCGGGTGTTCTGTTCGTGCGCAAGAGCTCTTCACACAAAGCTTGGTGTTGAAGTGTTCCTAGCGTTCGGGAGAAGGCAGGCGTTGTATGCGGCGTGTTACCGACGCTGAAGCACTTGCGAGCTCATCTCGTGTGAAGGGGTGCGTTCGACTCGGCGCCCAATAGGACAGTTAGCGACGACTTGCTTGACCAGCGTGTCTCCGTCGTGGATGCAGATGTACGAGGAGTCTTCATTTTGCGGCCGATGTGCTTCGCTCTTTAGATCCACTCGTGGCTCGTGCCGTACCGTCCTGAACGAGCAGGAGTCAGGCATGCACGAAAATTCGTCCAGACTGCTCTTGCACTGCATCGTGTTCTATTACTGAACTTCTGCCATCTTTTGCATTCACAATGATGGTTGACAATTTTCCTATAGTCATCTCGCATCCCTTTGGGGACTGGTGTCGTGTTCGTGGACGCAGGCGTGTCACGCGCCGTCGCGGCGTGGCTGATGTGCTTCCTCTCCAGTTGCATCCGTGGCTTGTGCGATGCCGTCCTGAGCATCACCGAAGCTCATGTCAGACTGCTCTTTGCTGAACGACCATCTGTGATCTCAACGGGCAGGCACAGCATCTTAGCGCTTTCCGAGCGTGGTATCGAACCTGCTGACAAACGAAGCCGTAACGACCGAACGTCTCGACAGACACGAGGCCGTCTCACGACTGTTCCGCTAGGAGGCTAGTCGTAAGGACAATGTTCGCCCTCACTTGCGCTGCGCTCATTTCACTGCGGTAGATAAGGCAAACGGGCTAGATCCATTGCTCGCACTTTGTCTCGTTTCGTGGGCGCTTTTACTGCGGTACTGGCATGAATTCTGCTTCCCGTCATTGAGGCTATAGAAGCCATTTTGTTCTACTTACACGCGCCGCGTTACCTAGGTGATCGCTAACGCCACCGGGCACTATTGGCCGAGATGCTGTGTTATGTTTATGTCCTTCCGCACTGTACAAAACCTGGTCACCTCTTCCACCCGTTCATACCCCACATAGTCATCCTGAGTACCCATTCTACAACTCAATGGATTGTTGTGATGCATTGGCGACATGTTGTTCGGGATGTGTGTGTCTAGGGTCCTGCATGACATTAGCATGTAAGTCAATAATTGACAGTTATATCTGCATTGCTCATGTTCTACCTAGGTGGCTGTCCAACGAAGGTAACAATTGACGAGAACCTTAGCAGCCAGAGAACGTGTCCCGCTTGTGGCGATGGTATGCATGCCTTTTGTCAGGTGCAAATTTGATTCCATGGCTCATCGTCACTATAGTCGCTGTTTCCTCCGGGACTTCTCAGGACTGGCTACAGTGCTGCTTCCTCCGAATTATACCTCTGCATACCGAACGTGTCTGGGTTTGTGAAACTTGTGATTGGCGCGCACGAATCAAAGAATCAGAGTGAGCGGAAGTTCGCTCTAAGCTATCGGTTATCTGATCAATTTTCTCCAGATCTACGCCGGGAGCCACAGGCGGTTCGGGTCCCGAGATGCAACAACCCCGTCCCTCAGGGGAAATGCAGGTCCCTCTTGCAACGCAATAAGATGCCTGGTCGTCATCTGGATTCTGGAGGACCTACAACGTAGGCGGATTTACTATCATAGGGCCAGTTGGCCGCGAGACGGAAGCGGCCGATGTCACGAGACGTGCCCCATCTTCTTCGATAACTGATGATGTGTCAAGAGTGTGCCACATCAATTATACATTGAGCTCTTGCTCGGATCCGCAATTTTGATGTGCGAGCATACGACATAAATGAAACAGGTATTGTGTCTATTGCCCATCGTCTCCCACCTCGTGTGGGTTGTATCTTCCCGACTTTCCTCCTCCACTCCACGGCATACAGGAGACGTTTCAAGGATCGCTCATGAAGATCGCGGTAGTAGGGTCTGGCGTCTCTGGCCTTGCCGCGACTTGGGTAGGCTGCCTTTATTCATTCGTGCTCATGAGCACATAGGTTGATAGTCGCAGCTACTTAACGAGTATAGCAATCATGAAGTGCATCTCTACGAGGCAGAATCGCGCCCGGGCGGACATGCGAATACGATATCTTTCGTGCAAGAAGGGAAGGCGCCTATCGATGTTGATACGTACGTATTACTTCTGATCCGGCTTTTTCAGGACTAATATCAGCCATTCCAGGGGATTCGTATGTGCTACGTATTTGCGCGCGAATTGACTTTGCCCTAAAATAGTCGTCCGCTTAGATCGTCTTCAACCCAATAACTTACCCGAACTTCTTACGATTCCTCAATTTATACCCTCACCTACGAGAGCGCATCCTCAGGACAACCATGTCCTTTTCCGTCTCGCGTAATGCAGGGGCATTTGAATGGGCTGGAACCAGCCTCGACAGCGTCTTCTGCCAAAGGCATCGTTTGCTGGATCCGAGTATGTGGCGCATGCTGTACGATATTTTGCACTTCAACGCTTGTGCACCGCGGGCGCTGTGCAAATCCAAACTTGAAAACCTTTCTATCGGGGAGTATTTGAAGACAGAAGGGTACTCGGATTCTTTCAGAGACAATTACTTGATCGTAGGTTGCCTCGATTCACCATCAGTGTTGCCGCTGATCTGATGCTGCTCAGCCAATGACTGCAGCAATATGGAGTACACCGCCGGACAAATGTTTCTTAGATTTTCCTGCCCAGACGTTGGTGAGACATGCTCAATATCTCTCGCCCGCAATGCCCCTCATCCAGTGTAGGTGCAATTCATGCATAATCATCATCTATTGCAAATCATCGGAAGACCATCATGGCTCACCCTTCACGGTGGCAGGCGAGTCCGATGCAATGCAGCAGCGCTTCATAACACTAATGCATATCTCGACAGCCGCACATATGTCGACCAAATTCTCTCGGCGCTGCCTGCGGAACAGCTGCACCTCTCTACCCCTGTCATTGCCGTGAATAGACGAGCTTCGGATCTTCCTACGCATATCGATGATCCTGCCTGCGTCGAGTTATTGACAGCGCAAGGCGAACGTATCAACTATGACCACGTCATTCTTGCATGTCACAGTGATACTGCACTGTCCATTCTCAAGGCAGGAGACAGCGCAAGCGCTGTCGAGGAGCACGTTTTGGGCGCTTTTGAGTGGAGCAAGAACATCGCTGTGCTGCATAGCGATGAACGGGTACGTCATTGATGTGACTGAGTCGAGCTCCGGCAGTCAACTCGTGGTGCTGGTCGCCTGCAGCTTATGCCACAGAACCGCAAGGCATGGTCGTGCTGGAACTACCTCACCAGCTCCACCGGAACTCCGAACGGAACGCGGAAAGTCAACGGCGACCAGGTCTCTCTGTATGTGCTCGTTAATCATTACACACGAACGTGCTACTGACACGCATTTGTCAGCACTTGTACGTCTCACCTCTGCCGCTCGTGCCCGGTATGACTGACTGTATGCGCACCAGATTGGATGAACGAGTTGCAGCATATACTCGAGGACACGCATGGATTAATCTTCGTCACGTTGAACCCGCCCTTCGAACCCGACCTCAAGCTGGTGAAAGGGAGGTTCCAATACGAGCACCCGATCCTCGGCTCTAAGGTAATCCGCCCCGTTTCGGCTGCGAAGTTCTGCCACTGACACGGAACAGGCTATCGGCTCGCAAAATGACATGTCGGCCATCCGAGACCACCAAGGAGTATCCTTTGCGGGTGCTTGGCTCAAGTACGGGTTCCACGAGGATGGCTTCACGTCAGGGCTCCGCGCAGCCTCTGCTCTCATCAACGAACAAAGCATTCAAGAGGGACAGAAATGCATGCCCTTTGAGATCGTCGACGCAGATCGCCGCCCAAACTTAGTAGAGATGAGGTTATTGCCTCTGATTTTTGACGCCTTCGAGGGCATGGGGCTGAGGATGATCCTCGGTGCCTTCTTGGGAGGATGCTTGGCAATCTTGCGAATGTGCCTCGCGCGGACGGGACGGGGGTTAGTATGCGAGTCTTGAATATGATCGGTGTTAAAGCGGAACAGGTCGTCAAATCCGCAGCATGCCGGGAGCATGAGAATGCAAGCGAAACCTAATGTCATTGAAAATACAAGGATTGTATGCGCATACTGATATATGGTGGAGATGCGAGGACCGATAGACAATACAATTGATGCATGAAGAGATGATATAAGTAGACTGGGATATACAATGAGGAATAGTACGTGAGTATGCAATAGAGTGTTCATCCGAACTCGCATCCGGTACACAGCCGCGTCTAGGATGAACTGACTGATTCCGCAAAATTCTAATATGATGCGAAGAGTAAGATACTGAGGTGGCTTGGACCACACAGCCAAGCAAGGCCGCTACCGCCTCTCGTTATGATCGGGCAGAGAAAATCTGACCTGACCATTCCGAGGCGTCTCAGGAACGCTTGGAGAGGGTGATTCGTTTTCACCCTCAGACGGAGCCTCGCTTCCTGGGGACGGCGTTGCCGGAAAGGAAGGCGAGCGTAAGATAGAGGGCGTATGATTGCCCCGGTATTCATCTGCGAAGTGCACAGATCGCAGCGACCGTGCAGGAGACTGATCACGTCCTTGTAGTCGCAAGTCCATGGAACACAGGGATTCTATGCGCGCATGTCCCGCACGTGGCACTGACGACGTGCTGCTGGTATGAGGTGGACGTCGGCCGCGTTCCCCTTCAGACGCCTCCGTACCAGCTTCATAGCCGCCATCATCATGGCGATCCACGGTAGACAATGTATCCTCGCTTCGCGACCGTTGTTGGGACACACGAGGACTCAGCACACGTCGACGCATGGAGGTTCGTCGACGTGAACCCCCCTGGCTTAGTCGTGTTGGCGGCGACCTGGTCGACTTCTTCGCACGCTTGCGCCCGTCAGAAGATGCCGAGCCATGCACGTCTCCCTCGCTCGCATCGGACATCCAGCCCTCCTCCTCGTCCTGGTCCTGTACACCAGCTACACGTTTGACTTTGTTGGCAGCCGCCTGCTCCGCGTCCTCGATTCTGTGTCCTAATTGCTCTGTCCCTTCTTCAATGTCATGTTCAACATCATGAAGTGCGTTTTCGAGGTCGCGCGGTGTCCGGCGTATCTTTGACTTAATTTCATTCACGGCGTTCGCCGCAGCCCCCGCAGCCGCATCGATTCTCTCCGCGGTTGTTGACTTGGGCCCGAACGCATTGTCCTGCACTTCGACTTCAACCTGGATATAAGCGTGAGCAATAGCGACAACCATGATCATAACGTGGAGGCATACATCTTCCCCGGGCCTTCTGCGCCGCTCAACGACCTTGTTCTGTCCTTCCCTCCATTCCTGCACGTTCTCCTCGCCATCTGGCAGGTTCTCCTCCCTCATATCCGTGCCGTTCGGTCTTATGGCGGCCTCATCCTGACTTCTTGATGAGCCCTCTTCCTTCTCGTCTTGCGTTGTGGTAGACTCCTCCCTCATCTCATATGACTCTGGTCTTCGTCCTTTTTCATGCGGCGGTAGCACTCCAGCCTCCATCGCGCTTTCGCGATCGCGATTGATGACAATGTCTTCACCAGCGACGACGGGGCGGGTTTGTGTCGTCCACTCAGGCAACACGCGTCCACCGAGTGTACCGAATGTGTCATGCCGCGACCAAGTGCGCGAGACAGAATGCACGCGGCGTCCAAGCGAGAAGAATGGGATGGACAGGCCATGTATCGTGATAGAGCAGAGGACCATGAATGCAACGATAGGCTGGATGGATGCCGCAAGCATCTGGGCCTGAGTGGCTGGCGGCGATTCAGGTTCCGGCAGCTGTTCAACAGCAAGGGTGGCGATGAATACGGCACCTGCATATGTGTGCCCCGTTGTTAGTATTTTTACGCACATACGCAGTAATAGGCGATACCAAGGACGTACCAATGCCCATAGGGCCAAAGTGTCCACTGAAGATGGCCTCCTGGAGTGTCTTCACATCCGGAATCCATCTATACAGAGCGATCATCACCGGCAGCCTCCTCAACAGTAGGATGAGAATCGCGATCACGATCAATCGCCAAGGGGTCAACGTCAACGTGGCATCGGAAAAATCGTCGAAGGGCATCCATGCGCCAATGAATATGAACGCAGCAATGTTGAAGAGTAGATCGATAACAGATGAAAACACAGCTTCCTCCGTCTGCTTGTTGAAGAAACCATCCCATGCAAAGGCAGTTCCGCACGAAAAAGCTGCCAACAAGTCGTCTGCGCCGAGTAGCGTATTTGCGCCGATAGTGAGCATTGCAAGCGAGACGTATTGTGCAACATATGATTGCCGATCAATGAGATCCTTGCGTTGGCAGAATTTCATGAGATATCTGAATCCAAAGCCAAGCACGGCGCCGAATATGATACCAACGGCGATCTGGTCTGAATGCGGAGCATTGCACAGGGATTTGGAATAAAATTAGTCAGAAAAACGCATCATACTTTGCTCAATATCCACGCACATAGCCATAATAACAGAAACCAATCTTTGATGGCGTTGTCTGTATTTTTATCTATGGTGAGGTACAACGCGATGAATAGGAATGGGAAAGCAGCTCCGTCATTGCAGCCGCTCTCCGCGGCAAGGAGATGCCTTAGATGTGCAGGAACATGTTTGTCTGCATATTTGCCACCGACAACGGCCGCAGCAAGGATAGGATCAGTAGGTGTGAGACAGGCTGCCACTGCCAAGGAGGAGAGGAAATTGAGTCCTGGTATTAGCGCATATATGAGGCCAGCTGACACAAACCAGCCCTGTATGAGTATGCCGCGGCATGATTAACTATGAAGGCAGCAGGATCGTCAAAATATGCGCACCCATGTCATGACAGGGAAGAGAAGAAAGAAGAGGCTCTTCCAGTGCCTGGCCATGTACGCTTTCGGCAGTTCCACGCCTATGGCGAAGACGCCGATGGCCAGGACAACTCGCGTAAATTCAATCACGATGGTGTTTGTCGTTGCGATATCTCCTCCGCCCCAATCCCGAGGGTCGAATATATTTGCACAGTAGGGCCCTGCGGAAGTTAGTACATGTTACGATGCGAAGCTGTGTGGAATGCACGCACCGATGATGACACCGAAGAGAAACGCCCAGCATGCTTCCCCGATGTACAACTACAATCCTCAATACCCAAGTGTTCAATCACATAACGACCGGCGTAACATACCTTCTCCCGAATGAACAGCGAGAACATGCCAAACTAGACAGGACTATCAGCATTGTCGAACTGCAAGCACTACGAATGCGCACGCACGAAGACGATAAATCCGCCCAAAAGAATATATGCGAGATGAGGTATTGAAACCTCAATCTATCACAGCGCATATCGTCAATCGTTCTCATATGCTGGATGAGTTCAGATGATGCGTACCAATTTGAACCTGGACATGATGGCGACAGCTTTCTAAAGTTGGGAAGACGAAGCTCTAGAACCCGTATCTACAGTGTTTAGTCGTAAAGTCGTAGAAGCGTCGTGATGGTTGACAGAATGTGGAGATGACGATACGGGGACGCTGAGCACAACGCTCGGGGATGCCGAGATTGCCTAGGTCGATCGCAAGGATCTAGCGGCGGAGGCAGTGCTCCACTGTGGCTGACTGCGGCAACCTCCGCGACGTTCAGGCGTCGGTGTTGTGCTGAACGGCGAGGACGATGGACGACAGTGAAGATGCATGAGACAACACCTGCAGCGTGCAAGTACTTAAATTGTACGGCGCTCAAAGAGGCCTGCGAATGGCCTCCAATTCCAAAGCGCAGGGAGATTCTCGGTTCGGCATGCCACCCGGTGGTATATAGCTCGGCATCTCTCGGCATCTGTACTAGACTGCTCTGTGCAGCCTACGACTCGGACCCCCTCACCTCTAAAATCCAAGTATACCGTACTGCAGAGCAAGCGCTTCATTATTCTATTATCGCACAGGCACATCATGAGTTGGACCTTGATTGTGAGCAAAAAATGCTCATGAGATGCGGCAACTTGGTATGCAATCTCCAACAGTCTATGACACATAGTACCAAGCGCCCGGGTGCGACCGACATGAAACCGCACATCAACCTTCTACGCTTCTAGGAGATGCATGGACAGCACCATGTCGTGGTATCTCGCCGAATGTGACACCATAGAGGGGGCTCATTTGACATACGGGGCTTCCTTTTTATTTGGAGGCAGGAACGTCGGGGGCCTCGCCGAGGCTATGCATCATTATCCGAGCCCACTGCTGCGTTGCATGCTGAGTAATACTCGGCTAAGGCAAAAGAAGCCGAATCTACGGGTGTTTTGAGGACAAAGAAGCAATTGACGAACCAGCATTGCTCCCTCAGGGTGAGAGTACAGACAAATTGCTCGAAGTCAAACTGGGCGCGAGGCAGGCGACCGGGAAGGGTCTAGCCACAACTGAAACTAGCTCCGGGCTGGAGGATCATGTAGTATAGAATAGGCAAATGAAACCGAGCTTGGAGTTCTTACATGCCGCCGCTGTCGCTGGGGCCCCGTAAAGCGTTCTTATGAGAGTCATTCGAAGGAAACAAATCCACCCCGCCCCACAAGCGAATTGAGTTGAGATGCACGAGGCCTCCACGAACCGGGGACATGATCAGCTGACGAGATACACAATGCACCTTGGTTCGTCGCCGAGCGCGCCGCGGGGAACGTGTCCTTATCGGACATTTGGGATGTTCGACGCTATTGAAACATCGCGCTTCTTATAACGACCTTTGGGAAGGGCCCGTGCGCCAAACATCAACTGTTGAACGGCATGTCATACGCGAGTCAATACTGCGTCAGCTGTGCACTGAGCGTGTTCGTAGGGTTATTAAAATCTCTTTCAAACGCATCACTATATACCCCTCTGATGCGATACATCGAACTCCGAAACGCTAGTGACGCGCAACGCTATCGAGCTTCCGCAGTTGACCCCCCACAGCTGCGACACAGATAGCATGCGTACCTCGACGGATCTGTCTACTACTGATAATCAGCGCGTGTGTAGTAGTACAATAAAGTGAACAAAAAGCAAACCCACCACGCACCAGATATCTCGGTGGAATAGCAATCCCCGAATGCAAAGCAGCAAATACCCATGACGGGTACGAGGAGGGAAAAAATACGAAGGCACCACAGTCCAAGAGTAGTCTGAATCGAGTTTCGCAGAAACTGCGAGCCGCGAAGTGCACTGAAGTGAAGACATCCAAACGCGCCAGAGCCCCCAGCTGGGGCAACCCCTGCCTGAAAAAGCCCGCCCCGCCCTGTCACCGTGTCATTCGAGGGGCACGGTGGGACCCGTGATCGTCGTGCCATCGTCAATACTCGCGCGCGGCGCCCCAGAGGGCACCACGCCACGGTGACCAGAGACGAGGACATGACGCGGACATCTCACATCCTCGAGACGATACTTCCAAGGGCCGATGACCAGATTCTTGACCCTTCCTCTTCCGAGGTTCGTCGGGAGTACACGAAATCGGCCAACCCGAATTGCTGATTCGTCTCTCGACCGGTGACGGCCGGTCCCAGGCTAGGGACAATCGCGGAGGAAATACTCAGACCTTAGCCCGCTCGCGAGGAAAGATGCATCAAAGCGTCCTGTTCGGTGCGAGCTTCGCGGCTTTTGGACTGTGGCAGCGAGCCGACATCGAGAGTACATGAGCCTCTCTGAAGAAGTCGTCAGAGCGCGCAAAACCCAAAAAATCTGCAGCCACAGCGGATCTCAGATCGAATACTTGCCTAAATTAGCAAGTCGCGTGGGACGTTCACTGGTACGATGTTGGGAGTGGAATGGCGAGCTAATGGACTCAACCTAGCTCGGAAATCTTACAGCTTCCTACTATAGAGAGAGTGTGTGGACTTGATGTGTTGATGACCGAATGCTGCTATGACTGCACGATCTTGAAGTAGTACTAATACTAGTAAGTACCAGTCTGTGGTTTGGAGTGATACAGCCAGTGTCTCGTCTATTTTTCAGGTCTTACTCTCACAACCAGTAGTAGATCATACAAGGACAAAATGATACGGTAGCGACAGACAACACGAAGACAGAAAACATAAAGTAACTACGACTAATGCAAAGCGATTGAAGAGCGAAGAATTTATGGTATAGTAAAGTGAATGATTCTTAAATTTCGGATTTCACCAGATCGGCGAGAATGAAAAAACTGAAGAGGTTTCCAGGAGATAAATAACCCAAAGCTCCGAAAGAACGTCTGAAGAACCAAGGTCTCTAGCAGGAAGGGACCAAGAATAAGCAGAATAAAACATAAGTCAGAGAACGAATATCCGGTACATGCGTGATTTGATGCAAAGACTTGAGAACGCCCACGGGGAATAGTAGCTTGGAGACTCCGTCCTTCCACCTTGGCAGCACACTACGGGTACAATGCTGTTGTCTCAGCCTATAAGCGATTCACCACGCCACAGCGTATTGTGGTGTCTGAGTATTGAAGTACTTTGGAGGCATCGTGGCTTTGAGCTGACTCTGCGAAGAGGGCGACGAGAGATTACTCACGGAATCTCTGACCACTTGAACTTCCCGGTGTACATCAACTTCTAGAGCGGTTCCCTGCTGTCACCCATGTGGGCGTAAGCGATGAATGCGATACGGAACAGAGATCGAAGGGTCATCACCGAAGTAGCCTCTACATCGCGTTCCGTGGCATTTTTGGTAGCCTTTCCGACCATCAAGAAGGTCGGCATCGTAACATCTTCACCATCAGTCCCGCGACCACGCAGAACTCTGCGCGTGTTCAATCTGCACGATGATAATCAGAATACAAAGAACTAGAGAACTGCTGGTGCACATACGTTGCAAGAAATGAATTCGCGTAAACTGTCCACGTAACAATCCGTCAGTGGAATTTCGCAACTATGATGAGAGACATACGTTTACTGAGCGCGAAGTAGAATCCCATGAAGATAAAGTTTTGCGGCATGATATCGTACTTCGATGCGGACCTCTCAGACGACAAGATGACAACAGTTGAAGGAATAATGATTAACCCACCAGTATCAGGGTGGTCAGACTGATAGCGCTGAGAACATCCAAATCTCGCTCAGCTGAAGGAAGAAGCTCAACGTGGGAATAACACTCACCTCGTGAGTACGCCGGTGTTCACGGCATACAATGTCAGACTATTGACCAGCGAATCATCTCTGGTTGAGAATAACAGCCGTTGAATACACGCATCATCGCGGGGAGACGTGAGAGATGCACCTTGAGTAGCCTGTACGCAAAGTACGCAGGAAGTAGCATAGCGCGACAGCCGTGACCATGTCTGTTGCCACCCCCAATCCCAGAGATATGCTTCCAATGACCTGTGAACACGCACTTGTGAGAACGTCAACTGTAGATGTGAGATGGTATACCTTCAGCTTGGAGAGCACCAGCAGATTGGCAATTTGAAACCTACATCGTCACTTCAGAGAGATATGTTCATGATATAAGAGCTGCCACTCACCCTTTCACAGTGTACACTTGCATCCGCACAAATGACACTTCAATTGAAGCCTAGAGGCAATGATTTGATAAGAGCTTACCACATGCCATGGCTTACAGGTTCCCATAAATATGCCGATCATGACGATGAGATGATACACATACCTAGTTGCGCGAACACCAGCAGCAGCTATAGCGGCGTCAGATCTCAACGAACTTACATTTCCTCGATCAGTGGGAAGACCTACGATTACAGCAGTGATCCCCGCATTACAGTTGCTGACTGCAAGACATTTGAGATGGCAAACACCGGGGTGCATGAGTGACACAGAACTCACATCTCCATACCCGCATGGCAAAGCAACTGCAGGTGAGTTAACCACTGTGTGGAGGGAAGAGGAAGCGCACGCACGCCTTGACTATGGCTCCTGCCGTGGCCTGCGTTTTATATGAGTGATTAGGATGTGTTTCGAGAGGTTCCACTCACTCCAAGCGTAACCTGAAGCTAATATCGACCTTCTATTAGACTTCGCCAATGATTATGCACGCAAAAGCTCACAATGAGAGACCTTCAAAATCGTGAGTGCCACGCTAATAATAGCACAAGCTCAACATACCAATGAACATGGTCGAGGAGAACCTCCAAAACACCCCAATTTCTGTATTGCACGTCAAGTTACTTAAGCAGCTCTGTGCATACCGTACTCACGTCACGAGGTAAAAGTAGACGGCATAGGCAATGAATGCCTGGTCGACGGCCTCGAGGATCCTAAGAATGGGTGAGACCAGCTGCCGGAGCTCAAGTAGGCATCATACCACAATGCAGCGACCTTTAAGAAGGGCACCAGTTAGCTTCGCACCAAACACGATATGGCGCGCGCTACTGACCAGACATTTGTAGAACAATCGATCCTGCGGGTACCGTCGGAAGTAGGTGTACATCTGTGTGCTTAGGACTCCAAGCAATCTAGTAGATGAGTATTCAGATGCGATTCATCAGCATTTGGCAACGGTACATCCTCACATGCAAGACGCTCCAAAGCCAATCAAGGCAGCGCCGAACGTGGCATTCTTATCAAGTGTTTCAGCTGGAATGCCCATGACGATTGAGGTAGGCAGAGAAGCGCAAAGGAGTGTGAATCGTCAAAGGAGCGAGATGTACCGGACTCTCAGCACCTTCGAAGGACGACAACGAGCTGGGGATGCCGGGTGGACGTCGAAGAGGAGAAAGAAGGATGGACGACCACGGGCTTATCCACGGCGTCCCCAGACGACGCCCGAGAATATTTCGAAAGACTGATTGATGAACACAATCAAAGATGGCAGAAGGATTGTCACCGCGGTTGAGACTCTGCGGATCGCTCAGCACTGTTCCTATTAGCCATATATAGACAAGTTACTGTTGCCACATTTTGACGATCCAATCTGGACCCGGGGGTTCGCCGAGCAACCAATCTCTTTTTCCCACTTAGCACGATCTGGAATAAGCCTAAATGCTCTCAACGCTCGCTGAGTTCCACATGGCAAGGACGCACGTCCAACAAGTTGGACAGGCCACTACATCTCTAGCAACGCATATGGTCCCCCTCTTCCATCTTTACAGTGACATTAGATCCGAGAATTGCTCGTGCAGATGGAATCACGCCTAGATCCAGTCAGTCCGGTCGGGGTGATGCACACTCGGAGTATCTACGGAATTGGACGTACCTGATCCTGTATCCACCCCCGTTGCCCCTAACAGCGCAAGGCTCAACAGCGCCGCGCTACCCACCAGCCCGCGTCCCGCATTCAACTCTAATCCACGCGCGATGTGCGATGGCGTCAACAGTCGTCTGATCGCGGGTGTCGTTTGTGCTCTTCTCTTTGCTGGGCGGTCATCGGGCCCCAGTGCACGCAACGCTGCCTCATCGCGTCTGAACGCACTGACCCCGTCGTGAACGAGTAGCTTCACCATCGACCTCGTTACTGCCGCCAATAAAGCGTAGGGGGCGAGGTCGTCCAGCAGCTCCTGGCGTGGCCGATTGACCCCAGTGCGACCTGATAAATCATTCGCCGAGTCTGAGAATAGTTGAGAGGCCGCTGCGAAGTGCTTCAAGCGCCACATCGCCGAGACATTCCGAATCGCATAAACGAGAGCGGGGTCCACAAATGCCGGCAGATCAGAAGATGACATGGCAACTCCCGGGCCCTGGGTACTTGGATATGGCACCGAGTAGATCGTGGGATGCAATTCATAAGATAGAGGTTCTGCCGGTCCCGCGTCAGATATCTTGCCCATCAAGTGGTTCAGAACGAGCAAAGGCAGCCTGGGAGTCGGTGCATTGAAAGTGGTGCATACTGCCCAATTGGAACTTCCGCGGGTAAATGAAAAGATTTCTGCGGGTTTGACATTGTCGCCACCGTCATCCTTGACAACGGCGGGGTGCAATGGCTGGATCAGCCCACAGAACGGACAATACTCATCCAGATGTTGAGCCAATTCGTCCTGCGATGATGAAGCGGTGGCAGCCGCCTTCTCGAGAGCCGCACGAGGAAATATGTTTTCATCTTCCATCCATCGATAGACCTCCACAGCTGTGAGAGGAATTAGATTGTCTGTGTCAGGAAGGGAGGCAACGTGCTTCTCGTAGGCATGGCGTAATGCCCGCGCCCGGCTCATCTGGGAAAAGAAGCTTAACACGTGCCCTAGCGCGCAAAGCTTTTTCATCTTACTTCTATCGCCTTGCGGCGCCCTGGGACTATGTTGCGGAATTGAGCGGCGCCCGGTACCAGCATAGATACCGATTGTTCATGATGTCGCCCTTTCCAGTCTGTAGCACGTTCATTTCCACTCGGAGACATAAAAGAGTGGCTATGCGTGCTCACCTTTAGTCATAATTGGCACTTGCGGCAGCAGCGCTCGTAGGGTGAGGATATACTCTGCAAGTAACGGGTACACCGATCAGTTATCATGGAGATATGATCCAAAAAAAACACAATAGGACCAGTGAGCACTGTGCGTCTACGGCAATGCGCCGAGGATGCGGACCGACATTCAACCACGAATGACATACCAGGGTCAGTGTTAGTGTGCTCTTCCGTGGACTTGTCATGCTTGTCCATGCCAGACTGCTCGTCTCTCCATGTAACTTTCCTAGCGTCCTCCCGGACGGGCAGCAATGGCGTGGTCTTGTCCAGCTCGACGTCGAACACCTGCTCATCGCCGAGAACTGGGTTGCCCAAATGTATAGGATCTATCTACAGATCCAACGTACATTCGTCAGAAAGAAAATCAAGAGAGTACAAGCAACGACAACAACTGACATCAACCCAATGCTCGACGTCCATTGGAGGATTCATTGCCCCTATCCAAGTTAAATTAATGCATGCTAGAAAGGGCTTGTCGGTAGTGCGAGTCACAACGAACGGTGGCTCGGTCACCACAATAGGCTTTATGAGAGTTGAAGGAGGTGGATCCGTGAGGCAGGTGATAGTCAGCTTGGCCAAAAAGGTAGAGATATGCAGGCTCTGTAATTAAGCAAACATCAGCGGAATGCTCGGAGCAGATTGTCAACTCATAACCTACATAAGATGGAGCAGACACTGCGAGCCGCCAGCGATGTGTATGATCTGGATGGGATTTCACGCGGCGATCTAGTGCAACTCAGCATGCGAAGTATACTTTGAGTGTGACAACTCACCAGGATGGAGCCAAAGACTATAGTCTGCAATCTTAACACGAGCGTTGACATGGAAGCGACTGCTTGCAGCGTTTGAGAGCGAACATGTATTTGCTGCCCCAGACATTAGACTATTTTCCTGTGGCTCTGTCTTCTTCTCCACCTCCGTTAGAGGATTGACTTCATCAATAGCCGGCCGAGCTACATTTCGGTGATTGTAGTGCATCCTCCAGGCACGGTTCTTGCCCCCGCCGATGGACTCCTCTGTTTCCCCTACGATGTCAATTACTTCGTTGAGATCATCGTATACATGGATAATACGTCTCTTTGGAGCCCTGCCAAGAAAAGGAGCAAGTGCCGGAGTATCCATGTGGTGGCCCAACGTTCGTGTCACCTCCGTGCTTGTCGGTACTGGTGTCTCTTTCTTTTTAGAATGAATGACCGCGTTAGCCTCGTTGTTGTTTTCTCGGCTTGGATGATGGTGCAGGTTAGAAAATGAGATATGCTCCCCGGCTCCCACCGCAATCTCAAATAACCTCCGTAAGCTCGGCAAGCTGATTCCTCCAAGCTCTGTACCATTTGCAACCACCCAATCGCGCTCCTCATCGGGTACCAGGACAGCGCATCTCTGAATGCACTCATCGTGGCTGCCAAACTCGCGATGATGACGCAGCCGGCAGTGGTTTAGCAGCCCTTGGAGATTTGAAAAGTCAGAACGAAGACAGTCCGAGCAGACAAGTTTTGCAATCTCAGGCGGTGAGGTAGTGGCGTTTCGCAAGAAAAGCAACTTCTTGCTAGGCGGCGGAGGAGCACGAGGAAGACCACGAAGACGGGTGGACCCGATGCGTGGCGTTGAATGAGAAGAGACAGAAGTAGCTTCAGGGACTGCATAGTCCGCAGGAGTGACAGGGAGAGGGATGGGTCTGTCTGGGAGCTTGGTCTCTCTGTCGAAGAGGATACTGCAAGGGTGTTCTATCGCGTGCAGAGCATCTAAAGCAGCCTCTTGGAAGGGTGCTTCCTCGCTTGTAGCACCTACCTGTGGTTAGTGAAACTAAAATTTGCACGAACTGTAGGAACGCGAACCTTTCAGGCCCTTCTCGAGTGTCTCCTGAAGTATCAATGCCCAAGTTAGTCGAGAATGCACTGTCTCATACAGCCGTTCTCTCAATCCAAGCTCGAGATCAACTTCTTCCAGCACAAGCTGCTGGTACATCGGTGCCCTATCTATAAATTAGGTCATATTCTGGATGAACGAACTGAAGGTTGGCTGCATACAGTCTGAATCGATGGGCGAGAATTTCTGACGTTTCGCGGGCCTATCGTCAACCATTCTTTCGTCGCCAGGCATGACAGCAAATTTGGGTTGCCCAAGCATATTGCATCAGGTACGTCAACGCCGCATACCTGATGTCTTCACTGGATTAAGTAATTCGTGAGAGGACCTCAATGTTGAAGGAGAAATTCCAAGTGCAGGGCAGGGTGATGTATGGGCGCCAATCAAGGACCCAGCTCTCTGATTGGTCGATTGGATCCTGAGCATCTGCCTTTGGCTTTCATTGATCGCGGCCGACTGACACTCTACCCTTCTCATATTGCTGCCAACATGAGCTTATCATCTCTTTTGCTGCATAAAGGCAAAGATGCAGCCATTGACAAAGGCCTGGACAACATCTTTCAGTCGACCGTATGTCTTCACGATCTCGTCTCATTGCTACCTACATCTAACAACCCAATATATTTTAGACAGGATTGTCGACGTCAGCTAGCAGTCAACCAAATGCATCACTACAACGGGAGTCACCAAAACTGGATAAAAAGCGTAAATCGCGAGAGGCTGCGCATGCACCTGTTGACAAGCGAGAAAAGTCGAAAAGGCGGAAGACCCGCAAAGTGGCCGATGAAGGTGTGTATGTCTTTCCATTTCGAGCTTATTATTAGATACATGCTATACACAGATTCTCAAGAGAACCCACCGGAAGATCAGCAGGAAGAACATTCGTCCACGAGCAAGCCCTCCACGAGTGCGGCAAGCAAGGCACGAAGGGTACGGCCAGAAACTGCGGGATCGGATGAGGATTCAGACGACAGCGAAAAACCAGCCTTTAAGAGTACGTCAAATCCGGCGCAACAACACGAAAGTTCAGACGGCGACTCGGACGATGAAGGACACTCATCAGAACTCGTGCATGAATCACTTGCAAAGGGCTCCAGGACAAGGAGCTTGAACGGGCGCAGAGCAAAAACGAAGTACGTTCCTCTAGAAGAAACGTCGGAGCAAAGAAACGCACGGACGATCTTCGTCGGTAATGTGCCGGTAGACGTGGTCAAATCGAGAGTGCGAACCCAAGCCATTCAACGTCTATCTACTCAGTTAACTGACAGCTAAGCGCAGCCTCTTCAAAAGCAGTTCAAGCGGCATATTCTGTCATTTGTGTCCTCCGCCAAGATTGAGTCTCTGCGCTTCCGCTCTGTCGCATTTCAAAGCCCTACCGCCGAGTTGCCAACCCTGGATGACAACACAAAGGGTGAGAAGGGCAAGGGAAAAGCCACATTCGGCAAGGAGAAGGAGGGGAGGCAGCACGATCGCGAGCGTGCGGCATCCTGGCGAGTCGCTCGGGGCCAGGAGGACGCAGAGGAGGAACGGTCTAAGAAAACATTCCTGACGCCAAAAGAGAAGAAGCGTATCGCGTTTATCAAGCATGAGATACACTCCGCTGCCGATGCCGTTAACGCATTTGTCGTATTTGCTCATCCACCTCCCCCGGTGGCGGATGGCAAGCATGCGGTGACTTCGCACAACGCGATCATAGACCCGTACGAGGCGGCGCGGCTTGCAGTGGAGCGGGGCGATGGGAGTGTTTTCATGGCGCATACGATTAGGGTGGACAGGGTGGGCAAGGGCGACGAGGTGGGCAATTCGGCTGTGGTAGCAGACCCGAAGGCGACCGTGTTTGTGGGTAATCTGGATTTCGCGAGTAATGAGGAGGATTTGAGGGCGTTTTTCGAGGCGTTGGCAATGGAAGAGAGGGGTCCACCGGAGGAAAGGGAGAATGAGGAGAGTGAAGACGAGGAGGGAGACGAGGACGAAGGGAACGCCGTGAAGCCTCGGACGTGGGTGAAGCGGGTGCGCATCATCCGGGATAAGGATACGCAGCTCGGGAAAGGCTTTGCATATGTGCAGTTTGCGGTACGTCTTGGTTGCCATTCGTCGTATTCCCCATGGTCATTTATTTGCATATGTGCTGAATAGGACCGAGAATGCGTAGACGAAATCCTCGCGCTGGATGAGACGCGGCTCAAGTTCGCGAAGCGTAAGCTGCGTGTACAGCGGTGCAAGACTGTCCCAGGTAGTGTGAAAATTACACCCAAACACTCCAGATCTGCTGTCTCCTCTTCGTCCTCAGCCCACCTCAAGCACCCTTCCGTTCCTTTCACACCATCTTCACTACCAAAAGGTGACCCCAGCCTCGGCACAAAGATCTCACACCTACCAAAGGAAGAGCGCAAGAAGGTCAAGGCTGCGGACGCGGAGCGCGTCGCACGCCGGCTCGCGAAGAAGCAGGCGAAGCTGCTTGCGGAGAAGGGTGTGAAGATGCGGGCGGGGAAGGAGCGAATGAGGGAGCGGAGGAGGCCGACGGAGAGGAAGGACAAGGCGAGCGGGAAGGAGAAGAGCAAGAGCAAGGGGAGGATCAGGAGTGGAAAGTCGATTGCAAGGATGAACACAAAGAAGTAGTAGATGCCTTTACTAGACTGTCTCGGGCTTAACGCTGAATGGGTCCGTTTTGCCTCTCTGTCATTCTTATAATCCCTGTGAATTGGATGCTCGTTCTAACAGGCAAAGCTTTCTTGTTTGTGGGGGAGGATGTCCCATATGGGTTATCTACAGCTACAGTCGTACATATACACAGTATGGCAAGAGGGTAAGGTAGGTGAGAAGGCATAGATGAAACCAAAGTCGACCACGATATCAACCAGATAGAATGACCTCTCCTATCACTTCTTAGTCTTTGACCTCTTACTGCCTCCTGCCTCCTTCTCTTGTGCGTCGCTCTGCTTGCCCGGATCGTCATTATCATGTTGCTCTGGACGCAAGATAAATTGCTGCTCGCCTTTCGCTTCGTTCCTTTCCCTTTTCCCTTACCCTTCTCTTCATCCTTACCCTTTTTTATCGGGGAGCCTTTCGCCTTCGTAGAGAAGAAACCATCGAGGCGGCCCTGCTGCTTCGCATTGAGGAACTTGGCGAGTTTTTCCGCGCCCTTGCGCACGCGCTCCTCGCTGAGAAAATTCATCAGCCTAGTCAGAATATGATAGGAGCAAAATAAAGGTACTTGAAGCCCTTCTCAGTCACTAAGAACTGCACGAGCCCTTCAACGTCCGGGCTCTTCCATTCAACCTGCGAGATGGTGAATACGATGCTTCACTCAGTATCCCCGGGGTATTACGAACCTCAATCTCGTCTGCAGGGGTCACGTCTGGGTGCTCAAAGAACTTCTTAGCTTCCTCCCAAGGCCACTCTTCCGGAACAGAGATGCCACCCTTTTTCTTCTTGCCATCTTCTTCTGCCCCTTCCTTTGCCGTCGCCCTATATAAGCACGGTGACAAGTTCATCAGACATAACTATGGCGAAATGATGAGGGAGTCGGCGCGCGCACTTCTCTTTCAAATGTTCAATGACGGCGCCGAGGCTGCCATGTTCTCTAATAAGCTTGAGAGCGGACTTAGGCCCGACGCCCTTGATCGGCTCAAGGTAGTCACACCCGAGGAGTATGCAGAGTTCGATGAACTGTAGGAAGGTCATTGCTCATTCTCACATGAAATTCTAGTAAGGACACTCACCTGTGACATGTTCATATTCAGTCCCTCGAGGGCTTTGTCCAGATGGATCTCGCTGATAGGTTGCTTTCTCGCTTCAGAGAAAGTTAGATGGCGATAGAGGACCGGGGCGCCGAATGTCAGCGTGTCCATGTCTTCCGAACCCGCAGCGTATACCTTGTAGGGATCGTCAGGCACCATAATCGAGTAGTCTTGAGAAGCATACCTTGCCACCACGAGCTAGTTCAGCACACTGCGCTTCGGCTTCTGACGGAGCCTGATGTGCGACGCGAGCTGAACGGGACTTGAACTCAATTAGGAAGGGGGGACGTACCACAACAAATGGGATGCCCATGACGTGAAGGAGCCTCCTACACTCCTCATTGTGTTCTCGCGTGACCTTGACTGTTCGTCTCGAGAACCGATCGACCTCCTCCGCCGTACCTGGTTTGGAATGTGCAGTACGGAGCAAGTCAGGGTACATGCTGCGACGAACCTGTCTCCTTGGCTTCCTCTCCTTCCGCCTTGGCTTCCTCTCTCTTGGCCAGACGCTTGGACAGCTATGGGATACGTTTAACATTGTAACCGCGTTACTCTTGCAAGTCAACTTACCACTCCAGCTTTCAATTCTGGCGGCTTGCCATCAAACACATACATAGGCTTGATGCCGTTCTCTACCATACGTATTGTACGGTAGAAGAAACCCATGAGGTGACTACGCACGGTGCCATCAGTCAAACGCGTTCCACGATCGTGTTTAAGATGCATGCACCTCGTCGTCTCACCCGCGTCATTCGTGAGGAGCTCCCCATCCTTCTGGCGGACGGCAATCAAGAACTGGTAGATGGACATGGACGCGTCGATTGCGACCTTGCGACCGAACAGGGTCTTGATGTCATGTTCCTGGAAGCGGGGGAGATTCAAATTGGATAAAGTGGAACGCTTGATGACAGAGATCACCTCAATGGACTTTGGTGCATGCTCGACAAGGAGACTGGTAAGACCTTTGATGCCCATTGTGTAGGAGGGAAATTATTGGTAGCGGTCGTGGCGCGGTTCAGCGGCAGCGCGTCACGGCGCCGCGCCCCTTTGAGGGTGACGCGGTGTGACGATCACGAGTGACCTTACGCGCCGGTAACGTCACGGCCGCACGCGGAGTGGGCCTCGTCGTGCCAACTCGCGCTGCTCACATCTTGTTTGCCTCGACGTATGGAGCGATCTTTCTCGACTCATTTCTTGCCTCTGTGCAACGCTGACAATCCATCACTTTGTTTACGTGGATTCAAACTAGGCTTGGGCTATAAAGTGATACTGAGGGATATGGTGCTCATAATGATGCTCTCATGCTATCCAGGTTGATGGAAACTATCGTACACGAGATTCATGAGGCTGTTGGTACACTCCGTCATAACTACTGGCTTTACAGATCCTCGCTCGCCTTCCACGCGCTGTAGTAGATCTCCAGGTGGTCTACGAGACCAGCTTTCCGGGGCTGCCAACCTAAAAGACTACGTGCGAGGTACGGACGGGCAAGGCCCGTTGTGCCGATGGCCTTCTCGAACGCTGCGATGAACAAAGTCTCATCAGTACAGTGGTTCATGTGCCACTTGCGAAGAGAAAAGGCTCACGGTTACTTGCTTGGATGTACTCGTACGGCCCCTTCGCACCCGACACCCCCACGAGCTTCTGCAGGATGTCATCCACACTCTCCGTACCATTCGCAGCATCGAACGTCTTTCCGCCCAAGATTGAACCCTTCTCCCCCACAAGCAGGTACATCTCCGCCAAGTCGTCGCAGTGAATCACCGCGTATCGGCCTCTAGGTGCACCAAACCATGCCACCTTCCCCTCATACGCCTTCTTAAACAGCATCGCTGTGATCGAGCCCGATCGCCCATACACCAGCCCTGGGCGGATGACAATGCCGTTCACAGCGGGGTTGGTGACGACGAGCTGTTCAAATGCTGGTCGCCACGCGACGAAGTCGATCGGGCTCGTGAGGGGTGTCGTGTCCGTGACAATGTCTTTGCGGTTGTCACCGTGCACCCACATGCCCGAGGTGTAGATGTATGTGAGCGTGGGGGCATGGGCGGGGCGGTACTTCTGCGCGGCCTCGGCGGCCGCGGTGAGGAGCCTCTGGGAGAGGACGCGGACGTCGGGCCCGCTGATGGCCTCGATTACGACGTCGAGAGTGGAGACGAGAGGGGCCCAAACAGAGGTGTCCTCGGTCTCGCCGACAATTGGGATGACTGAAAAGGTTGGTAAGTGAACAGGAAATTGACTTTGTCGATGTATACTGACTCTCTTCTGCAGCAAGCTTCTTGGCTTTCTGCGCTGAGCGTGTCACGCCGTAGACTATGTGTCCAGCTCGGACGAATGCCTGTGCGGCAGGCAGACCAATAAATCCAGTGACACTGAGGAAGCGGTCATGAACAAAGAAAGAAACCTGTAGTGTTTGCTCGAGGACCTACCCGATGATGAGTACCTTCATTGTCGTCTAGTTCTGTCTGCGACAATCTCAGAAGTACCGAGGTGCTGGGAGTTATCGATGAACAGTTAGCTGACGGTGCCTGGCGTAGCGGTATAAATGGAACATCTACTTGTCAGCCAGCAATTCTCGGACATCGACTCGGAACAACTTGCGGGTCCTTCACACGCACCTTACTGTGTCATGCGTTTCTGCAGAGAACCGACGTCCCAGTTGAACAGTCCTCACATGAAGTCCGATGTATCACAAATCGACCATCAGATCAATTACGCGATCGCAGAGACGAAAAATCCACTCGTCTCCGTGGTCAGTCAGTCTCCAGCCGTTCGAGCCGTCAATTCTCTTCATGCCGTACAGCATCCTTCGGCTTCTAGCATGGGATCCGGATGACATTTGTCACACACCTCGGAAGCCAAGTTGAGTAGGAATAGCACACAGGAAGAGGTTGGACGTTTACTCAGCGGACGGCCCGCTCACGGCTGGTCACAGGCAGATGAACTATACTGAGGGCTCGTATAGATGACTGTATTCATAATTCATACCGAGCATTCGATAGCGGATTGCGATATCGGAATCACGGCATGCTGAATAAACAGAGATAACAAGACAACCATACAGCAGGGAGGAGTCAGTCAGAGTCGTTTCGCTTACGTTCACCTGCCACTCGCCATGGCTGCGCCCGCTGTATCCTCTTCCGAGGCCATCATTTTCTATGATCTCCTGAGTACGGCCCCAGGAAAAGCCTGGTCGCCCAACACTTGGAAGACAAGGTCAGTACCACACCTGTCTTCGAGGGAAAGAGTTCCTGACGCGAAGCCCCGCGCGGCAGGTTCGCACTGAACTACAAGGGCCTGCCCTACAAGACCGTCTGGGTGGAGTATCCCGACGTCGCAGGTGTCTGCAACGAGATCGGCGCTTCACCGACGGACACCTGGCCAGATGGCTCTCCTTGGTACACGCTCCCGGCCATCTACGACCCGAACACGAAGACAACCGTCTCCGACTCGGCTATGATAGCCAGATACCTCGACAAGACCTATCCCGACACGCCCGTGCTCATTCCCCCAGAGACGGACGCCTTCCACGCGGCCTTCCAGGAGGTATTTCTCCTGACGATCCAGAAGAGTATACTCCCTCTCCTACTCCCACCGAGCGTAACAGTCCTCAATCCGCCAAGCGCCGCATACTTCCGCAGGACGCGCGAGATGCTATACAGCAAGCCGCTGGAGGAGTTCTCGCCTGACGGGCCAGTTCGCGAGGGATACTGGCAGGAGCTGCAGGCAGGCTTTGCAAAGCTGGCGCAGTGGATGTCCGCAAATGGGCAGGACAAGCCTTTCTTCATGGATGAGAAGATATGCCACGCCGACTTGTTGATCGCCGGCTGGTTGAAGTGGGCGAAGACGGTTTGGGGACCAGATAGCACAGAGTGGGCCACGATCATGCAGTGGGACAGCGGAAAGTGGGCAAGGTTCATGGCGTCCTTTGAGCCGTACGAGGTAGTTGATGCTTGAGACCAGTTCATCAAACAGTAGCACCTTAGTCACGTACCAAGCAAAGAAACGCAGTTTAGACACGCGGTACAACCAGCTCCTTGGAGGTCGACCAGGAGCTGTATAGGTCTGCTTCGAAGTCACTCGCCTGTCAAATCGCAGTCGTGCCGTATGAGTTTCTCCAAAAGTCATGGCGCAAGTTCATAGCAACGGCAAGACCGCTTTGCAACGTTTCACGAGTGGAAAATGGTTTCAGAAGAGATTTCCTATTCGGGCAGCACGCTGTAGAGCGCGCAGCATCCGTGAGCATACGGATAACGAGCACAGCTTTCTCGATGTAAACTCATAAATCAGTTTTTATATAGGAAGACAGTCATTCCTACACTCATCGCAGAGAAGCTAGAACGCGCAATCGCTCGCAGCTCATTGCCATGACTTCCTCCGTTCTACCTGAGCAGCCCATCATCCGCCCCGCGACGCCAGACGATGTCGACCAAATCGCCCCACTCTTCCTCACCTCCCTCGACACCTCCCTCCCGGGAGTGTCCTTCTCCACTCGCCCAGAGTATGCCCTCCACCTCGTCCGCGCGCACCTGGCCCAGCGGCTCTTCCCTCCGCCTGCATCAAGCACCTTCGTTCTGATCTTCCCTTCATCGGCTATGCAAACATCCGAGAGGCAAAGGACAACGAGATCCCGGAACTCGACATGCTCTTCGTCAAGCCAGAAATGGGAGGCAGGGGCTATGGAGGGATGCTACTGCGGTTTGTGCAAAAACAATGGGTGGATTCTGGGCTGCAGCTGCATGATTTCTAGAGAAATGATAAAGCCATCAGGTTCTATGAAAAGCGAGGGTTTGAGATAGCCAATGTCAAGGAGGTCGATGTGGGAGGAGGCGTGAAGGAGAAGGCATTTGCGATGGGATGGATCCCTGGAGAAACGACCACGTGACATTTGTCCTCCCACACGACGCGTGTGTGGCGCGAAGCGGTGATCTACAGCATATACTGTTCGACCTGGTCAATTTTTGACAGGAATCACCTACACCGCGCATCATTAATATTCAATGTATGTGTAATTCCGTACATCAGTTATAACACCAAGCCCGTGCCATGCAGTGTTTCTATATGTATGCTGCAGGATCTGTCGCGTTGATGGATATATGAGTCATGCACCGGGAGATGCGAAAACATGAGCATGAGTAGGTCGTGATACGTAACCACGTAGACGTCCTCATAAAATCCATCTGACATCTCCATGAATGCCCGCCTGCGGAGGAAAGTTCACTTGCGCGCATATCTGCTTGCCTTCCGTATCCGCTCGCCGTACGTCCAGAATAAATATGGTCTGCAACGACAAGTAATAAGCACCGCAGTCGACGAGAGAAGAGGAATCAAGACGTACGCTGGACAGCCCACGACTATAGCGACACAAGCGAGGATGGTATCGCCCTTTCCATATCCGAGCGCCTCGTACATCGCAGGCGCGAACAGAGGGAACCCAAAGCCCGCACACGATCGCAGGAACGTGACCGCCGCGAGCGCAGACGCGGCATGCAGCGTGAACGCGTCGATGACGTAGGTCTGTATGCTTTGAAAATTCAGGATCATCCCAGCGCCCACGAACGCGATGCCCTGCACCAACATTGGTGACTCATGGATGAGACGAGAGATGGCGAGGATGCTTACGATGTCGGGCCCTATCCAATGTGTGTGTGCGGTGGCGGTCCATCCGGTGATAAACAGCCCGATAGGGAGAGCGATCGTTCCAGGGACCATGGATGCTGTCCGACTCGATGAGTAAATTTGCAACAGATGGAAACGAAATGTGCACTGACGCAGTCGGAATTCAGGCCTCCCAACGCCCCCATTTTTCTTCGAGAAATACTTGTAAACTCTATCAAGCATACGCGCGTTGATCTGCGATGCGCCTGTGAGGCCGACGCCGAGCGCAAAGTAGTTGAGACCGGCAATGCCGACGTCTTCGCCATAGACGTTTTCGAAGATGCCGTCGATTGTGGTGAGAAATACTGCGCAACCGCCGTGTAAGTATTTTTAATGCGGCGAATGAACCAACCGAACGTACGGTATAATGTGCCGTAAACGAAAGCCATATAGATACCTAGAAGCTGGATGATAGGCTCCCGGAAGAACAGCTTGAAGGGGCGAACGAGCGATTTTGAAAGAATCTTCTTCCAACTGTGACAAGCGCAATTAATGCAAAGGCCATCGACGGCATAGGAATGTTCACTGACTGTCTATCCGAGGTGTCGTAGACGGTACGAATGTTCCGCGTCTGCACCTTCTCCGGTACCATACTTTTCCGGATACCGTCCGCCCTTCGCTCTAAGAGAATCGGGGCGAATGCTGAGCGCAACCCAAAGTGAGCACGCTGCTGACAGGTCGACGACGGACGTACGCACTCTCTCTCAAGAATAACAAACCCAAGCACTGCACGAAGCCATCCACAATTGTGGTGGACCAGAACTAGCACGATATCAGTCACATCTGAACTCGTGCAAGAAAGGGTCACTGCTTACCACCCACCGCCATGTCGAACGCTGTCCGATCCATGCGCCGCAGACAGGCCCAATGACAGGACCGAGTAACGGTGCGAGAGAGTACAGAGCGATCGCTTGCCCTCGCTCCTCAGGCCGCCAACAGTCTGCGATCACGCCTCCGCCAATCTACATTCACGCATGCGATCACTGTGAGAATGTCAGAATACGACGGCGGACAGGATGTGGTACGTACCGAGAGCGGCGCGCTTCCACCTAGGCCGGCCAGGAAACGGAATGCAATGAGCTGTCCTTTGTTTTGTGCGAAACCGCATCCTAAATTCCAGGCTATAATCGCAAGAAATCAAATCATACTCGACGGAAAAGGCGCATATATGCTGACCTAGGTACCACATATTTGCTAGCTGGAGTACTCGCGAACGACCGAATATCTCGCTTAATGGTCCCAAGAATAATGGACCGAAAGCTGCAAGCAGGACTATGAGCCAGCCAGGATAAACAGTAAATGAATAAATGTACCGTATGCGAGAACGAACACGGAGGTAACTAATGCTATCACTGTCTGGTTCGTAATACCGAATTGTTCTGCTAGTTGATCGCTAGCGGGGGCGATCATAGATGAGGAGACTGGGCTGATAAAGGTGAATGCGGACACAATTGCTGTCGCAGCCCATTTCTTGTTGTAACTCCAGCTATAGAGAGAGTCAGTGAACTGAAACTAAGCGAGGAATCAAGGACGCACTTCCTAGGGTTCTCTGGGTCATCAGGGCCGTCCCAATCAATGACAGTGACTTCATCTTCGCCTTCTTGTTCAAGTGCGGCACTTTCGGTGGCGACATTCTGGCCAAGCTCAGGTTTGGAGTCGTCCGATGGCTCTCCGTCGTCCTCTGCCTTTTGCTTGGCTGGGACAACCTCTAGCTCTTCTCCCCGGAGAGTTGGTGTCTGCGACACTATGCCGGACTCTCGCATATACGACATTGCTGCTCGCACGAAGTAGAACGACTGGAAAGGTGAGTGCGGGAACACATGAGAGTGCGGATTATATGAGTCGTCAGCTGCATGGTGCAGACGGCAGTGCTGGCCGTAAGAAGAGTTCACTTCGTTGCGGCCGACAATGCCGAAGGGTGGACAATGTTCCAGCCACCGGGAAATTATCAATATCGAGCGTTTTGCCGCCATTTTGGTTTCGTCCGCTATTCCGGCCAATTTTCAGCCAATCAGTTGGTGGCCGGCCCGGAGATCCTGCCGATGAGACATGCCGCATGATGACCCCTTTGTTTGCCGAAATGCCGAACTGCGGGTTGTCGGTAGTATGCCGATCGACCTGTCATCTGAGATGTCATTCCGCCCGATGCGCTCGGACTGCTCAGGACCAGGTCTGCGCTTTTTAAGTAGCACATGTTCCTCGAAACGCTCACATCGGCAGTCAGTTTTTTTACGTGATGTTCACACTGCCTGAACAAATATTCTGTACGATGTTGTTCAGGGTTGTAAGTGTGTCACGTACGAAACGACGCACCGAAATTTCTGCACCCTTCAGTTCCTTTTGCATTATTTGGTGACATTGCGTTACGGGCGGGCACGCGTTTCGATGGTTTTCAGTGAATCTCCACAAGCAAGAAAGGCATATAATTACACACAGCATGAAATGGTATACGATACAGTCAGCACGCTACAGGATCACAATAATTCAGCTAAAAAGGAAGTAACAAAATAATTCACTGCACCGGCATACTCTCCTTCTCATTAACAGCATTACTCGGCCAATCTTGGGACGTCCGCCTGAACCCAGATGATAGCGAGGTAGACAGGTCGCCGATGCTGACGTTATTCACCGCATCCCACTCTTCATCCAGCAGACTGGCCTGCTCCACTCTCGTCTGGATGGGCGTATCGATTTCTGTCACCGTCGATATGGGCAGATAGGGCTCCGGAGATTGCACACGGTCCTTTTGGCATCCTTCGAATACCTCATCTGCTCCTCCCGCAATCGGCATTGGCAAGCTGAGCTTGATCGGGGAAAGGGGATTGCCCAGCCCGAGTGAATCAAATCGTTTGACGAAAGCCGTCAGCGCCTGGCGCTCCTCCTCCAACTTCACCCGCATCTGGAGAGCAACTCAGCAAGACAAACAATATGGAGGATGAGGATAAACGAGCTCACCCGCCTCTCCTTCTCGAGCTGCTTCATAAGTTCGTCCGCCCACGCCGTCTTCTCTTCCCTACGCTGGACCTCGCTCTCGAGCTTCTCCCTCCATTCTTTCTCAATATTCTCGCGTGCAGCACACGATGATTCTTCGAGGTCCTTCTCATAGCCCTTGATAACAATTTCCAGCTCATGAATAGTATTTGCTTGCTCTGCCAATAGCTTATCCTTGTCGCTCTCTGATACTGGTGCATCTGGCGACATCTGTGGCTTAGCCAGTAGTGCCGCCTCCAGAGACAAGATCTGCGTCGTTTGCGTTTCGATCTGCCGCCGCGCAGCCAGCAACTCTTCTTGTAACTGCATAACTGTAAGTTTCAAAAGACAATCCGCCAAACAGCATTTTCCTCACCTGGTATGGCGACATATCGAAGTCGCCCCTAGAAGGACTGGCCGAGCGGGACTGGTCGCTCCTATTCTCATCCATCGTCTGGCTGGTCAAAATGAGCTTCGTCAGTTGTTGGATCCGATTGTTCAGGTCGCTCATAGCCTTCGACTCGTCCATTTGCTACCACAAAGCACAGATGTCAACGATATTGCGTGCGACAGCCTAGAAACGCGAGCAATAAAAATTACCTCTCGCACGGAGCGCCTGCGACGCAGAGAGGTTGACTCCCGGTCGGCCAGCTTCTTCTTCAATTCATCGATTTCCTTCTTGTAGCGTTCTAGCAGTGCGTCGGTGTCCAGCACTTCCCTCTTCTGCGCATGCAACTGTAGAAAGAGATTATGTGATCTAGTGTAATGAATATGCACGTGGGTCTTGGACGCACCTGCACCTTCTTGACTCTTTGTGCAAACAGCAACGTGCTTGTTGACTCTGCAATGGCACTCACACTGGGATTGATTGTGCATATGACCGATATACGCGCATCACCTAACAGTGAAGGCTGCAGCATGCGCGTCAGCTTCGAGTTGCGGAAAGGTACGTGATCACTGTGTTCATCTGTAAGACGTCGATATAAAATGTACGGGACCAGCCACCGACTTCTTGTTCTTGGAGGAATTCTCTGCCAGCGTTGCGATGACTGTGCCTAAAGTTAGCAGACTGCAAAGGAGTCAGCGCGGTATCTAAATGATGAAAAGATCCCTACACACCTGGTGTTGATGTACTTGCCTTCCCGCGTACGCTCCTTATCTGATGTAGCCTTTTCAGAGCCAGCAAGGTCGATAAGGCTCTACATCTTTCAGGTGAGCAAGTTGTCGCCTGAACACAGCACATTCACGTTAGCTCACCAATACGGACATCTGCACAATCTTTCCGCCCTTCGCTTGCAGCTTCGGCCCCCCAGGCGTAGAAGGCCTCGTGCCCGGCGTCGTAGGTCTCGTTCCCGGCGTGGTGCGCCCATTGGGCGCTCCGCCTTCCTCCCCGCCCCTCTCCCTACTCTCAATCACTAATCTGAACACACTATGGCTCCGACTGCTCCTCTCATTCCAGTCCGTGCTCGCCGTCCGCCTGTTCCCTTCTCCACGCTCGAGGACCTCCTGCACACCTTTCAGGCTCGTAACGACCTCCTCGCGGAGAGGCGTGAGCACGATGCTCGCGCCGGCTCCCTGAATCTGCACGGGCTGTGAAACGCTCGAGGTGGGTGGCGCGAGCAGGTCATGGATCGTCTCGTTGTAGATCTCGAGATAGGAGCAGCGGAGGAGGTATTCACGCGTGGGCGTGCGCCGGATGTATGCGAAGACCTCTTTCATAGCGCGAGGGATAATGCCTGGCTGGGTCTCATCCCCGGTCTGCATCGCCATGATTCAGCGTCAAAGTATCGGAACGGTACGAGCAAGACTAAAAACGTACCAGTGTGAAGGTTTTCCCGCTAGCCGTTTGGCCATAGGCGAAGATAACGGCATTATAGCCATCCATCGCGGCATATACATGGCTCCGCGCGACTGCGTTATACACCGACGCATTCTCAGAGCCCGTCAGGATCTCGTCGAAGCGAAAGTCCTGCGGAGGAGCTGTGTCGGACTTGGCATACTGAAGATCCAGTTTGATGCCTTTCTGGGACGCGTCTTGGATCTGCCACACGCACGTTTCATCTGTCGGTCGTATCCTAGATAGAGACCTCTCTGTGAGATCGCACAGCGACCCAAGCCGAATCACAGCCAAATAAAGTGGAAGTGGACGTTCTCCGGCACACACTCGTGCATATAATCGATATATCTATCGGCACTCTGGAGTACAGCTTACTACACCGCAAAGAAAGTACCGATTCTTGCTGCAGAGAAGGTGTTAGAATAGAACTGAATAACCTAACCTTTCCCATCAAGTGAATGACTTCGGGGAAAGGCTTGGAAAAGGCACATTCTGCACCTTTCCTGAGCAATAACTTGCACCTAATTGACTCTGAAAAAAATAGGATGCAGCAGCAGGAAAAGTCAAAGAAAAACCATCATTTCCCATACTTTTCTCACTGTAGGAATCGGTACTTTCTTTGCAGTGCTAAGAGGATGACTCACTTACCTGATGGAGACCAGTACCTTGTCTTCCCTGCCGTAGTTCGTGATCGCCGTGTCTTCCAAGTCACCCGACGCATCTCCAGGCTCCACCGTCCGGAAATCGACCACAGCCTCCTCGGGATCGATCCTGCTCACGTCCATGTCACTCATCTCTGAGAATGGAGTCGTGCTCCGGGGCGTTCTCGGCGAATTTGGTGTTCTTGGTCGCGAGCCATCCCTTCTCTTCGTTGGCGTGCCAGGTGCAGAGAGCGAAGGCTTGGAAGGCTTGCTCGTGAGTCGTGGCCCGGAGTCGGAGGATAACGCAGTGGTGAACTTCTTCGCTGAACCCAACAAGCTGATAGCCGTCTGCCTTGGACTGCGGCTAGAGGCAATGGCACTCGTATCGGTCACAGACTGCGTGGAAAGCGCCCGTGGACGTCTGAGTGGCGTGGGGAGCTTGCTCGAGCTCGACGGAGACGACGGAGCCGCCATAGATTGGGTCACCTAAATATCGTCCCAACAGTGGAAAGACCTCAATTTTACAGCGAGCGTCTTGGTCTGGACATGATGTGAACCGTGAGATGATGGAGAACCGTGAGCCAAGCATTGCGCCTGCATGGGCGCGCGTCGGACGCCTGATCACGTGTACGCGTATCGGGCGCTTGCTGCATTTTTTTTATTCACCTCGGATCTCTTCTTCCACCTAGCACTGTATCGCTAGGCACCTCGACAGCTCGCTCATGGCATCTTCGGTATCGGGGTGCACTGATGGGATCGGTTCTTCCTCTGGATGCTTGGAGCTTGCAAGGATGCGAGAGGATCCGATACGGGACTCGATTGTTGCTCGGCATTTCCACTAGGAGCATCAAGGACGATGGGCTCTCTGCAATCCAAGACCATACGTTCCATCTGCCCGGTCGCTCTATTGGAAGCAGTGCAACGGTACGTATCTTCAACCCTCCTTCCCTCCATGCCTCGTCAATGATTCATAACAATGATTTAATGAGCCCAACCCGCCTTGGACATGTTCTGAGCGGGAGTGACGACACTTTTTTGCTGAGACTGCGAACATTCATCCACCGTTTCTTGTCTCATTAGCTGACAAACTCCTTACCAGGCCTTACCTGAAGGCACATTTCTCTCGCTTCAATCGGCAGATAAAGTTATCGTGACGACCTGAGCAGAGGACCTCACGAACTGGGCTGGTTGCAGGCTGTTCTGTATCTCAAGTGGTCGGTCAAAACGTTTCACCTTGCGACTGCAAGGTTTCTCCAAGGTCAGAATTAATGTAACGCGATTTTTACACAGGATTTTGTACTTGTTTCTCTCTATGCTTGGTCGTGTTTGTCTCGATCGATCACTTACCCTTTTTGAATGAGTCCTCCCGGTCCTACATTCTCGACACAGTCTGCATAGATTTATTTTTCCACGGGAAACCTGATGCAAAAACGGTGAAAATATCTTATGTCTGGATATGGAAATAGTTTGGAAATTGGGCGGAGACAATTAAATTATGTTACGATTGTTTTACTGAAACATATCAGCAATAGTGAAACTATTTCCCAAAGGAAGATATTTCAGTCCAAAAATATGTGATACTGATATGCTTCGGTGAAGCAATTGTAACATAATTCAATTGTCTCCACCCGATTTCCAAACTATTTCCATATCCAGACTTAAGATATTTTTACCATTTTTCCATCAGGTTTCCCGTGGAAAAATAAATCTGTGCAGGCTGTGCGAATGTCATTCCGTCATGCGTTTCTACGCCTTGAAACATGTGCGTGAGTGCTTCAGTACTTGAGTCGCACATCACCAAATTGCACAAATTACACCTGCTCACTCATTCACGGAACACCAATGAAACACGATCACAATCCAGGGGAATGCCACGGATCGCAACTCTCTGCACACGGCACGGCTACATCAACCTACTCGTGAACAACGCAGACGTGATGATAAGCTACCAGCTGCAGCTGACTATGGAACAACTACAACACCGATGAGACGTTCGCAAAGAACTGTTCAAGATGAATGTCGTCGGCGCATGGTTCTCTACTGAGGCGTTTCTCGGGCTCCTGCGCAAAGGTAGCGAGTGCAGTATGGCGTCGAGCGCCACAAGTCAGGTCGTCATGGCCTCCAGCCTTGCATCACTGCAGAAGAGTTCAGATTTGTTCAGCTTCTCGTACGGGCTTAGCAAGGCAGCCATGGTGCACCTGCCAGGGTAAGACGATGGTGGACTACTTCAAGGATTGGCAGATCCGGAGCAATATCATTCAGTGCCAGGGCTTATTCCCCTCAGGTGCATGTACTGCACAGCTGAATCGTGTTTGATCTGATAGACGTACTCAACATAGAAATGACTGCAAATATTGGGGACAGTGAGGATCAAGTCGATTATAGGCATTGCGACGGCTCGGGGCATAGATGACACGGGAAGTCTCGTGCTAGGCTGGATCATATATTGATGGTGGTGTTCACCGCTGAGCATTGACGAAGACCAACTACTTCTCATGCCTTCTGTGTTCCAAAGTAACATTTATATGACTTGTGAGACAGCACATTACATGTACATACCCTGGGTATTTGATCGAAAGAAGAAACCGTCAGCAAACATCACTGTGATCCCCAGGCAGGAATCACGCTCCACTATGTTCGTCAAAAATTTTCGAACTTTGCAAAAATCAACATACTCCGTGCCGGATTTCAACTCGATCCCAAGGTCTGCTGCTGGCGACAGCCGGCGCTTCACGAGTATGGGACATTAATCCAGTTCAGCAACACTTGAACCATCGATCATCATACACACTATCGTAGGCATTACGGAGTAACTAGAAGTAACAATGTATCATAACAACGTCCGAACGGAATATGCGTCTAGTCCATGCGAGAGTGCAGCAGCGCCCCAATGCAATGTCCGGATGCGAAGAAAAGTCCTCAAGCTCCCAGTTAAGTGAGCCTGGATGTCATCAATGTAAAGCAAACGTGAGAGAAGTGCTCATGTCGCGTCGTCCACCTTAAACGGTGAGGTTGCAGTTCAGGATGGTAAACTCGGGGCTATAGTTCCCGGAATCGCCGAACACTGCAGAACATATTAACAACTCATCGTTGAGAAGCACACAACAATACTCACAGACGATGGAGTAGTCATTGCCGGTGGTGACGTTAGGAGCGGTCACCTCAATGCTACCGAGGAGGATGGAGAAGTTGCTGGCAAGCGGGTGCTCTGAATGCATGTCAGCGATTGAGCCTACAGACCTCAACGCACAAGTCACGTACCGTAGTCCTCAACATAGTTTGTCGCAAGGACAACCCTGCCAAGGTAGTTGGTGATGTTTACCGGGGCATCAGAGGTGTCCCTGAAACAGCGGAAATGAGCATCCGAATGCGCATAATTGTCCGATCTGTTTGCTCACCATGTCACATTGTACTTCTCGCCAGCAATCCAAATGGTATCTGCCGTCGGAGATGTGATTTGGGGAACGTAGACATCGCGAGCCACCGGAAAAGCGGATACGAGGGCGAAGAACGAGCAGAGGAAGAAAGCGAAGAGGGTCGTGAACTTGTTCATCATCATGGCGTTACTGGCTGGTTTTACGAAGGTGTGATAGAACGTCAACGAGCTGGATGCTGGGAAGCTCGAGTGAAGGCAGCTTTGTTTATATATGCGGGTGCAAGACTGCGCAGGACGCCTGGGCATATGCCAAGCTCCATCAGCAGCCGGATCCGGGAGGCGCCGAAATAATGCTTCCCTTCGCCTAGGCCTGCGACACTTCCCTACGCCACACCGCATGCTCCAAGCTCGGAGTGTGCTCGCCGAGGCCCGAAATTGCATAGCCTTAAGATCAGCCCCCTCATTTGTGTAGAAACCTCTCTTTACGTTCAGAGCTGAGTCGGAGCAACACGCTGGAAGCACTTGGCGGTACTAATCGGTCACATTGGCCTGCCGTGGCACATGAACAGTACTGTCCATGCTTGCCCGGTGACTTGAAGATACGCGGTTGCTGGATTCTCCTCCATTGTGGCACATATCACGATAGGCTCAGCCGAATGAGCTGGAGCGATATCGGAGGAAGCAAAGATATACCACATTTTCTTCGACCACCATTGTGCTTGGCAAGGCCCTACGATGCAACGAATCGCTCATAGGGCACCGGACTCCAGCTGCCTCCGCCTCCGATGCACATCGTCATCCATGGTCACTGCAAATTAATTGCAATAACAAGTGTCCGTCATACCAAGTGTGGACGTTGGAGCAACCCCAGAAAGACAACCCGTCATGTCTCGGGCTTTCTAGGCGATCAGCCGGAGTTGCTATTCGCCTGGAGAGGCTGTTTTGTCAATATCCCCGAAGACGCTGGCTTACAGGATACGGTGAGAAGCGTCCGTAAAGGCGTCTGTGGTCAGTCATTATAGCATCGCATCCTCCGTTCTTCACATCCTGTGACCTCGGGGACAGAGCACTTGCCGTGCCGCCAGGACGCGGTACTCTTAACAAGTTCTCTGCGCATTGTGCGGTCAGCTCAGAAAACGTTACCTTCCCTTTGCATACATATCATAAGGCAGCAAACTGGGACATCAATGCAACCTCGCCTCCAAAATAAAGATGAGTGACCGGAGTTCATTGCGCAATAAGACCGAGCAACAGCGTTAGTTGCAGTTTGTCTGCTGTACCGCGCCGACTACAGGACGCTGCCAGCCTGGTGCTTTTAGGCGGTACTAATGCACATGTGAATCAGAGGAATAAGATAGATGGAGCTGTCAGAGTCAACATGTGTCAAAAAAACTCTTCATCGGAGTGGATACCCGTCGTGGGCTACGCACGGGAGAAACAAGCCACAGAAGCTGACGACATCTCTCCGCCTAACCGTAATCGGAGGAAAATGCACATTGCCCGCCGTGCACGGAGAAGATATGTCCAAGTTATAGCGGCCCGGACCTTGTGATAGAACACCTTTAGATTCGTAGTTAACAGTGATGTTGGGACATACGAGACGCGGGTGCATTCAAATTTCCACCCCGAACATCCGATATCATGGGAGTACCTCATATCATCTGTCGGTTGCCGACTACGGTGCTGTTTCGCCTCTGTTATGAACACTGCCACTGATAGACCGCAGCCTGACGGCTGTGCTTAATATAACCTGTCCGAGCCACCGAGATGCGAACATATGGAGGTAGTTATTGAGTGTTCGCCGGTTTACACCTTGTGGCCGGCGATGAAGTTATTCAAAGATCCCATGACAGGCTTCTCGTACCCTTTTGGACATCCTTCTCCTATGGTGCTACTGGTTTGCGTCGTACAGACTGCTCCTCGATAAGTCCTATGGAACAGTGAGATGGAGATTTCATTGCCTGAATGAGGAGCATACCCTCCAGGAAAGCATATTCGTCTGCTCTCTGCACGAGCAAGGCTGAATGGCGCATGAGAGAGGGGAAAGCTGTGCACTGACGAGATCATACATACCGACGTCTCGTTGTTGCGCTGTTGTCCGTCTCTCTCGAGCTGCCATACGTTCAACTGCTTCTGCCATACGCTTGATAAACTCTTCCGTCGCTACTGAGATAAGCCAGACCGCTTCTCTTTGCACGAGAGGCAATTCCTATTGAACGCACTGAGCATGATATCACCGACACAGCGCGCGATTCACCTTGTCTGCCTTCAGGATTTTCTGCACTCTCGAGAATGGCAGATGCGATTTGCCAGGTTCTCGCGTCGCGTTGAAGGCAGCTTTTTCCTTCCTGGCATTTGGTCTTGCATGGTCCTCAGCAATAGCAGGAGCTCCCTCCATGTCCATATCGTTATCAGAAAATGGCCCTGACCGAGGACCGTCTTCAGCAGCTTCCTCGAAGAGTGAACCGTCTATTGGGGGCTCCCAAGACGCGGTACTAGCGCGTGATGACTCCGAGAGTGCGGTAGGCGAGGGCGGTGGAGGAACATCCGGGGAGGCATCACGAACTCCAGCAGTTTCTCTTTTGCTATACATGCAATGTCAAGTTGAAGCTGTCTCAACACGAACAGGTTGCGTAAAGTCGCAAGGGTTTGAACCGTCCGACGCGTGAGCGGCGCGTCATTGTCGCGCTGAAACGCGATACGTCACGCGTTCCTCTATGTGACCGTCACACTCCTGAGAGACACGCGGCAGCGTGGAATCCACATCGTTCTCTTTTGCCACGCACTTTCATCACCCCCACTCTGCGATGTCGACGACCACTACGAAAGAGTTGAACCCTCGAACGAGAAGCTATGAATTTTTGGGCCCTCCCGGGGCTCTCTTTGTGACTCTGTCTGTGCCAGCCACGACGTATGCTATCTACTATGGATGCTCGGAAGAAACTGGGGGCTGTCCGCCTCCCATAGCACTACCTGCCATTATCGACGCACTAAGCGACCCGGCATGGTGGAAGGGGCTCTGGGACACCGAGGCCATGTCGATGTACCTCGGTTGGTACGCATTCTGCGTTGCAGCATGGTTCATTTTGCCCGGAGATTGGGTTGAAGGCGTGCAAATGCGCAACGGCCAGAAGAAACAGTACAAGGTCAACGGTATGGCACAGCACTGTGAGGCTGCTGCTGAGTGTCTTAACTGTGTTCCCAGCATTCACAACATTCCTTCTCGCCTTGGGTCTTACCTTCGGGTACATCTGGCAATACGGAATCGAGTCTTTCACATTCATCTACGACAAGTGGATTGGCCTGGTTACGGCCTCCGTCCTCGTGGCTGTCGTACAGGCCGTGTTGTGCTATGCTGCCTCGTTCCGTCCTGGTGCTCTGCTCGCCCTCGGAGGTAACAGCGGTAACCCTATATACGACGTACGTCATCTGCCACTTGTCTCACAAGTGGTCGCTTATCAGGTCGTAAAGTTCTTCATAGGCAGAGAGCTCAATCCATCTATCGGAAACTTTGACGTCAAATCGTTCAATGAGCTTCGCCCCGGTCTGATCCTGTGGGTGCTGATCGATATCAGTATGGCGTGTGAACAGGCTGTTCGCCGTGGAGGAGTGCCCACGGATTCGATGGCATTGGTGTTCTTGTTCCACTTCTGGTACGTTGCAGATTCGCTCTACTATGAGGTGTGTGCCAATTGTAGCTTTGACAATTGTTACGAGTTTCTTATGAACATCTAGCCTGCAATTCTCACCACTATGGACATCACCACCGACGGCTTTGGGTTCATGCTGGCTATTGGTGACCTCACTTGGGTGCCATTCGTATACTCATTGCAAGCACGCTACCTCGTATTCAAGCAGATTGAGCTTGGGCCTGTATGGACCGCTGCGATTGTCGCGGTCAATGTGCTTGGCTACTGGATCTTCCGTGGCGCGAACGGCGAGAAGAACGACTTCCGCAACGGCAAGAACCCGAAGAGTGCGTGCCGTTGCTGACCGACACTCTGACGTCGTCTCACCTGTTCGCTCGTGCACAGATCTGAAGTACATCACCACCGCGCGTGGCTCGGCACTGATCATTTCCGGATGGTGGGGGCTCTCTCGCCACCCCAATTACCTGTAAGTGCCACATGGCGGACCTGAGCGAAGATCAGACCCACTGAGGTTCATGCTGCAGTGGCGACCTCATCATGGCTCTTGCGTGGTCGCTCCCGACCGGGTTCGAGACTCCCATCACATACTTCTATGTGATGTACTTCGCCGTGCTGCTGATCCACAGACAGATGCGTGACGATGAGAACTGCGAGAAAAAGTGAGTGTATCGGCCGGCGTTTCCTAATAATTCAGCTGACCTTTCCGCAGGTATGGGGAAGACTGGCACACGTACACCAAGCTTGTGCCATATCGCATCGTTCCCTATATCTATTGATGTACCGTCTTCGTTCGGGATTTGGTGTAATGTTTGGACGAGTTATTGTAGTAGCACTATGTATGGCGATTCGGCGCGTCGCGGTATTCGAGCGGACTTTGCTTGCCAGTGGTGGCTGTCTCTTGGTCAATATTGTTGCTTTCCTCAATTTCCCCGTCATCTCGCATCATGAGTACCATTAACACTAGGCATAATAGTCGTGGTGTCTGTCCTCGCCAGAGCGCGTCCATGACCCTCCATGACCGTACTAGGTCAGGTCAGGTGACCGTATGTATACTCGTTCTCACCACTTCCTACCGGCCGCGGTCGCTATTCTGTGGTGTGTAAGGCTCTGGCTGCTACTTACGAAACTCTGAAACCTTCAGGAAGAGCACGAGTGCCTCAATCCTGCGTGCCTTTTCAGCCATGAGAGTCGTCGCGACCTTCCACCAACCGTCCTCGGTCTCGCACTCAGTGAAATGCAATCTAACACCTGATCAGGAGCACCTGGTCGTCGCCAAGTCTAACCGACTGGAGGTGTTCTCTCTTCAGCCTGAGGGGTTACGGAGAGAATGCGGGTTGGACATATGGGGCCGGGTGGTCGCCTTGCGAGCGGTTCCTGTCGATGTGAGCATGACTCTTTACAGCTTCAACGCGATGTACTCAACGTATGGTAAGGACACGAATAAATCGAATCTGTTGGTCCTGACAGACCATCCTGACCCAAAGCTCATCCCTCTGGCCTATGAGGTCGACGAGTCCGGTACCGCAAGCCTTATCAGCAAGGAAGGGATCGACCTGCACGACCGCGACGCCCGCCCTGCGGAATTCGTCACCGACGTCTTCGTAGACCCGTCCGGGCATGTAGCCATCGTCAGCTGCTACACTGGCCGCTTGAAGCTGGTTCAGCTAGAAAATGGCGAGGTCACTGGTATACCCACTGATATCTCGTACGTACATGACGCTCTCGAGCTACTCAGGTCTGACCCCTATGCTGCAGGATTCCCGAGTTATACATTCTATCTCTTACATTTCTATACACAGGCGCAGATATGTACACAATTGGGATATTACATTACGACCACCAGCAACGTCTGCAGCTCCTCTCTCGCGATCTAGACATCCAAAACAAAGAGTTATCTGCAGCCTATTCTACACTCCTACCCAGCACGATCCTATCGGCAAAGAAGTTTCCGACAACAGAAACGCCTCCCCGACTGGTATCCGTGCCACCGTGTTCTTCGTCAGAGGAGATGGGGGGCAATGCGGGCGTCCTCGTGCTCGGTGGCCGGGACATCTTGTTCTTCGAGTATGCATCGAGCGAGCGACAGGAAATCAAGAAAAACAAGCAGCGGCGGGCGTCAAAGCGGATGTCGAGTTCGGACCAGAAGGAGGCGCTAAAGGCGAAGGAGAAGGAGAAGGAAAGAGAAGCGAGGAAGGTGAAGCCCAGGGCAGGCGTGAAGTGGCCCTGGAGCGAGGTCACCGCGTAAGACACAAACCCTGCGATGCACGTTGATCTGAGAGCTGACAAAGGTTCAAAAGATGCTGTCCAGTTGATGAGGGGGGGAGACGACACCTGATCGGTGATGAATATGGTCGGCTAGCTGTACTCGTCTTCGATCAAGCATCATCACTTGTTCTTGTGCCCCTAGGCGAGGTGAGTCGTAATCGCTCAGGCTTGAGCCGCATGCTTAGTCCCCCTATTTCACAGGCCTCGCCTGCTACCACACTCACATATCTCACTTCGCAAGTGGTCTATGTCGGGTCGCACTTTGGCGAGTCGCAAATTATACGTGTACACCCATCCCCCGTCTCAGAGTTGAACTCTGTGACGCTCCCCATTCCCGCTGGGATCGTGACTGTGTCCCCATCTTCCCTGATGTCTGGTAAGGGCAAGGAGAGAGCTGATGACGATGTGTCCTCTGGAAAGGAAGACAAAGAGGGTAAAATCGTATCCGGAAAGGGCTCATATGTCGAGGTGTTGAGTAACCATGAGAATATCGCACCCGTCATGGATGCAGTTTTGGCGGACATCGATGGCAGCGGGCAGGTGCGCTTTAGCTTAATTAACGAGTTTATGTGGTTGAAAGTCATCTGTGGCTAATTTCCAGCCTCAAATCATCACCTGTTCTGGAGGTAAGAACGCCGGCGCACTGAAGGTTGTGCAGACGGGCGCAGACTTTCAGGAGAAGGCTGTGGTTGAGGGCATACCTAACATCACAAACGCCTGGCCACTTCGCTCGACGTTCGAGGATGTGTAAGCAGTTGACAAGTGGGCCTCTCAGTACAATTAATGACATATATTCAGGATTGATACTCATCTTGTGGCATCGACGCTAGAACAGACGTTCGCATTCAGCTTAAACGCTTCTGACGTCCTGTTACCATCGGATGCCTCTGCCAATGGGTTCATCTCGGGTTCAGCAACACTGGCAATCAAGAACGTTCTTCGCCGGGTCATGACGAATACCGCGGGCCGAACGGTCTCGTCGTATTCCAACTCGTCGCTCGTTGTCCAGGTCACTCCAGAGAGGGTCCGTCTGCTCGAGTACGATGCGGCGCGAGACGTCTTCTCAACTGCGGCGAACGACTGGGACCCTACGCGCGAACGTCGAACGATCGTTGCAGTTGATCTCAATGCCAGCCAGTTCGTGGTCGGCCTCAGCGGTGGAAAGCTCGCGCTGCTGAACTTCAACGAGAAACAGGAATTTCAAGTTCATAAGTACGCTGCGATCCTCCGGGCGCGGGCTGCACTGAGTGAGACTTGCACAGACATAGAGATTTCACAGATACCGCCGGTGGTGCGACTGAGATCTCCGCTGTCTCTTGCTCTCCCTTTGATTCCTCAAAGAGCTATGCCATGACCATCGCCGTCTCGTTCTGGGGTACTAACAAGGTCGCTCTGCTTTCATTAAAGTCAGCAGACTCTCCCCTCGCTACAATGTGCGAATGCGACGCCTTGCCGTCGCTGCCTCGCGCACTGTTACTTCACAACTTCGGTGCAGGTCGCACGCGCAAGGAGACTGAGTATCACCCACATTTATTGGTCGGTCTCACAGACGGGACGCTATGTTCTTTCAGTATCAAGGATGATCAATTGCACGACAAGAAGGTATTTGCGCTCGGGAGTAGTCCAGTCTCGTTTACGTCGTGTGTCGTGGACGGCAAACCGGCGATATTTGCCAGCGGGAGCAGAGCATCGGTCTTGCACTGGGACCGGCAACGACTCCATCAATCGCAAGTGATGGTCAAAGTGGGTCAAAGAGCGTGCTACTACGCTCCCGTGCTAAAGATCAATCTGTAGGGTACGGTCTGCGCAACTAGGCTAAATGCATCCGCATTCCCATCGTCACTGGTGCTGTGCACGCCATCGTCACTGGTGATAGGCAAAATTCGTGGCGCAGACAAGATGCAAATTAAGACAGTGCGTGTGAGCCGGGTCTCATTTACCGTCACTAATGGCTTTCAGGTGCCGCTGGGGCTGGACAACCCGCGTCGAATATCATACCATTCGGGACTCAAAGTTGTCGTGGTAGCATGTGTACGAACTGCGCCATCTCGAATCGGTGATTTCGACGGAAGGACAAGTTCCCTCAAGGTTCTCGAAGATACTGGCTTCAACCGTGTGTTTACTGTAATGTGCATTATCGAACGACAGTACTGACATCTTTGTGCACAGAGCTTACTTCCTTTACTTGCGAGCCCGGTGAAGAGATCTCCTCGGTCCTGGCCTTGCCCGGAGGACACGATCTTCTCAGTCCATCCTTCTGCATCGGGACTGTCCGATTACAACCTGGTGAACCTGAGCCCTCTCATGGCCGTATCCTTCTATTTTCCCTCGTCACAGGCAGGTTGTCTACGAAGCCGGTTCAGTCTGCGTTGGACTTGGTCGTGTCCATGCCTGTCAATGGCTGTATTTATCAGCTGGTCAACGTGCAGGATATGGTTGCAGCAGCCGTGAACAGCTCGGTAGGTCTGCTGACAGCAGAGAACGACTGCATTACTCATGAATAACATCGCCAGGTTTTGTTGTTCAGGCTTGAACGAAGCGAGGCATCTTCCTTCCAGCTGAAGAAAATCGCTGAATGGAATCACAACTACATCGTCATGAGTCTGGCGGCGAAGGGCAACAAGCTCATTGTCGGTGACGCTATCAGCTCGGTGTCTGTTCTGACGGTGATCGACTCGCAAATAAATACCGTCGCGAGAGATTATGCCCCCTTGTGGCCCGTGGCTGTAGAAGCGATGGGCGACAACGGTGTGATTGGTGCTAATGTGTGTGATGTGTAAAATCCCGGGAGTCTCTGTGCTGATTTACGTCTACCATAGAGCGACTGCAATTTGTTCACGTTCTCCCTCCAGCGTTCTGGTAATCGTGCTACTTTGGAACGGAATGGTAGCTTCTATCTAGGCGATGTGGTGAACAAGATTATACCAGGTAACTCACTGTCGTCATGTTCATCCTCATTTGATGCGATCACTAGTATCTAGGTGGTTTCGGCTCTGCGGATGCCTTGGGTGCTCAAGTTGTGGAGCCTAGGCATATCTTCTTCACGTCAACCGGTCGTATAGGCGTGATTCTCGAGATGAGCAATGAGATCTCATTGCATATGACTACGCTGCAGCACAATATGGCAAAAGAAATCGTTGGACCGGGTGGTGTATCTCACACGAAGTGAGTCAAACAGCATCATGCAGCGAGAAACGCCTGTCTAATCTCTATATCATGCAGGTACAGAGCTCCTGCTAACTCCAAAGGGCACAGCGAGGCAGAGTCAGCATTTGGATTCCTCGATGGGGACTTCCTGGAGCAGTTCCTTTTGTTATCTAACCCTTCCACATACCTCCAAGGCGAAATTGAAGTAGAGCGTGTCAAGATGTCACAAGCCGAAGTGGAAGATATATTGGAGAAACTACAGAGCCTACACTGATTCAGCAGCCACCTACACTCCAAAATATCCAATGTGGATGACGAAACATTGGTCATGACTGGCGATAAGGAAGGGACATTGTTGTACTTATATGAAAACATGGACGACGAGATAAATAGGCGGTGATAGAAAGCGAGTATGTTGTAACCGATGCTATGACGAGAGAAAATGGGATGCGATAGATACAATGTAGGAGTACGGAATCAAGACTCGTTCGTCTCGCTGGTCATCGAAGTCCTTTGGAGCGAAATAGAATCCGGAGATTAAGACAAGGTAACTACACGAAGTGGTCATTATTTGTCAGTGAATAGGAGCACTGGGGATAACACGCACCTCAGAATCAAGATGCTACCGCGATGATAGTTGCTTTTCGCTTCGATATATGTGTAGGTCAATAAGAAGACAGACAGAATGATCACGACAACATCCCATCGAGGGAAGATCAACCTGAGTGGAGGACATGAGCAAAAATTCTGCATAATCAAAGCAGGGTTCATACGTGAAAGTATCCGCAACGGATCCCATCTTCTCAGGCGCATACCATGCGGAAAATGCTACCATTGCAGGGATTTGAAGCAGACAGACCTGCAAGGCATACGCTGAACCTATCTCCATGCTGATACGCATGTTAATCCTTAGTTCACGACGAATCATGAGAGAACCCCTACCTAAGAGCAATGTTGCCATTCATAGCGAATGAGATCGCGTTCATAAACTCGGTTGTGTTGGGAACCAATGCAAACAGCGTCACTCCCAAGAATTTCTCCTCGATACCAGAACCCTCGAGTACGACGTCAACCACATTGACAAGTAGTTCTGTAGAGGAGGATCAGCGACGAGTACAACGTCAGGAATGGATATAACATACCTGCAATGATGGCATACAATGCAGTGCAGGCCAACAGTACGCTAGCGCTTGTCGTTCGACTCCAAGATGGCGCATCATGTCCGCCATGTGCACCAGCTCCCTCCAGTTCCGCAGCTGATGCTCGCATTCTCGCGGGCGAACGAGCATATTTCTGCTGATGCCTCAGGGCGCTAACGGTCGCAACCGCCACCGCCCTCGTAAAATCGTCTGTTGTCATATTCTCAGGTAACGACGTGGGGTGAAGACCAGTGTCCTTCATCGCATGGTCGACGCTCTCTATGAACGGCGACAGACCACCCTGCAAAACTGGCGGATTAGCATATGAGATCCGTTTCCCGGTCGTAGATGACGAAGGCTGGCTTTGAGGAGCGGTAACAGGAGCATGAGCATTAGGACTCAATGAGGTGCTTGGATTGGTCGGCGTCTGGCCACCTGAATGGATCATACTCTCTGCCGATGCACTGACAGCGCTCTGCTTGTGCTGCAAGGGATGCGATAGATGCTGAGAGGACGAATGAGCACCAGGAACGAGTCGTTGGTAGAGGGACACCCTGTTCAGGCCGGCCTGTGTGGACATCTCCATGGCGTGGAGGAGTTGTTGTGGGTTCTGCCAAATCTGGCTGGCGTGCGTACGCAGTGAGAACCACAGACCAATGAGATAGGACTGCAGTCAATGTGGGGGTTAGCAAAGCGTAAGAAAGGATGCCGTAGGACCTACCAGCAACAAAACGACAGCACAGAAGAACATGAATGTCTTTACCGTTGACTGATAAAAAGGATCGTCGACAGGATCAGGATGCTTGTAGTAACAATGCTGGCACGTCCAAGGAGTGCTTGCATTTATGGAAGGGCATCCGTCGCAGACCAGTTGGAACTACAGGAAGGCTCGAGATCAGCGCATATATCAATGACGCGAGGAAATAATACGCACACCGCCATAAATCTGGTAAAACAATGTCGGCGCAAGCGTTCCGATGAAAGCCATAATTAACAACATGCTGGTAACTCCAGCACTCTTGGCGTTGAACTTCTGTTCTTTCGTCCTAACGGCGCCACTACACATGCTCACTCCGGGCATCAGCAGCACACCGGCCAGTAAACTTCCGACGATGGAGCCCTCGACCAAGTGGCCTTTACCTTGTGTCAGAGCAATGCCATATAGGATCACTTCGATGACCGAGCCAAAGGTCGCATTAATGACTGCACCCATTCCGATGGAGGATTGCGCCGAGATGGAAGCCACCGCCATACCAATGAAATATGACAGCGGGATGACACTGGCCAGACTCATGATGAATATCAGCGCACGCGACGTTAGAAATACAAGGATGCCAGGGACGTGATCTCCAGCATTCTGTTTGCGCTCAATCAGAGGCACGAGCACGAACCAGTCGAGGATGACGAAAAACACGATGGCCATCAGGTTCACGAAGATTATGTTGACACCGCCGACGGTGTATTTGTAATACTTCCACCCAAACGCCTTGTACGTACACAACAAGACAGTGGATGTGGGTGAACCGAAGGGCGCGGTTTGCCCAGCAGCCAATCTCGCAGGCTTGAACGAGACAGGCGCTTCTCGAGGCGCACCAACCTCCTCGCCTTGCTCCTCCGACGTGCCGGATTGATGCCCAGCAACCGCAACGACCGGCGCAGCACAGAAACGGATGTGTGTTGGCTGTTCGATGAGGTATCTCATCAGAGCCCAGTTGAGTCGTGCCATAGGAATGGTGAAAATGAGGGCCCAGCATATCACGGAGACCACAAACATGAGAGGAGCGATGATGAGGATGAACAGCAGCCGGAAGACTGCCTTCCCGAGCAGATCGCTGTGTTTGCCTTCTTGCGCCCCGATCGAATATGACTGTGGAGGAGCGATGGGCATGAACTCCGTAGCACCGTAAGACTTGGACGGCCGCAACTGAGGAGTCGTCCCCGCCGCTGTAGCCATTGTCCCGGTAAGCAAGGCTGTCGTAGCCGTTGGGGCCGGCACTGGCACCTCATTCCAAGAGCCTGCCTGCAGGCGCCGCGCTGCATGGGGTCTAATTGTTGAATATCCTGTTGACGGTTCCAATACGCCCGGCGTGATTGTGTCATGGCTCGCCTCAGAGGCGTCTCCTCGCGGTGTGGAGTCAGTGTCCGCTTCACTTGACGATTGTGCTTGCTCATCTCCTGCCTCAGACCCGTCCGGGTGCTCTGCATTAGCATCAGACGCGCGCTCCTCGTCATCTGTGTGAGTACTTCCGGGGTCGCCCTCGACGTACTTGCCAAACGGCCATGCGATGTACCACCCGAGGCCGAACATGAGCGTCGCGTACTGCCGTCCTCCATTGGGCACGACGTATAGCATGGCCGCAACTACGAGGCAGCAGAGTGCGAGCCACCAGCCGAACGCGACCGTCCACAGGATGTTGCCCGGAAGCAAATGGCGTTCTGCCTGTGCGGACGGCACTGAGTGCAGCGCCTGGTCCGCGTACCGCGTCACCGAGCGCGACTTCTTATACAATGCAGGCTTCCAGATCGGCAGCCCGAATGGGTGCTCGACGTTGATGAGCGATTGTCGGTCCTTAAGCGTAATCAGGTCTTCTTCGTGCTCATGCTCGTCCTCCGCGTCGGCCGCAACTTCGGCGTCAGCCTCTTCCTCAAGAATGTGGTCACTGCTTGTGCTGCTGCTGCTGTTGTCGTTCTCTTCCTCATTCTCCTCGCTGAGCGTCGTCGCGTGTGAACTCGTCATGCTCGTGCTTCGAGCAGGACGCTGTCGCCTCGAGCCTGCTGAGGCGTTCCTCAATGCTTGAGTACTGCGCCGATGGGTGGGGGGAGTGGCGCTGACTGGCTCGGGAAAGTAGGACGTCCCTTGAAGGTGATGGCGGGGAGTTTCAGCAGCAGACCACTGCGAGCCGCGACTTACGCTGCGATGGAGGGGCGGGCGGCCCATGAAGCTGGATGTCGTCGATGTGATGGCAGGGGAGTGGTTGCCATCGGGCTCATCAGGTCCAGGTGGAAGGCTCGACATTATCAGTGAATTCGAGCACGTCGTCACAAACAACGGCAAGAAAGACGGAGGAACGCTGGAGCACAATCGAACCTCGCCTTAACTGGTTCTTGTCTTGACTTCAAGCGGTCACGGGACCAAGACGAGATTGTATTCAAAAGAGCTATTATTTGCAGGCGTAATGGTAGTAGTAGTAAACAGTCGGGTAACAGTGTACAAGAACCAGTATCCAGGCATAGAATCATCGTAAGGAGCGGATATCGGCGTCAGCATGTACATGATCGCAGTCATTTGGCAGGTGTACCCACAAGCCAGTCGGTCAGTTAGTCATTTCCGCATCACCTTTTCACGGAGTTCTGCACCCTTCAATCTCGCGCGCAGGTATTCAAGGCGTGCCTCGTATCGTGCAGTCACTTCCGCCTTTCGTCGCCTAATGTCCCCTAGCTCGACCTCCATCGCGCGTATCTCCTCGTCCTCGATGTCCGCAGGCCCCCTTGCCTTGCCACTGCGCGAACTCCCTGCTCGAGACACCCCATCGCTTGGAGTCGTCCCGGTGAGCAAGGAGTCAACCGTCTCCGATGCGTGGTGCCCGTGAAAAGGGGACTCTGCCTCATTTACAGTCGCCAGAGGCAAATGCCCGGAGCTCTTGGTAAGATTTATACTCGAAGAGCTGGTGAAGGGACCTGAAAGATTGGAAAGACTGGACGGGCCGCCCATCCCTGTCCGTCCACGAGAAGACATCGAAGAGACTGAGCCCTTTCGACTCATCGCTCGAGGCTGAACGACTAGCGTACTGTTCGGTGCTGAGATGGGAATTTTCCGGGGACTGGAGGCTGAACGTTTGGCAGATATATTTGTTCGACCCGATCCACCGGACGTATAGGACATTGCATCGACATCGCCGCCGCTTTGCAACGACAGTGACCGTCGATCAGGCGTGTTCATGAGCGCGGCATCAAGCGGGGCGCTGAGGGGGAGGGGAGGTCGTGAGAGTGGTCGCCGTTGGCGCCGAGTGAGCGTGCTTAATTCTAGGCCATTGAAACCGTCAAGAAGTCGTCTGCCTTCGGCTTCGACCAATTCAACATGACGTCGCAGATCCTTAGCGGAGACGACGTCGTCGTCGTTCGGAAGAGGATTCGTTAGTTGAGCATGACCATCATATGAGTTAGAGGGAGGGATGCCCGGGAATGAAGACGGGGGCGCAGACGAGCCGGACCGTTTCCGTCGACGACTGACTGAACGTACGCTAGACCCAGAGTATTCAGACATAGAGGTACCGAGAGGGTGGAAGTACTGCGAGCGAGAACGATCGTCCCGCGTAAATCGGTCGTTCGTCGGATTGGAAAGCGAACGAGGAAGAATGCTGCCACGTTCAATGCTTGAGCCATTCGAAAAGACGCTACCAGTGTCGCTACTCCCGAACTCGCTGGGTATCGGTGCTGCTCGTTTACTAGCTGTACGACGAAGCATGCTGGTGATTGATGAGGACATAGACTTTCTTGACTGCACTGACGATGCCCGTGAAGACTGAACATGACATGATGACGAGAGCTGGCGGTCATGCGTGGACGATAATGATGCTTTGCTTAGATTGAGCGGTGTTACGGGCAGACGACGGTTGCTAGGTCACTTACTCCTGTTATCGCCGTTGACGTGCCCAATACCAGACAACGGCACGAGAGGTGCCTCTATGGGCACGGGTGAACCGCTGGCGAAACGTTCAAAGAGGTTCTGGCGTAGCAGCCGGTATTCGTCATCGCTTGAATCAATTGAAACGCGTGAATCCACTCGCCCACGGGCGTTGCTAAGTCAAACACACCTGAGGAGACCTTCCGAGTTGGCTGTGGCCAACTCGTTCAACCTCTGCGCTAGCGTGATCCTGCGGGCTCTCAGACTCGATATTCAGCCTAAACATAGTTAGTGAAGGGGACTGACGTGAGAGCATCCGCCGAAGCACGATTGCCACTCGGTTCAACTGTAATCTCCGCATATTGTGTAAGGGTTGTAGAGCTCGAAGTGCCGATCAATGGCGGTTCTTGAGGGGAGATGGGCGCTCTGGAGCGACGAGCCGGTGTAAAGGATTGCTTTTCTCCAGAATGAATGTAGCGTGAAGAGAGGGACGGTGACGAGATGGAATAGAACACGGAGCGGCCGTCGGTATCACGCTCTTTCCCCTTGCCCTTGCCATACTTTCGGGATGCCGGTGAGTCGTAGAAGGTGAGTAATTCAGGGACCAGACTCACGAATTTCGAACGAATAACGCGTATGACGGCGTTCTCATCCGCCGGAAGGTTGGTCTCCAAATGGTCGGCCTTCCTCGAAGAGAAAAACCCCATCACTATCAGAACATAATGGCCAAGGTAAACCGGATCGATGTGGAAGTCAAGTCCAAAGGCTGAGACTTGGTTTACCCGGTTACTGCGTGATATAGCTTATCTGCTTAGCGACGTTCTAATGTAACATTTCAACAGACTTCTAAACTTCATGATTACAACATGACAAATGTACAGACGCCTCCTACAATTCCTTGTTGCTACTACGCGATAAAGATGTCAACACCCTCGAGACCGACTGTTGCCTCCGCGGCCATGATTGATTTGTTTGCACCAGCACGGGCACTGGCGTGAGCCACTGGTTATAGTGGACGAGACGTTGGCTAGAGACGTGCACGGATTCTCTCTGCTAGCTGTTGACCCTCGTCATCGTTCATTTCATGTCGGTATTCAAACTCCTTCTTGAGCATCTCCTTTTCACTGAGCGTGCCCGTTACGTGATCGACCTTCTCCACTATGTCCGACGATAGCTCTCCAGCCTTCGGAGCGGGAATGATGTGATAATGAACCTAGATTGAGACGTGCACTGCACTCGGCAAACAAGCACGACGCGCCGGAACAAGTTGCACTCACATGTGGCACTGCCTGAGCATACTCCTGATTGCAGACGATGTTCAATGCCGTGTTCTGTAGAGCTGAAGCAGTGTCAGCACGGGGAACACTCGGAACACCAATGGATACAGGTTCGGAAAGGGTGCATGATGGTTGTTGTACCTTGTGCAATAGCATTTGCAACTCTAGTAACACCAGCACCCACTGCTGCTGCGAACTCGGGCGGTAGTTCTGAGACGCGAGGGATATGAATCTTCGGAATCACCAAGGTGTGGCCGGAGCGCAGTGGAGCAATATCTTCAGAGGTTCCGTTAGTACCCTGGCGATGAACGTTGAAATGTGGAACAGAACTTTCAAGCAAGGATGTCAACGTACCTAGAATCGCAATGATCTTGTCGTCCTCATACACCCGAAAGGCAGGGGTCTCTCCCCGAATTATACGGCAGAAAGGGCAGTCAGGCACCGTGTTCCATGATTGTGGGAGCGGAAGACCCTCGTGAGCTTTGATCATGAAGGAAGTCATGGTTGCAAATCGTACTGGGGAAGGAGGCCATAGTAGTAAGGGTTAAGTCTATTTATGATGACGACGCTCCGCGATCTCGGTCGAACGTTAACACTGACTTCCACTACGGCTCCCGACGCATCATGTCTCGCGGCAGCCGAGAGGCGACATCGGGGATTCTGAAGGGTTCTATGCGAGATAACTATTCCGAACACGGTGTAGAGCAGGTGAGCCTGATGTTCATCAGAATGCGATGGTGGTTCTGAACTACGGCTACTGAACAGTACTACAAAAAGGTGGGCGCAACATATCGCAACCCACATTTCCCTGGCGTGCGCAGTTGTATATTCTCATGGCTGAATAGGTGAGTGTATTGTGCATGCCACGTTCTGGAACGGTATCGACGAATGTCTATAGGTGGTGGGCAACAGAGTCGAACGACCCTAGATCGCACCCAGAAAAGCTTGTAGTCTTTGATATGGCATGCGGTGAGTCTTCTACTTTGTCAGTTCCACTTAGAACATGCTGAATGAGTTTCTACAGGAAGGCAGGTACGGTTACCCTGTCGCTAGTTCCTAGTGTACATCATCTGACGCATATACTCAGTGGTGAAGTTACCCTGTCGGTATTAGAATGGTGGCAATTGAGCCAAACAACCGCCATTGAAACGAAGCACACCTTAATAGACGATATGGGCGAAGGAAAGGAGCGAGTGTCCGCACTTCGAAAATTGCGAGCAAGGGAGCTTCGACCAGTCACTGTCAGTTCACAGCTTCCTAGGCCAACCGTCCTCGCAGCAGATCCAGTGCGTACGTGCCGTTGGTGTAGTAGGTTCCTACTGACAATGCCAACAGTTTACAGCGGAAGCGTATCACGCTCGCGCTTCCCTCCATTGCTCTCCGCTCTCCTTCCGACAGATCGCTGAAGGAGCGTTGCCCGTCGTCTGCTCCTCGAATACCTCCAGTGACGAGCAAAGCAATGGGAATGAGGACGTGCATTACGCTGCGGAAGGAGACGACACGCTATACATAGATATGGTGATCTGCTCCTTTGCCCTGCATCTGATTGAAACACCGTCCGAACTTTTTGCACTATTATGGGAGTTGAGGTCCGTAGACAGACACATCGCGTGAGCGCATATTTCATCGATTCTTACAGCACCAAATGCCGATGGTTGGTCGTCATCGCCCCTCACAAGAAGCCTGACGTACGTTCTCCGAGCGTACCTGTCTGACCACTGTATATCTAATGCGATAATTGGGACCAGATCAAGGATGGCTGGGGATGGTGTAAATGGAACGTCGAGACATGGACACAGTGCCCCATGAACGAGTCACAAGGCGAATTTCTGCAAGAAAGGTGAGACGTTTCACTTCGAGCAGTGAATTCAGGCTCACCGGAAAACTAGAGTTCATTGTCGCATATACCGGAGCTTGAATGCATATTAATCAAGCAATGCGCTTTGAGAGTCATCGCGCCATGGATGAATTTCATCTACGCAGTTGAATAGGTCGCTTCAATGTCATCCTAGTAGCGGACTCCGCCTAATGCCCTGGCCAGGGAATGTATCCAATTTACGAGAGAGTCCTATTGTAGATCACCACTTATTCCCACCAACTCCGGGCTAGCCATCCTACAATACCCGCTATCGTTGCACTAGTCGCGAGAGCCAGTACAAGTTCTCTATTTGACTTGAGCACTGGTAACACATGTTCGGGTACAGTAGAAGTAACGGCCTGCGTTTGTTCCAGTATTTCCCGTTTGCTGTCCGGGACCCTGATCGAGTAGTGGACGGCCTCCACGAGTTGTGACAGCAGTTGAGCCTGTCCATCTAGACGATCCGTCAACTCTGTCGCTGCCTTGTCAAGCGCTTCCGAGTTCTCCGTAGACATCTGCTCAACTTTCCGCTCAAACGTCTGCGCCAACCTCCTCCGCTTCCACGGCTCAACCAGTATGATTGCCAGAAGGAAGACGATCGTATTCACCCCCACCACAGCGAGGGAACCGTATGTCGATGCGCTCCGGATTTTGTCAGACCACGCTTGTTCTTCGTGATAGCGATTAAGGATGACTCGGAGGAGTTCACTGAACTCGCTCTCGACCGCGCTCTCGGCATCGATAGCAGCATTTTTTGCATAAGTTTCCTCTTGCTCGCGAAGGTGCTCCTTGCGTACAAGGTCGGTGAAGCGAATCACGTCCTCGTCTGTCCAGCTCGACTTGCGCTGCAAGAGGTCGTTGACCTCGCGCTGAGAGACTGCCCGCTGCAGCACCGCTTTGTCATAGGCCTCCTTCGCTTCTCGTGCTGCCCTCCTCACATCCTCGATGCGTGCCTCTGCATGCGCAGACTGTTAGGTAAGGCCGGTCAGGAGCGTGCATTGACGCACCTTGCTCGACCACCTTCCTCTTCAACGCTTCGATCTCTCCGTATCCAGTGACCTTATTGAGTTCTCTTCCCAGTTGAGAGAAGGTGACAGCAACAGCGGCAGTATATTCATCTATGTGCTGGCGTAGCAAAGTAGCCGCGTTTTCTGACCATCCACGCAAACGTTCCTTTATGTCCTGCAAATGGTCGACGGCGGGTCCACCGCTGGTAGTGGTTTCATACTGGCGCGTAGTGCTTTGTTGGACATCTATCGGATGGGTATGCGGCTGTGGATCGGACTGGCCATCATTCGTAGATGGGCGCGGATGAGGGTCGGACGAAATGTGCCTGACCCTACGATAACAGAGATGAACTGTATGCCGTGTTAGGCGGATTGATCGCGACGAGGGAGTGCAGACAGAGCACAGAGAAGCTGGTGTTGCAAGTGCCGTCCGGAACATTTCACCTGCCGCTGGCTGTAGTCGCTGGTAGTGGGCTCGGAGTCGGGATGGACTCGGGCATTGATGGCGCGCCCCACGTGACCAGACGCGTCGATGTAAAACGCGGTGATTCAACTCGAAGCTTGTCGTTAATTTTACACACATGGTCTAGCTATGAAGGTGCGTGATCACTCCCATATTGTGAGTGGTCTAAAGGATAGCTCGAAGGGCTGCATATATACCTTTCTTAGTCTGCACGACGGACGGCCGGATCGTGCAATGCAATCGCCACACAGCTGCAATGGGTAAGCTTGTCTCCGTCTAGGCGTTGGCGTTGACATAGATTGCTATCATACACTTCCGGATAACCAAATGGGTCTTAAAGAAATTTACGGTCATTACTGCCAGGTACGAACATGTGTGGCAAAGCAGTAGACTTAAAGACCAGGTATGCTTGTTCAAATTGTGTAGTTATTGTAAACTGAACAGCATAGTGTGGACCTTCGCGTGACGACACTCGAGCACCTGGACATCGACCGAAGGAACAACCTGGTGTGATTGGTGTGTCTTTCAACCTCTGCCTTGTACTATCTGATTATCCGACAAAATGCTGGACCCTTCAAGTGTCACATGTCATTCAGAGACTACTCACTCGCCTCAAAAGTCAAATAAACTTCATCCATATAGCGGTAGTGAATAACTCGTGCGGTCCAGTATACGTGTCAAGCACACCCGTTTGAACGATCTGTCGGAAACTGTCGGAAATCATCACAGAAAGGTACCACCGCGCGATCTTCATGGACCGAATCTCTTATAGTATGGCCGGCTTCGCGAAGGGACAAGATACGGCGTAAACCGCGTCATCACTCCTGGGCCTGAAATCGGGTGTCATGACTATCTGTGTCAATATTGTGTGGAAGCTTAGGAAGCTCGGCTCGTCAGCTGAGCCGCTTGCGACCCAACGATGTTCATGTAGTGACGCAATTCCGAGACGTGCATCCGATCTCTGCTTCGGATGATTCCTATTCTAATTGGACTGGACGAACCTGCGTGGCACTCCGTGGGACCGAAATCTAAGAGCATCGTCAACGTCCTCGAGGGGCTGCGCACAATCCGAGCTGAGGCACTGTGTGATCAGTTCGTCTTCATACGCATTCGCATGATGACTATATAGAACTTATGTGACGCAGGTGCGGAACACGGCCATCGGTATGATCAGGTTCTTTTTACGTGTCACTTACGACACATTGTATGCAGATCAACCACGTGGTAACAGACCGCTCGTCGGCATCGGAGCAGGCAACGCGAGTCCCAATTACCCTAAGTGATTGTCGCGATGCGCTGCAGGCCCTGCTCGATGCGCACGTCGTTTGTGGAGATACAAGGTCGGGGGAGAAGGTATAGATCGCTCGAGAACGGTGTCTTTATTTGCAAAAAAATGATTCCTGGAAGTGGTGAATCCTCTTCAAGAGCGATCGAGCATCGCAGGTTTCTATAGGGGAGTGTACTTACCTGCCATGTCTCACCACTTTTTCACCCTGTAATGTGCATTGCAAATCCGGCTTGGTGTGCTGGAACTTTATATCGGCATGATACCGCGGACGGTTCTATCACCGATTGAATCGTCACAATGGGTCCACGTCTCCCGTGTGTGAATGAGTATCAGTGCTTCCAAACGGAGACAGAGAGGTGATGCCCTCGGACCCCGCTTCTTCCAAATCGCACGCGTGTCGCAGCTACTATCGCTTGTCCAAGCAACAAGAGTTGACATCAGCTGAGAGTTTGAAAGGACTCTTGAAATAGGATCAAGGGACTCTAGGAACCCTTCTATGTCCGGACTCACCGAGCCCCACTCGAAGGTGGCAAGGAAGCGGACGAACGTGGAAGCAAAAATTCACAGGAGACAGATCTTACGAGGACAACATGACCTGTCAAGCGCCGCCAGGCGGCAGTGATGTGACATTTAAATCAAACAGAGTGATGCAGCTCGACACACAACTTGTCCTCTAACTTATACCACGTCAACCCCGTCGGCGTCCCATTCCTTGCGGTCGCGTCTTCCGACTGCTGTGGTCAATCATGGCGTCGTCTACGGACGTTCTCATTCTCACCGTCGGCCTCGTTCTTGCCGCGGTCTATCTCTTCAAGGAACAGTTGTTCGCTGCGAAGCCCAAGGCTGCACCAGTTGCAACACCGAAGGCTAATGCCGGCTCCGGTAACCCTCGAGATTTCGTGGCGAAGATGAAGGATGGGGTGAGTTGAGAGATAGGATGTTATCTACCACGACTGAAACGTGACTAACACTTTGCCTACTCAGAAAAAGCGCATCGTCATATTCTACGGATCACAAACTGGCACCGCCGAGGAGTACGCAATTCGCCTTGCAAAGGAAGCCAAATCGAAGTTTGGACTAGCCTCGCTCGTATGCGACCCGGAAGAGTACGACTTCGAGAACTTGGACGAGGTCCCCGAAGATTGCTGCGTCGTCTTTGTGATGGCAACTTACGGAGAGGGCGAGCCGACGGATAACGCGGTGACGCTTTGCCAGAACCTGTCTGATGAGTCCTTCGAATTTGGCAATGGCGAGCACAAGCTCTCCGGGCTCAAATATATCGTCTTCGGGCTCGGAAACAGGACGTACGAGCACTACAATCTGATTTCGCGGAACGTTGACCGGGATCTGCAAAAGATGGGCGCGGTCCGCATCGGAGAGCGTGGGGAGGGTGATGACGATAAGAGCATGGAGGAAGACTACCTTGAATGGAAGGACAGCATGTGGGAAGCATTTGCGAAGGCCATGGGCGTCGAGGAAGGCCAGGGCGGCGATACACCCGATTTCGTTGTCACGGAAGTGGACGAGCACCCGCCTGAGAAGGTGTATCTTGGTAAGTTTCGTCGCTCTATCTCTCTTTCAAGTTTTCCTGATATCGCATAGGTGAGCTATCTGCACGCGCCTTGACTCGTTCGAAAGGCATCCACGACGCAAAGAATCCATACCCTGCGCCAATCACGGTCGCGCGGGAGTTATTCCAGCATGGAACAGACCGCAACTGCATTCATATGGAGTTTAACACGGAGGGTTCTGGAATCACTTATCAGCATGGCGATCATGTCGGTGTTTGGCCTTCAAACGCAGAAACCGAGGTTCAACGGCTGCTGTGCGCTCTTGGTCTGCACGAGAAGAAGGACAAGGTGATCAACATCGAGTCCCTCGATCCGGCGCTCGCAAAGGTTCCATTCCCTGTGCCTACGACATACATCACGGTACTTCGTCATTACATCGACATCAGCGCCGTCGCAGGTCGTCAGATTCTCGGTGTCATGTCCAAGTTCGCACCAACGCCCGAGGCGGAGGCTTTCTTGAAGAATCTAAATACGAACAAAGAAGAATACGCGCACATTGTGACGAACGGTTCCCTCAAGCTCGGCGAGATCCTGCAGTTAGCTGCTGGCAACGACATCTACGCCGAGCCTACCCCTGAGAGCACCACCGCTTGGGCGATTCCGTTTGACATTATAGTCTCATCGATCCCCCGACTTCAGCCTCGGTACTACTCTATATCCTCCAGCCCCAAGCTCTACCCCAACTCGATCCACGTCACGGTTGTCGTCCTCGCATACGAATCTATCGCGAACGAGAAGGTCAAGACCAGATGGGTTCACGGTGTGGGTTCCAACTTCATCCTCAACCTCAAGTTCGCTGCGGCCGGCGAGAATCCCGCTGTGATTGCGGACGCTGAGAGCGAGAAGGCTGCATTGGTGTTGCCGCCGAAGTACGCGATCGAGGGACCGCGTGGCGTGTACAGGCAGGATTCGATCTACAAGGCACCTATCCACGTCAGACGGTCAACGTTCAGGCTTCCAACGAACCCCAAGAGCCCCGTTATCATGATTGGACCTGGAACGGTGAGTTTGATCTTGTTCGTCATTTCGTTCGGCGCCTCAATCAGGCAAATAGGGTGTTGCTCCTTTCCGCGGCTTCGTGCAAGAGCGTGTTGCGATGGCCCGACGCACGATTGAGAAGAACGGCGTGGAGGGTCTCGCGGACTGGGGCATGATTCGGCTTTACTACGGCTGCAGACGTTCGGATTTGGACTTCCTCTACAAGGAGGAGTGGCCGGAGTACGCGAAGGAACTGCATGGCAAGTTTACGATGCGCTGCGCGTTCTCCCGCAAGCCACCATACAAGCCGGACGGAAGCAAAATTTATGTGCAGGACCTGCTGTGGGAGGACCACGAGCAAGTTGCGGACGCTATCCTCAACGGGAAGGGATACGTGTACATCTGCGGCGATGCGAAGAGCATGAGCAAGGCCGTGGAGGAGACGCTGTGTAAGATTCTGGGAGAGGCGAAGGGCGGGTCGGCAGAGGTGGAGGGTGCGGCGGAGGTGAAGCTGCTCAAGGAGAGGAGCCGCATGCTCTCGGATGTCTGGAGCTGATCGTGCAGCGACATTGATCTCTTGCGACTAATTGGCTCACTAGATGTCTCTTTTGCATACGCTGAAGATGCTTCCGTTTTCTTACAATGGCTATCGATCGACTTTATATGCGGATCTGCATGGCTTCGCTTGCTGGTAGACATGGATAGTCCTTCCGGCATTAGATGTATTTATCTCGTGTGGAATAGAATGTGCATAGCTGCGTCTGTAGTATGCGTACATTGTCGATCCTGGGTATGATACGAGGCAGCCATAGTGGCAATAGTGGTTTCCTCAAGAAGCTGGAGTTCATCATAGTTCGATATTTGAACAGCGCATGCTTGATGGCAACTTTTGTTGTGGCAAACTCGTTTGGAGTTCGTGAGCACCTGCTGCCGACGTCCATTGTCCAAGGGCATGTGTGGCACACACAGGGAAGGACGTACCTGGAGCGCAAGCGCCGCGAACGTTAGACGGCCCTCCCTAACGAGGAAAAACTAATTCACCATGATCCATGCCCTTTATAAGTAAAGGGAACCTAACGCATGAACCACGTTTAATGAAATTGAATAATTTCCCTCGCTGCATTTTTTATGGGCGGTCAGCACCAGGCAGGTCGATCTTGAGCTGTCGGGCCCTCGAGACGTGACAAATTCTGCAAACCGGTATCAACATAATTTGCAGGACTTCGACTTCGGGGATGCGTACCTGTGTTCCGACGCTGCAATGCGTCTCGATGAGCCGCAGGAAGTGCTCAGATCTTGCGAGACCCTGGGTGCCTCCAATAGCGTCAACTCCATTGCAATGAGAGTCCTACTTCCTCAGAGAGGGCTAACAGCCGTTCCTTCAGCCGCCGCACGTCGTCTACACTAGGTTTCCGCGCAGGTGCAGGTGCAGATCCACCAGCACTCATCCGCACCAACATGTCTTCCAAGCTCTCCAGATCCTGCTTCTCCTTCAGCTCCTCATTCATTTCCACCTCCATCTCCTCGATAGTTTCGGGGGCAGCGGCCTCGAGGTGGTCCCGCGCATGGCGTTCGGCCTCGAGATCGGGAGGCGCGATGTCAGAGAAGCGTACAGCGCTCAGTTGAGACACGATGTTTCGTGCTTCGTCCACAACTGTCTGGTTCTGCACCTTGTCTCCTGCAGCGGTGAGATACGAAAGCAGTGCAGATGCCATCCCCCGGAGGATCCCTATCTCTCTGCCGAGCGGTACACCAACTTCGGCAAATCCTTCGTTAAATCCCTGCTGCAGGGCAGATTCCTTGCCAGCCGTGATTCCCTCGCGGTACCCGGCCTTTGAATTACCTCTGGCTGAGGGCTCAGTCGCTGAGAATGGTAGGCAGCTGACATACAGTCGTGAAGTTCGAAGACAACCTCGACCACTCTGACTCCTGCAATACTTTTGGGTCATCTTGCCAAATGACCTCGTCTTCCATCCTCAGAGCCTTATAATCGCAGCGAAGTAGTTGAGGAAACTATAGACCGTCTGAGACGATGAAGGCACTGTCGAGACTCGAGACCAAAGGTTGGAGGATTGATCAAGGATTTGATTCGCCCACGTTTTCATCATCGCATGATCGACGCGACACGTCGACGCGTGAACTGCCTACACAGCTCTTGACTTTCCTTGCAATCATCACTTCCACACCGTAAGCCCTCGCTAAAATGACGTTCGTGAGGTGTGCAAAATGTTTTGACGGTATATGCATGCAGGCACTCACTCAAGCTTCAGACTCGCAGTATGTGTATTTGGAGTCTACTCGATGTTTCTGGTCGGTAAATCACTACGGCTTCCCACTTGAAGCTATCTAACATGCTGGTGAAGCTATGGGCTATAGCTCAAGAAAGACGTATGTCTTCTCAACAACAAATTAGACGTCGCTGACTAATGCTCTGGCAGTGTCCGTGCCATTCCAATCTTTTGACGACGCATCGAGCGACAAGTTCCGTTCACCACTATTCCTGGGCACATGTCAGAGTGCTCTCAGTGCCGTGTCGGCGTTCCTATATTTATTTGTTCGCCAACCGTCCTCGCAACCAATGAGGCAGATGCTGGGTCTCGAGCAGCGACAGCCTGCTAAAGCAATAAACGGCGATGCGAAGACAAACGGGCACTCACATGGCCATCATCACTCTTCTCATCACAGGGCAGATGAACGGTTTTCTACAAAATCCCTTCTGCTTCAATACCTGCAATGCTCTGTGTTCATCACATCTGCTGCGCCGTTCGGTTTCGCCGCCCTGTCCTACATCACATACCCTACAATGGTCCTGGGGAAATCATGCAAGCTTGTGCCGGTCATGATCATGAACGTCCTCCTGTATCGCCGCCGCTTCGCGCCATACAAATACCTTGTCGTTGGGCTGGTGACGCTGGGCATTACCATGTTCATGGGCTTCGGGCACGAGAAGCCGGGCAAGGCCAAAGCGAACGGGAACGGCGGACTGTCAGCATATACCCAACTCATTGGCATAACATATCTTCTCATCAATCTTGCCATAGATGGTGCGACAAACTCGACGCAGGATGAGATCTTCGCGCGCTATCGTGTCACGGGCCAGCAGATGATGTTCTGGATCAACCTCTTCTGCACCGTCCTCACCTCGATCATCTCAGTCTTGCCTCTGCCGTACATTCCTGTACTGCATCCATCGGAAAGTGGGACTGAGCTTCACAACGCGCTCGAATTCATCCGGACACACCCGTCTGTGATCATGCCGCTCGCGCAGTTCGCGCTCACCGGCGCGCTCGGACAGCTCTTTATCTTCGAGACCTTGCAACATTTCGGCTCGTTGACTTTGGTGTAAGTCAGTCGCATTTGCTCCTAAATTCTTGTGTTCCTAAACAGTGCAAACAGGACTATCACGTTAACGCGCAAATTGTTCACAATGCTTCTCTCCGTAGTCGTATACAATCACACATTAACACCTGGTCAATGGCTGGGAGCCTCGGTCGTCTTCGCGGGTATCTCTGTTGAGGCATGGGTCAAACGGAAAGGTGAGAAGTTGCATGGTATCCATTTCTTCCTAGCATGCTGAATAGTGCGTCTGCAGATGTCCACGCGAAACGAGTGATTCAGGAGAAGGAGAAGGCTAAGCTGAAGTCGTTGTGATACCATCTACCGGCTCCACACACACGTCAGTGATTACATGACATCCACTAATGCCATACGATATATACAACAAATTGGGATAGAGAGTATTGGTACGCACAGCAGTAGGGAAACTAGAAGGACCATGATGGACTCCATGAGACCAATAAATGTGGAAGGGTGGCGAAAAAAAGTGAATCATCGCGACTCCATCTCTACATCAGGATCCATCAAGGGTCGTTTACGCTCTTCCTCTCTATTGAAAACTCGTGAATTTCCCAAAATCACGTTGTGCAGATTGTGCTGACCTGTCTTCTTCCTCATCATCATCCGAGTCTGATCGCTTCCGTCTGACAGCTGCTGATTGCACTGTAGGCGGGAACGAAGCGACTGCGTTGTGGGCTTTGTATATGGACTCATATTCCTGTCGTTCCGATTAGCGATTAGGACTGCTTCGCCACTCGTTGAAGTGGGGGCTGACCTTGATCTGGGCCATGAAGCCTCCATTAGGCGAGATACAATATCGTCGATTCTGCACCAAGTGCAACGCCTCTTCCCAGCTGAGGTTGTACTGTTGCATGACATACATCACCACGAAGGAAGGAGACAAGCTGATGCCGCCTAGCAGGGGGGTAGCACATGAATGGCGGTTGCTACAGGCGACAGATCGGAGAACGTACCGTTGCAATGCACTAGCACGCAGCCGCCCTGAGTGATGGCATCGTCAATGAATTTCCTCGCACTTCAAACCAAACCGTCAACGCAGACGGAAACTAACATTGAGATGCTAGACGTACGGAGGGAACAGGCGGATGAGGTTTTGCTCATCGCTATCTTGCACATCAAGCGTCATATAGGTAAAAACCTCGGGGAATCGCGGCCGGACGGAGAACGCTTCCTTCGCGTCACGTATGCACACACTACGTGCGGGGTTATGTTGAACGCCACACGCCCTGTACTGAAAACGCCACGCACATATGGGTGACGCCCAGAGACTTCAGAGTTTCCAGCGACTTTGAAGCTTGCAATGGCCCCAGAAGGAGGCCTGGGAGGATCTGTTGACATTGTCGCCTCATTTCATATCTGCGGCCGATCAATAACAGAGACAAGGGAGCCTGATGGAGCACACGTACGTCCACTCGATGTCTCCTGGGCCCTGCACAAGGTCTCGCAGTTCTTCGTCAGACATGCTCATCGCCATGGTTCACCTGGGAGCCCAATAATGCCTTGAACTGTCCAAGCAGCGCGAGCGACGAGGACGATGACAGAACGATCAAGAAGACAGTTAAGCGAGCTGCGCCACCATGGCCGGGCCACTCAGTCGGGCGCCAATCCAGTCCGCTCGTGATCCCACGTTTGTTGGGCCGACTGCCGCCCAGCAGAGTCCCCAAAGCCTCTCATAGAGCATTACGATCTGCTTTTGACTCCTTGGAAGCCATGGAGGAGGAGGATGTTCCGTACGTCTCATACTGCGCGGATGCCGGCTCATGTCTTCATTCACGTGTGCCTGCTCGGTTCACAGGACGCTGATCCAGACTACTGCGGTCGCTGAAAGTATTTTGGACACTAATGCCCCCACCGTGCCCCTGACAATCATCTGCGGGTTCTTGGGTGCGGGCAAGTCCACGCTGGTCAAGTCAGTCTTCATCCTCGCTTGAATTTGCAGTCGCACAAATGACCGCGTTTTTCCTGCAGACGCATCTTGACCGAACGTCATGGGTACCGCATCGCGGTCATTATGAACGAGTTCGGCGACACTGCTGTACGTGCGTTCGAGGGCTGCCAATTACGTTGCCGCTGACTGCAATTCTCGAAGGATATCGAAGGTTGGAAGGACTCGTTGCAAGACGTAACATATTCTTATAACGTCGTCGATCAGCTAAAACGATCAATGTCTCTTCCGCTGAGGATCCAAGCGCGCAGTCGGAAGAGTTTCTTGAGCTTGCAAACGGCTGTCTGTGCTGCAGCATCAAGGACACAGGCATCGCCGCGATTGAGAAGCTGATGCAGCGCAAGGGCGCTTTCGACCATATTTTGCTTGAGACCACTGGTCTTGCAGACCCAGGTAATACACCGATCACTTTACTGTTTGAGAGCGTTGCTGCTGATCCGCATTGATATGAAGGGCCCATTGCATCTATGTTCTGGCAGAACGAGGAGTTCGCTATGGGCTTGGGTCGAGACATCCATTTAGACGGTGTCGTCTGTGTAGTCGACGCAGTATTTGGTCGACAGGTAAGCGAAGTACAAATGATTTGTAAAGACTGTCTAAAAACTTGCAACAGCAAATGGAGGAAGACCATTCAGAAGAGGGTAAGGGCGAGAGCGTCAGGTTCGTAGTGTCAATATAATACTCTTCACGGACTCACGTCCCGTGGAAAAGGCAAATTGCTGGAGCAGACGTCATCCTGCTGAACAAGATCGACCTCGTCGTTCGTTCGCAGCTCGAAGAGACCGAGGACATGATCCACAGCATCAACCCTATCGCTACAATATATCGCACGATCAGGGGCGAAATTGACCTTAAAAACATCATGGGAATAGATGCGTATTCCTCACGTCCACTCACGCAAGTGCAAAGCGACCTGTTGCATATACATCACCATCATGACCATGACCATTCGGACCCGGATCACACCCATGGCCCTACTCACTACGAGATACGCGGCATATCCAGCCTGCAAATCGACTGTCCAGTGATCTCAGCATCTCACATAGATAAACTCGACGAATGGATTAGGAGCGTCCTGTGGGAGCACCGGCTGCCAAGAGAGCCTGCCAAATCCGAGCAATCACCCGAGCCGAAGCTGGAGATCCTGCGGTGCAAGGGGATGATTGTAACCGACTCGGGCGATACATTCGTCTTGCAGGGCGTGCGGAATCTGTACGAGATCACGAAGGTGGAGGACAGGGAGATTGCGGATGCGGGCATTCCCGATGAAGGCAAGATCATTCTTATAGGGAAGGGGCTGGACGAGAAGGTGCGGCGTAGTTTAGAAGACGTTCTGCGGCTGTAATCCGCCACGGGAGTGGCTTTACAAAGTGGAATGATGAGAGAGCGTCATGACGTTGCTTACCGACTTGATCTGCAAATTCCGGGCTCTTTGTACAACTCGAAAAGTCCATGGTATTTCCTCTTTTCCACAGGCTTGATCAAGATTCCTGTACCATTCTTTACCACAGAAGCCCACTACTACATAAAAACAGGTCTGGTAGCTGAGAAAGGGTGAAGTTCGTTCCTATACAAAGAAACACTATTCTCGATGAGCACGACTTCCACATCACAAATGGTCACTCTTCTTAGTGTCGTCTTAGGTTCGGTCCTCATCCGCATGTATATAAGGCGCACTCCCGCCTTCGAATGGAGCCCCGGATTCCCCAACTAGAACTCTCATGTGCTAGGGACTGCTGCCCGGAACTGTCTGCAACGCGATCCGTGGACTCTCGAACTTGTGAATTCTTGCATATTCGTGTATATTCGTGTACTCGTGCTACTAAGTCTACTAGCGCGGGTTCGAACAAGCTTGTTCGGCAGCCGATCTTCGACAACCCTTGTTTCTCCGGCGATAATCTACAAGTCGACCGCTCCACTAGAATCTCTCGAGAGAGTATCCGCTTCCTGTTTTACTCTGATACACCGGACGCCTCACTCTCTCCATTACCCAGACTTTTCAAGCTCCAGGAGGAGCTCCCACCGTTCCTGTCCTATGCCTAAGTCTACGTCTTCCCCAGCGTCGGCCCGTGCCGACGCAACAACGCAGGGTGAAGGCACTTGTGCTGTCTCTGCCACACAGGCCGACAGCTCTCTACCGCGAAACCTGGCGTTGCGAACCAAAAAAACGGCAAGAAAACCAAAACCCGGCTTATCTGTATCCTCCTCGGCTCTACGCCCGCACGTCCCGGCTTCCGACCGTCTCGCTCTCTGGCGTACCCCTCACGGCATCCAGTATCGTCAAAATATCACTGCCTCGCTCCCACTTGACTCTACTACAGCACTTTTTCGTGTTCTGTTCTCAGGTCTCGAAGAGGAGACTCGCTCGAATTATGGCACTGCCCTCGTACGTTTTGCTCAGTTCTGCGACCTTCACCACATACCCGAGTCCTCTCGCATGCCTGCTCCCGAATTTCTTCTTGCTGCTTTCATCGCGCAGTGGCACGGGCGCATTACACGTACTACTGTGGATAACTGGCTCTCGGGTCTGCACTTCTGGCACTCTATTCACAGTGCACCATGGCATGGCGGCGAGCTGGTCCGGATTGCCTGTAAGGCCATCTCGAAAGCCGTCCCCGCCACGCCGACCCGCCCAAAGCGGCCTCCTGTGCCTCTGGATCATCTCCACGCATTACGCTCCGGCCTCGATCTGACGGATGCCTTCGACGCGGCGGTGTACGCTTGTGCCTGTGTCGCTTTTTGGTCCGTTTGCAGGTGTGTATGCCTGCATGTTTTCGCTTCTTTTCTGCTGCTGATGCATTATTGCGGTGTCGTTCCCTTCACGAAAAAGACTTGGTGAACTTACCGTCCCCAGTGCCGAGCTCATCAACCCTCGATACCATATTCTGCGGGCCCGTGTGCCCCAATTTCGTACTCTCGCCTGCGGCGTCGAATATACCACTCTAAAGATCCCTTGGAGCAAGTCTACATGCCAGGATGGCACGGTTATTATTGTTTCACATCTCGATGACCCGACTAGCCCGGTGCCGGCCCTCCGTCACCATCTCGCTGCAAACGCGACCGTTCCCACCCATGCACCGTTCTTCGCTTACGAAACCGCTTCTGGTGGCTGGGCTCCTCTTACTCGTACCTGGTTCCTGGAGCGCTGTAATAAGGTGTGGACTTCCGCCGGCCTCCAATCTGTCACGGGCCACTCTTTCCGCATGGGCGATGCGACCGAGCTGCTACTACGCGGAATACCTCTCGACGTTGTCGCCGTGCAAGGGCGATGGAAGTAGTCCCATGCTTTCTTAGAGTATTGGCGGTGCATTGAGCAGGTCCTGCCTCTTTTTATTACCAATTCCTTTGATCGTTCACGCTTAGAACTTGTCCGAACCTCCATAGCTCACTTTCAGCAGAAATATTCTAGATGACCGTTATCAGGTGCACGTCCTTGATAAATATCACGCAAGTCTTGTACTGTATTATCCATAAGCATAGTCCGCTGTTAGGGTTGGGGTAGTCGTGGTGCGCTCTTTGATCACGGGCCTATCGCAAACCTGGATCTAATCTCTCAGATTACACGCGCCTGATCGTCATTACTCGATCCAAACTTTCTGACGCGGCACTCCTCACCTAGTCACTCCTTCACTTCTCCTCGCCATCAGCTGGTTGCAACGATTTCCAACCATGTCACCCAACCCAGAAGCCGTCGACGTCAGGAACGTCACAACGATTGGACATGTAGATCACGGCAAGACGACGTTGATGGATGCACTACTGGCCGCGAACAACATCATATCTTCGCGCATGGCAGGAAAGATCAGATATCTCGACAGTAGGGAGGACGAGCAAGAGAGAGGAATTACGATGGAGAGCAGTGCCGTCTCTCTACGATTTACGGTCATGGACCGGAAGGCAGACGAGGGTACGTCTGGGCTTGTGTTACTGCGGGATGTGCGACTAACTCGACCAGGAACCTCCCCAAGAACATATATCGTGAACATGATTGACACACCTGGTCATGTTGACTTCTCGAGTGAAGTCTCTACCGCGTCACGGCTGTGTGATGGCGCTCTTGTCCTGGTCGATGTAGTGGAGGGCGTTTGCACACAGGTGAGTCCGCGGTGGGACAATGTAGCTAACCGTATATTGACAGCAGTTTCAGACTATCAGCGTCCTGAGGCAAGCCTGGCAAGATCGACTGAAGCCTATACTGGTTATCAACAAGTTTGATCGTCTCGTTACGGAGCTCAAGCTCACACCGATTGAGGCATACCACCACCTCTCACAGTTGATTGAGCAAGTCAATGCGGTCATGGGCGGATTTTTCGCCAGTGAACGCATGGAGGATGACCTTAGATGGAGAGAAGAGCGAGAGCGTCGTCTCGCGGAGAAGAAAGAGGAGCACGCAGCGGAGGTCGACGCTATCATCAACGAAGCAGACGAGTTTCAAGAGAAGGACGACGAGGATATCTACTTTGCACCGGAACGCGGCAACGTCGTGTTCGCGTCAGCTATTCAGGGGTGGGGCTTCCGGATCGGCAAATTCGCGCATACGTATGCTGTCAAGCTAGGTATCAAGGAGAACAAGTTACGTACGGTGCTATGGGGAGATTTCTATCTTGATCCGAAAACAAAGCGAGTGATCAGTTACAAGCATCTGCGCGGACGCAATCTGAAACCACTGTTTGTTCAATTCGTGTTGGACAACATATGGGCTGTATACGATGCTGTCCTTCTAAATCCGTACGTCCGCGTCGCGGCATTCATCAGAATTACACTGAGTTAATAACAAGGAATCCTGACAAGGTTGACAAAATAGTTTCTACGCTCGGCCTCAAAATCCCGCCTCGCGATCTGAAATCAAAAGACACTCGTCAGCTTCTCACCTTGATCTTCTCTCAATGGCTCTCGCTCTCCTCTTGTGTCATCCAAAGCATAGTTGACGTCGTCCCGCCACCTTCCATCGCTCAGCGTACACGTATACCTAAGATGCTATATCCCGACCTAAACGACGCGACCATGGAGCCGAAGAACAAGCTGGAGGAGGAACTTTTCTCTTGCAATGCCAGCTCGGACGCATGCGTCACTGCTCTGGTGAGCAAGATGTTTGCGATGCCGTCCAAGGATCTGCCGGCCAACAAGAAGAAGCCGTTGACGGCAGAGGAGATGAGGGAGAGAGCAAAGGCAGCGAGAGAGGCGCGTAATGCAGCGCAAGCTGCGATCGCTAACGGTGACTCGCAGCGGACAGAAGAGCCGACAACGCCCCTGGAGCAGCTAGAAGTCAAAGACGATGTGGAGAATCCTGTGTATGACGACGAGACACTCTTGGGCTTTGCGCGCATCTACTCTGGCACCATCCGCACAGGCGTGACAACCTGCTGCGTTCTGCCGAAGTACAACAGCGCCTTAGGGCCGACGCATCCGTGGAACGCGCCGCACGTCGTCACCGCGCAGGTGGAGGCGCTCTATATCATGATGGGCAGAGAGCTCGTTCCGGTGGACTGCGTGCAGGCTGGGAATGTGTTTGCCATACAGGGATTGGAGGGCAAGGTCTGGAGGAGCGCAACGCTGTGTGCGCCAAACGAGAGGGGCGTGGGCGTGGACGCGGATTTGAGTCTGCTGAAGGACTGTCTGCTGAACCTCGGTGGTGTCAATCGATATGTAGGTCTCTCGCTTGGCATGTCGTTTGCGGATACGTGCTGATGTGTGAGACAGGCGGCTCCCATTGTCCGGGTGGCGTTGGAGCCTGAGATCCCGGCGGACATGCCGAAGCTGATACACGGGATGAAGCTGCTCAGCCAAGCTGACCCTTGCGTGGAGACGTTCCAGCAGCAAACGGGAGAACATGTTATATTGACTGCAGGAGAGTTGCATCTTGAAGTGTGTTGCAATGTCTTTCCAAATGGATACCCTTGAGCTGATTTGCTTGCAGCGATGTCTGAGAGACCTTCGTGAGCGCTTCGCCAAGGTGGAGATTCATGCATCGGAGCCGATCGTTCCCTTTAGGGAAACGGCTGTTAAAGCTCCTGGTATGTAGATCGATACATAATATGTGTTTGTGATGCTGATGAACAGCAGACATGGCACTACCGAAAATATCTGGCGCGAGACGGGGCACGATCCATGGTTCGATCCCTAATAACCTCGTTAAATTTACCATCCGTGCGGCGCCCCTCCCGAAGAAGCTCACCGAGTTCCTGCTAGACAACCTGGCGACGCTCAAGCTGATGGACTATGAGCAGGGTACGGAGCGGGTGCAGTTGGCCCAGGAGAACGAGGAGTACGACGTGCAGGGCGAGATCATGAGGAAGCCGAGCATCAAGCCGGAGGAGTTTTGGAGGGCGCTGGTGGATGTGTGCAAGGAGGTTGGGGGAGAGTGGGCTGATGTTGTGGATAGGGTGTGGGCGTTTGGGCCGCAGCGGGTGGGCAGTTGCATGTTGGTTGAATCGAGGCCTGGTGTGACCTCCACTTCGTGAGTGATTCACTTGAAGCGATCGATGATATCTTGCTTATGCTAGGATAATGGGTAGTTTGAAGAAGCGACAAGAGCGCGGGAAGAACCCGGGCGATGCGAGCCAGGAACCGGAGCATCTTGCGCGCGACTTTGACAACCATCTTGAAGCAGGCTTCCAGCTGGCGACTTTCCAGGGCCCGCTGTGCGCGGAGCCGATGGAGGGACTTGCCTTTTTCGTCGAAGCAGTTGAGATTGACAGGGAGGGGATGGAGCAGGAGAGATGTACGTGTCACTCATCTTGAGCAGCTGGTTCACTCTCATTCACGACCATGCAGTGCATAATCGGATGCCGCAGGTTACTGGGGCGTTTATCACCTCGGTACAGGGAGCGTGCCGCAATGGCTTGCTGGACTGGTCGCCGCGGTTGATGTTGGCAATGTACACTTGTGATATCCAAGCGTCCAGTGAGTCGTGTTTGCTTGCTTCTATGATTCACCTGACGATGCTTCTCAGCGGACGTGCTGGGAAAGGTGTACGGTGTTGTCGCGAAGAGGCGTGGAAGGATTGTGTCGGAGGAGATGAAGGAGGGCACGGAGTTCTTTTCTATCCGGGCTCTTCTGCCGGTGGTGGAGAGTTTCGGGTTCGCTGACGGTATGAAAGGTTGACTGCCTTCGTTATTGCTTAGCTGACGTGCGTTTTCTCGTTAGATATCCGGAAACGTACCTCCGGAGCAGCCAGCCCGCAACTTGTTTTCAGCGGGTGAGTTGCGACATTTGTTAGCTGCCGAGTTACATCCTTACCTTCTTTTACTAGGTATGAGTTACTCGATCAGGATCCCTTCTGGGTGCCCACTACGGAGGAAGAGCTGGAGGATCTGGGCGAGAAAGCGGATCGCAGCAATGTCGCAAAGGCATATATGGATGCGGTGCGCGAACGCAAGGGCATGTTTGTTGACCGGAAGATTGTAGAGCACGCAGAGAAGCAGAGGACGCTGAAGCGGTGAAGTGAGTGCACATGTCCGTGCGCGTCTGGTCCATATTACAGCTTTGTCTATTGATTGATCGCGATGGATATGACTCTGGCATGTCACTGGATACATATACTGTAATATTTATTGTGCCACGTGCACGAGCATGCCGTATGCCTGTGGCACGCAACTGCCCGATTTGGTGCGCGACCTTCCGGATATGGTAGCGCCCATATGCTCGCTGTCTTATCAGGGTTCATATTCATAGTACATCGATACCTTGGACAGATGTTATTAAATGACAGGAATCTCAGCTCGCTACCTCGTCTGCTCCCTCGGCAGGTCGACTCAACTGCGGTCTCGGGCGCTTAACACTGATGCACCTGTTCGGTATCTCTCACAGCACACAGCAATAAACGCCAGACGGACAGAAAATCACTGAAAATGCATCACACACACCACTTGTTTGTGCTGCACTTGGCGGTAGCTTGCCCCAGATCCGTGCGTGCCGCGGAGTACTTACACATGGCTTCAGCATAGCCAACCCTCCGTGCAACGTGTTATCAACTTCGGGCGACGTGGCTCTTGATCCAGTAATACGACGTCAACGAAGCCTCCCCGACTGCCGAAGTATGTCTCTTGTCCGACAAGGTGCGGAACGCTGGCAATAATTAGCGGAACGCTTGCCAAATGGTAGATCGCGCAGGGGCGCTTTCAGCCACGTGCCCGCGCTCTGCTGCTCGCCGTTTCTGGCGACCGTGACTACCCTGGCATCTATCACCGACCGCACTGAGGCTCGGGTCACCTTCTTTTTTCCCTACACCGTCGAGCTGGGGCTTGCGTAGGGACAATGGCAACCGCCATGTATGGTGCTCAGCAGGCGATCGCGACGCCGACTAGTTTCGTCTCAGACGATGCATCTGCCAATGACGAGCAGTATATTTCGACCTTCTTCTGCCGCGCCCTGTACGACTATCAGACATCAGACGCTTCCTCGCTCTCTTTTCGCAAGGGGGACATTATCGAGGTTCTCACACAATTGGAGTCTGGCTGGTGGGACGGTCTGCTGGGCAACGAGCGCGGCTGGTTCCCCTCTAATTATGTGTCAGTCATCACGGATCAAGAGGTAGAGGCGGCGCTCGGCCCACCGGAATTATCTGCCTCGCAGCCGCCTTTGCTGTCGGATGATGCCATTGTGGACGTGGCGCAAGGCATGTCGGGAGCGCTGTCGCAGTCTGACGGAGACCGAGGGTGGCTGAACGGAGACATGGACCTCCCCAGTCACGCACCACACTCGGAAGACTATACGGACGGATCGAACGGCCACCTTCCTCAGCACAATGACTTCTGGGTTCCGCAGGTGTCTCAGGATGGTCGAGTGCGCATGCCTTATCTTTCTTCCTCCATGGATCGTTTGCCCATCCTTTCTTGCAGATATTCTACGTCAACACCCAGACAGGACAGCAATCTCGAGATCTACCTCAGGAGACCGACATAGAGTCGGATGCTGACTTCGCTGGCTTGACCTCTCGGGTAGGACCTGTAACAGGTTTGGGCCTGACGACAGCGAGTGGGATGGAACATGAGCATGGTACCACCGCAGGGTTCGGGATCCAGCGAACTTCACGAACACCAGAGCCGTGGGCGCGACGGTTGGCGGATGACGGCCTTTCGTATTACTACGTCAACAAGCTCAACGGGCAGGTTTCGTGGACTCCCCCAGAACCTCCTGCAGCACCTGGGCAGACGTCGTCAAGAAACGGCAGCCTACACGGTCGAGATGCGCCACAACCTGCGAACGGTGTGTCGTCAGAGCCATCCGTGCCTACACGGCGAGAACGCAGCAACAGCAATGCTGATAGGTACAGCATCAATTCCGAAGACTCGGACATCTTCCCGACTCGCCGTGATCGGTCTGCGTCATCGGGAGCTGCGCAGAATCCTGCGAACGGAGCAGTGCACTTGCCGAATGCAGCCAGGAATGCAGATCTCACCCCGCCGGAGCAGCTCGCAAAAGCGCTGCAGCAGGCCCTCTCGCCACCGTCGCCAGAATCTCCGGTGGACCTGTCGACTCACGTGCGAGAAGCGATCGCCGCCATCACGCAGCAAATCCAATTGGCGGTTACCCCCCGCAATCCGGACCAACTCAACGAACTCGACCAGCGCGTGCAGGACGTCGTTTCCACTGTCCGAAACCTCCTCTATGTTACGGCGACACCGTCGGGCCATATACCCAGTCATCTATACCCCCGAGAGGCCCGGGATACCCGGCCGTCGACTGCTGGCCAGTCGATGCAGAGCCACCTGAAAGCGGCGCAACGCAAGGTTGCGGGTACTCTGTCGAAGCTCGTGTTGTCAGCCCTGGCGATGCAGTATGATCCAACGCTATCAGCGAGCGACAAGCCGAACAGGATGGAGTCCGATGTTGCAGAGCTGGAGCGCGCTGTTGTGGCGTTTGTGACGGAGGTACATTACTTCCAGGAGCAGAATGCGTTGCCGCAGGGGCAGAAGTACGGGCTGAAGCGTCTGTACGGGACGTTCTCCACCGCAAACATTGGGCTCGGGCTACCTGGAGCTGGTGCTGCAGGTAGCTGGCAAGGATTCGGATATGTTCCGCGGAATGAGACGGCGCAAAGCACACTGCAGCCTTTTGTTCCTGACCATATTTCCGAGCTCAAGATCGCGACGAGGGCACTCGGCGAGAAGCTCTCCGTGGTGACGAGACTACTCAAACGTGACGATGCCGACACAGGTAACTAAGACAGGAACCTGCTACTGGCATGTAAGCTAACCATTTGTCCTGTTAGCGCGGGTCAAGGACGAAAGTCAGAACGTGGTCGCCCATCTCACCTCCATACTCGACTTCATCGGTAACATTGACATCGCCCAGCATACCGATCTGGACGGCGTCCGTCTAGAGGCCGGTCAGTCTCGGGTGCATGCGCAGTACATGCAAGTGGTAGACAAAGCTCGTTTGATCGTGCGCACTCTGGAGGCCGCTGTCCAGTCGCTTTATGACGATGGCATCAGTCTTTTGATCACCATCCAGAATTTCGAGTATGCACAAACGAACATCCAGGACCGGACGGCACTGCGCGATCGTATCGACGCGTTGGTGGCGGCGATCATAGCGAACGTCAACTTGACGATGCAGAGTTTAGAAGCTCTGTTAGCTGTCGGGTTCGACCAAGCTGACATCGACAATCGCGACTACCTGAGTTCGATAGAGTGGAGGAAGTCCCGCCCTGTAGTTGCGGAGGACTCGCAGGAAGTCGTGGATATCGAGTTGGCGTTCAACAGTTCCGGTGCGATGAAGATGGTGAATCCGATGGATCGAACTCAATCCTCGTCTACATTGTGCCAAGATTCGGCCCATGCAGCTGGGCCATCGGGGGGTCCGATTGGACGGTCGCGGTCGGGAAGCACTGTCGATCCCGTTACGCCATCGTGGCCTACTGAGCCATCAGAATCTGGCACACTCGTCATGCCGTCTACGGAAGATTTGGTGGGGTCAGGCCCACTGGGCGATTTGGACGAGGATGATTGTAAGCACTATCGTTCGACGAGCATCATTGGTACTCATCTTGAGCACACGTATGCAGCGGCAGTATCGAGCAAGGCGGCTCCTCGCGCTGAGAAGCTGAAGAAGCTTCTCGGAGACGACGCTCCACAGTATACTTTGTCTAAACTGGATGAGAAGTCTAAACCTTGGTATTTGCGGCCGAATTACGATCAGTCAGAGATCATCATGGAGCCGGACGGTACCGTCAGGGCTGGTACAACGTCGGCCCTCGTGGATCGGCTGACTGCTCATGAGCATGGAGGTCGGCGTACTTCATCCGTTCGCCGGAATCTTCATCTCACGGTCCGTTTTCGTAGATCCTACCTTCAATCAGAACTTCCTTCTGACCTTCAAGTCGTTCATGACGGTGGATGAGCTGTTCGAGCTGCTGACGCGTCGATTCTGGATCCAAGCGCCTCCGAGCCTGTCTCCGGCTGAGTTGGAGGACTGGACCAAATTGAAGCAGAACATCATCAGGATGCGGTACGCCCAGGTTGTTTGACGTCCTCGCCACACTCTGACTCCATCTCATCTGCTCAGGGTGCTGAACATTTTCAAGACGATGGTCACAGATGATGGCATCCTCGAGAAGGATGATATGTATATCCTATCCCGAATGAAAGAGTTTGTCTTCAATGACGAGGTGATCACCTACGCCGCCGCCAAGCAGCTGCTGATCCTGATTGAGAGAGCTGTGAGTTTCGTTCGCCACCACTTGATCGAGCTGATTTGACTCCATCGCAGCAAAAGGGTGGGAATGGGCCTATCAAGATTACGACTGTACCCGAGGCGCCGCCGCCTCCGCTCATACCCAGGGGCAACAAGAAGCCGAAGCTTCTTGACATTGACCCAATTGAGATTGCCAGGCAGCTTACGCTGATGGAGGCGGCAATGTACAAGAAAATTCGGCCAATGGAGTGCTTGCTTCGCTCGCGTGAGCAGAAGTCCGGGAGAAGTGGTGACAATTTCTCGTCGATCATCCAGCTCAGTAATCGAGTACGCTTGGATCACCACTGGACGTCATGGATGTTCGCTAATGGCTGCGGTAGATTGCGAATTGGGTCATGGATTCTGTTCTCGAGAGGGAGGATTCTCGAAAACGAGCTGCGATCGTGAAACACTTCATCCTCGTTGCCGACGTGGGTGTCTCTGTCACATTTGACATTTTTCTTCCGTCTGAAGAAAGATGATTCGTTCACAGCGTTGCCGTTCACTACAAAACTACTCTACTATGACTGCTATTGTCTCGGGCTTGGCGACGCCTCCGATCCGTCGACTCAAGAGAACATGGGAACAGGTCAATGCTCGTATCATGTCGCAATTGAGGATGTGCGAATCGACCATTGATAGTACGAAGAACTTTAGCAATTATCGTTCAACTCTGGCGAGAATATCGCCGCCTTGCGTGCCATTCATTGGTGAGCCTGAGTTTAATCCACTGCTGTAGCAGCAGGCTGACGGTGACACAGGTGTATATCTGACAACATTGACCTTCATCAATGATGGTGCGGAGGATAGGATAGATGGGAACATGATCAACTTCCGAAAGCGACAAAAAGCTGCTGAGGTTATCCAGGACATCAAGCGGTGGCAGTCGAAGCCATACAATTACCAGACTGTTGGCTCTGTTCTCTCTTACCTGGAGGAGTCATTCGTCAAGTACGCCGATGGCTTTGACTATGCTGATCAATTCTGGAATCTTAGTCTGGAGAGGGAGCCTCGGGAACGAGAAGACGAGAAGATGGCAAGACTGCTGCAGGAAAGCGGGTTCCTTTAGTCTGGATGGGCGTCGCTGATTTATTTTTCGGTATTTTTTGCACTGCTGTATAATCTTATCTGCTGGTACTTGACTTATTCTCCGTGTATATCACTACTGATACCTTACTCGGATTCATGGATGTTCTCCCGCTTCAGGCTCGCGGCTCAGGATAGCGCTGCATTTGGGAATTAGGCTCTGAGCCACCTTTGGCTCGCGCCGTTCGTCTCTGGTTGACCCTAGTCATTTGCACAGATGAGAATTGTAGAATTTTACACGTATCCTCAACATGCCACCGATTAGCTTGCGTCTTTTCGTTTGTGAATTCACCCATCGTTTGTCCTTCCAGCCCATACATGGTCACTCCCATCTTAATTATACTCGATCCATATTTATTTGTTCGTGCTCGCTCTATTGTGATGATGTTCACATTTTGATTGTGATAGGTACAACATTGGCAGTTCCTTGTGTGACATAACATTTAGTACCCATCATCAGTCTGTTCTGTGACCGCGATTGTAACACTCAGGCTGGTCGTTCTTGAACGATACCTCCGCGGCAGAGGGAGCGGCGCCGGCGGTGGCGTAACGCATAACAAGCAGGACGGATGAAGCATGGGCCCGGTGCAGGAGAACGTGGCGATGAGAACCTTCTGGATGCGAAAGACCGGGAATGATGGCTTCTTTACCAGACACATAAGCTGTACATCTAATGTATGGCTGCAGTGCAGATTGCTGAAATCACATTACTCGAGTTGTCATTGTATCATATACAGGCTTGTCATGCGCCGGTTGCCCGGACAAATTGGCGGCATGACGGCGCAAATGTGCTTGTATCGGTGATCGACACTTACAGAAGGATTCGCGCGAGACAAATCAGCCTATCGCATACTTCAGATACGCCGCGCTCCAGTCATATGAGGATGTCTTACCTCCGTAAGCTTAAGGTCAATAGACTTCGATGACTTCGAAGAAGTCAAGGCCCTCCTCACGACTTGGATGCTCGATCGTACCTGCAGGTGGGTATCACACTTTGTTGCCTGTGGAAATAATTGCCGAGCTGCAAATCAATTTCTGCCGAACTGAGTGAAACAGTGGGTATGCTACGACAAAGCACAGTCAATTCTGGTTGAAGTTGAGAATGCACTCGCTTCGTGCTATGCTGAACGGGTTAGTAGCCCGGACGTTTTGAGTTGAGGCATCGACATACGTTACTTCTGATGACTTTTGATCACTGAATCACGTACGGAAAAGGCTGGTGGCGATCGGCTACGGGTTGAACAGTATCCTTCGTTATCCTTTCCCTACAAGGTTTAATATAGAAGAGTCTACTACGGCCTGCTTGAAATATACAGATCAATGTTTCAACCACAGTACTCTTCAGTACTCTTCATTGCGAGAACTCACATTCGATGCCGTGGTTTTTGCGCGATGATGATCGTTCACCGGCAATATAGCATGGTCCACGAGTTTGAACCGACGAAAACATTGCCTATTGGTTTGTTGCATTGATCCGCGACTTTGAGCGTATTTCAATCCGTCAACATGTCCGGGTTGTCTGACAGTGTACCGTACCAAGCTCGTATGATCTTGCGGGACTTGTGGACATTGAGACAAGAAGCATGAGTAATAAAAATGGGACTTGTGACAAATTGAGTTCCGCGGGCGCATTCTACGGCCTGCCATTTACAAATAATGGGAATACCCGAGTGAATCCAGTCTCTAGCACCCATGATCCCAGTATCGGCGAACGACTAGGACCTCGAACAAAGGCTAGCAATCTCGCCAAGGTCGTTTTCAATGAGCTCCAGCAGAAAAGACACAAGCCCCAGCAAGATTCAATTTGAAGCTTCAAGTTTAGGTTGCAAGTTCCGAATGACCTTAGTCATTCGGGTTTTTACTGACTCTTACATGGCGGGAGCTTACATAATCAGTAACCCCGTTGGACAGGGGTTTACATAATTGTGTCACCCGTTCCTGACGCGCCTTTTTGAGTTTCAACCTGCAGGGCCTTCGGTCTGTGCACACTGTCAACACCCTCCGTGTACAGATTCTATCGTCCGGAGTTTGCTGTCTTTATGTGGGCCGTTTGCCCTGCCAGCGATTTATGCTCTGTGCGAAAGGCCGACGTCCCGCCTGCATGTCTGCAATGCTTTCGATGGTGATTCTCATTCATTTGGTGGTAGCGCCATTCGGCGTCGGTAATGTATTCGACGCTGGTGAGCTTCCATCTGTCCTCCTTGTTTTTGCACTCCAAAGTCATCTTCTGTTCTGCGGCACTTTCATCGTGGAGCACATTTCATCTCATGCCTGACCACATAATAATGGATTATCGATGGAGTGTCGCATTACCGAAGGATATCTTCCACTCGAGAAGTGCCGCCCTTGGCGGCAGATCCCTTGCTTGCCTTAGATGCCGTGTAACAAGTGCATAAGGTGTAGTAAATGTTAACCGGTGTCTTACCTTTGAGAAAAAATTGCCTCCATTGCATTTGCTATCAGTGTTGCATGTCCTAAATTTCAAACTTGGGTAGCCACTACGAAAAACTATATATATCAATCATT